AAGGAAACTGATGGCCTTCTAAAGATTGAAGATATTTTGCCATTCTTCCCTGACTTTGCCTTAATTGATGACTTCAAGGTTAGCCAACCTCTCCTCTTTTCCAGACACACAAACGATCTGTCTTGGGCCAAACAAGTTGGTTCTGATTCTATCAATACCTTTGTGCAGGAAGCGATTTGCTCATCTCTCGAGGATTACAACAAGCAAATAGAACAGTTGAAAGACGAGATGAATGATGCCACACGTGGTGCAGATAACATTAGAAATGATATTAGTGCCTTAACTCAAAGATACGCTGTAATCGACCGCGACGAGGAATGTGGGGTATGATCATCCTATGATTGAATAGCCTGTATCTATATATCAAATTTTTGGAAGCACCAAAACCATCAAGACAACTTATCCTTTTCAATGTATTGCCAGGTCTGTAAACGTAAAATCTTGATGATGAGCGGAGATTTCAGAATGGCACAGACATATTCTTCAGCTGGACCACTGGCTCCTTTCTATGTCTTTCCTTGTGGGCACTCTTTCCATGCACAGTGCCTGATCACACACGTCACAAGCTGTGCACACGAAGCGCAAGTAAGTCTCGAACCATAAGCTCTTTTTATGAGTTCCCTCTTAAAATTGTGATCTCATTTTTGAAAAAAAAATGTGTCTAGGCCGAGCATATACTCGATCTGCAGAAGCAGCTTACATTACTTGGTAGCGAAACTAGGAGAGACATAAATGGTAATCGATCTGATGAGCCCATAACTAGCACAACTACTGCAGACAAGGTAAGGGACATTTTTTCGTTTCCTTTTTCTATTTTCTCTTAGCATCAATGGACTGACATAATTTCCTTACCGTGAGGCAGCTTCGATCAGAGCTAGATGATGCTATTGCAAGCGAATGCCCGTTCTGTGGAGAGCTAATGATCAATGAGATTGGTCTGCCTTTTATTAAAGCTGATGAAACACAACATTCTGCTTCATGGGACCTCAAACCACAGACCAACTTAGCAAACCAGAGGACCATTTCTCTGCCTGTTTGATTTGCGTCACACCGTGACTTCCTTTTCCTGTAATCTAGCTTCGGAGTGTGAATGTGATTTTGAGTGCTCGATTATTGATTGTAATATTATTATCAAACATGCTTCTTGTAATACATATAATAAGTTTGCTCACCTACTTTGTGTCTCTATATCTATATGAAATATTCTTTTTGTTTTTCCATGATTTTTTCCATCAGTGACGCGATTCGTCTTCGCCTTCAAAATCTTTTTCTGCAGAGACTTTCTTCGCCAGAGCCTGTTTGCTCCATCGCTTCAAGTCATAAGCTTTCTTGAAAGGCTTCTTCTCCTTGGTGAGTCTTTTCTTTGTAATGGCGATTGCAAGATCGTTTGGGAACAGAGTTCGCCAGACAAAGGCATGGAGAAGCGTGGAGACGAACAAAACGCAGACCATGGCCGAGGAAATGAAGGAAAGAGTGAGTGCTAGAGCCCGGCTTGGGTAACAAGGTACCGCCTCTGCATACTTTATCGTTGCTACTGATGCTGTTGTCATAGGAAATGTATATGACCACCACGCCACTGAGAACCTGCAACAGCCCTTAGCCAATTAGTTTCATCGATAAACCGAGAAAGTTCATTGTATAAACCTTGAGAAGGACTTACTTAAACCCGGTGAAGAAGTTGATCCGAACTACAAGGGAAATGTAGAGGAAGAGTGCAATGAAGAAGCAAGTTCTTGAACATCCGTCGAACTGGCCATAGATTGTGTTCCAAGCGATACTAGCTGCTGATGGAGCAGCTATGAACATTGAGTAAACTGGATGAAGCTCTTTAGGCAGAGCTTCACTTGTTGGAAGTCTTTGGTAAAGTGTTACAAACACAACCAAGTAATGCGCAAAACCTACTGCCCACAGAAACTTAGCTACTTCATTCCATCCAACTTTCGAAGCTAAGATGGCTCCAACGAAGTTCCCTACAATAGATAGATGAGAAGACGGGTTTGCGACTTTGCAGAGCCGCCTTCTCCCTCCCGAGAGCCACTGCCCGTAAATCTTTAGCTCAAGGAAGAAGTAAGGAGCCATGAAAACACACAAAATCGCGGGATGGAGAGACTTTCGGTTCGATGAGAACAGAGGAGGTACGCTGATGGCTAGGAACATGCAAACCACCCAAGGAGCGAAGAAGAAGTTGACACGAACCGGGTGGAAATACTCTCTTTTGACAGCTTCGAAGTAGAAGATGCATTTGAGGATGTAAGTGAAGGAGACAGAGACTAAAGCTACTAGTGACAAGAGCCATACAGCTAAGTTAATCAATGGAGGGATGTGTAAGAAGTTTGTAGCGGGGCTTTTCGCTAGTGCAAGCCACAAGACAGCTTGACTGCTAAGTCCTAAACATATACCAAAGCATCCAATCGGAAACCTTAGAAGAAACGGCCATTGTTCCTCTTTTGGAAGCAAGATATCTTCATTGTCCTGCAAGAGAACTCACTAATGAAGCTTTAAAGAGAGAATGAGAGAGGAGAAGAAGAAGAAGAGTATTTGTTTACCTTGACTTCATCTAATTCGGGTCCTCTAAGAGCAGCAAAGTATCTTCCTGCAGAAACATTTTCATCTTTGGTCTCACCATCTTCATTTCTTAAAGAGTTCTCAATATCTCTCTCCCTTATCACAGAAGGCAAGAGAGAGTTTTGTTTGCTGAGCGTGGACTTGGTTCTGAACATACTGAAATCTGCTTTCCGGCCATCTCCACCGTTGATGTTACCGCCTGTTTCAAACCCGGCAAAGCTACGACCACTCCTCGGTAAACTCTTTTTGTCATCTCTTCCTCTAGACTCTCTGTTGAGCACCGAGAAACCTGTCTCAAGCGACACCTGTCTGCTGAAACCTCGGTATGGTCTTTGTCTACCTCGGCTTGGGCCTCTGTTACCGGGAAATCTCTTGTTGTTCTCTTGCTGTTGCGGTTCTTGCTCTCCATCTTCTTCTGGTACTACTTCATTGATGTCGGCGAAGTTTGAATGAGAAGTTGTTTGTTTACTTTCCATTGATCCCAAGAACTTGAAACTTGAAATGCAAGAAAAGAGATTTCTTCTTTCGTATCAGAGGAAACATGATGTATATAGAAAGATGCGATGGACTAAAGTTTAAAAGTTAAGTTTGTGTGGTTAAGAGGAAGAAAAAATCACAAGAAACCTTTGGTGATTTACTGTGTATGTGAACCAATACTTTCCCTGAAAGTTTCTGAGGTTTCTCGTGAAAGTGTTTCTATCCAAACAACCTGGAAAAAGAGAGACGACGAAAGGAAAAATGAAACAAAGCCGTTCCATTGGTCACGAGACTCAAATGCAAACCAAAAAGTAATTCAAAATACATTTGGCTCTCTTCTGTCTCTAAAACCAAGTTGGAGTCGGTTAAGTTGGACCAGTTCGGTTTAGTTGATTCTTTGTGTTTGCTCAAAATCATAATGATTCTGAAAAATTCTTAGGTCTAAGTCTCACATTCAATTTTAGTAATTTGATAGGATTGACCAATATGTGAATTTTGAATTATGTGAATTTTGAGGTGGTTCTTCGCCTAATGATGTACACATAATATACAGTTACAATGTTAAATACACAACATAAAGTTTGTACATATATTACATGACATTTTGATTTTGGAAAGGAATAGAAAAAGTGGAGTGACCAAAATATGTGAAGAAACAAGAATAGCATATATTCTTCTTCTTTTTTCAAGAGATTTTTTTTCATGAATTTGGTCCATTGTTTGCTTTACTTTTCCCTTTAGCCCAACGAAAAACTTTGAATCAATGAGACATAAAATAATACAAAAGTGATAGTAAATCAACTAATAGCCTCGCATGTATTGGACCAAAAGACAAACTCACATAGGCTGTCATTATCTCTCTCTCTCTCTCTCCTCTTGTTTTTTTCTTTCTACGACACCTTTTATCAAAAAAAAGAAAAGCAAACAAATTTTAAACATAAATTCTTGAAGAAAATTTGGTTTTCCAACCAACACGTTAGATTTGTATTATTGTATATATGCAATTATGAGAATGAAACCACAACAACTTGGATTTATTTTCATTATATATGAAATGAAGCATGTAATTCAACAGTCCTATTAATTATAACATATAGAAGCCTCAAATATATACCACCTCACAAGGTTAACTATATTCGAACACACCTTGAATTAAGTCTAATGATAACCTAAGTTAGCTAAAACGTCAACATCCTATCAGAACACAATTAATACTGACTAATTTTTGGATGTCACGTTCGGTTCAGCTGAGTATAGCCTGTATCATCAATTATAGTAAACAACAGAAATTATACATGTGTATGGACTAGAGACTATAGAGTACGAATTAAATACATAATTAGAACATTCAAATAAAAACCAAACTTTTTTGTAACAAAGAACAAACCACTCAAGCTAAGCTCAGTAATTTTAGATTTTATTCAAAATCGTTTAAGAATACAAAATGTAGACAATAGCATGTTACAAATTAGTACAGGTGGAATAATGAGCAAGTTGCCGAAAAAGATAAAAAGAAAGGCAAGTTGCCCAAAAAAACAAAGTGAATGTGCAAATTTAACCAACCAGGAGACAATGCGATTCCGCCTAACAGAAGAAAGAAATTTATTATTTCAACCTTTTTTTACTCTCTATGTTTCGATAGTTTTGGCAAGACAAATATAAAAACGTAACAGTACAAGAGAAGAATTGAAAGAAAATAAAAGAAGAAGATTACAATCTTATATCTTTTAATTCTGCCCCCCTACATTTTCACTTTTGTTATATATATATCCCCTCTTTTTTTTTCATTTTATAGTTTTCCCCAATCTCAACCATTTACAATTAAATCGACTTCCCCCTCTCAAACCGATCCAAACCGGTCCAAAACAATAGCAGAATTCCAAAAGAATCAAGAAACTAAACCGAAAAATAATAAAACGTAAAAATTTAAAATTACTTCACCGGTTTAAATCCAGTTTTCACTTCTGGTTAAGCAATTTGGATCTCTTCCTAGCTTCGCTGTAGAGAACCACTCCCATAATCGTGACTCCGAATCCGGCAACTCCCATCACCGTCACCGGATTCCTAAATATCAGAACCGACACTCCGGCTGCCACCGCGGCTTTCCCGTTCCCCAAAACCTGTAGAGTGAGAGCACTCGTGTGCTTCGTCACCAAGAAATTCGTCAAATTCACTAAATACGCCACTGTCGCATTCCCGGCGAGCAAGAAGATGATCAACGGATCCGTCCTCGCCTTTTCGATTAGGATTCTTAATACATTTCCTTCAATGTAGAGTGAAAATGGTAATAAGATACAAGCCGCCATTGGCGCCATGTAGAGCAGAAGATTCATCGAATGTAGCTTCTCCGACTCCGACGACAGAATAATCCCCTGCACATTCACAAAAACTCAATCAAACCAAACCAAATCAAACCGACAAAATTCAGATCATTACCCAGGAAAAAATCGGATTGAAACTAAATTCGAACACAATTTCGGTCATACGAATAATAACCGGACCAAACCGATAGAATCCGGACGAAATTCGGAAGCAATTTCGGTTTCCATTCGATTAACAGGAAAATCGAGAAAACCAAACCGGTTACGGTTAATTTTTCATACCTGGACGACGGATTTGAGAGCTCTGCCGGCGGTGGAAGCGACGCAGATGAGGAAACCGAAGAGATGAAAAGAAGGTTCGGAGTTAGAAGCGAGGACGATGCCGGAGACGACGGGGAGGAGAGCTAAGTAAACTTCAGTGGACTCAGTTTTACAGGTGATGAGGAAAGAGAAGATGGCGGTGAAGAAAGGCGTGGTGGCTCCGATGGCCTGATTGAAAGAGACAGGGATGTAACGGAGCGAAGTGTTGCCGCACACGACGGAGAGGCAGAAGATCGCCGAGAGAGAAAAGATCTTGAGAAACTGACGGCGCGAGAGGATGTGCTGACGTGGAACGATGCCGGCGATGTTGATCGCGGCGGAGCTGTAGGCGGCGCAGGAGAGCATGTGCGTCATTGTGAGGAAGATTGGGTAGCGGAAACCGTAGTAGAAGAGGAGGTATTTGTTTAGGAGGAGGACTCCTATGTTTGAGCCGAACCAGGCGGCGATTATAGCCGCCGTGAGAACGGCCGGAGATACGGTGGGTGAGGAGAGGAAGAAGGGTTTTCCGGTGGATGATGTGGAGGAGTGTGGAGGTGTTCCGGGGATGTCGACGATTGTTGGTGCGCCGGTTGCGGCGGCGTCGAATCTCGGGTTGCTCATCCGCCGCGTCGTCCATGATTGAGCTTCCACCATCCTCGTCAGGGGCAATATAGGAATAGTTAGTGGTCTCTCTTTATTCTGCTATAGAGAGAAACTTTTCCTTCCTTCCTTCCTCTCACTCTCAGATCTCAAATACCACAAAGAGATAAAAAGTTTCTCTCTATAGCAGAATAAAGAGAGACCACTAACTATTCCTATATTGCCCCTGACGAGGATGGTGGAAGCTCAATCATGGACGACGCGGCTATAGGAATAGTTAGTGGTCTCTCTTTATTCTGCTATAGAGAGAAACTTTTTATCTCTTTGTGGTATTTGAGATCTGAGAGTGAGAGGAAGGAAGGAAGGAGAAAGGAGAAGGAAGATGATGAAATGGAAATCGGACGGTGGAGGTTCAGATTTAGCGGTAAATGTTTGGGTTGATATCAGCCGTTGGATATGATAGTTGGAGGGAATTGATTAATTTTAAAATTAAAAAAAGGAAAAAACAAATCTAACAAAATTAATTTTAAGATTCGAAGTCTTGTGTTCGGAGTCTAAGCATGAGTCAGAAGTGTCGGTAGTAGGTCCACATTTGAGAATTAAGATCCAACGGAGGCAATCTTCTATGACGCACCCTAATTACATTACAACCCCACTGATTAATTATTAGCCTAACCTTTTTCAAGTTTTGTTTTAATTATTGTGCCTAATTCAATAGTAGCACTGGTGGTGTTACAGGAATGGATAATCATAAAACAAAACTGATTAATGGACATGTTAAGTTATTACAGTACAATTACTGTGATGCAAAGACATGATTTGTGTCTTGTAATTAATCCTACGAACTATGTACATAGTACTAAATGTGTAACAAGGTTTGTTTTTATTTTTTCAAGTTATATTAAGTCCTAGATTTTTCATCTTCTAGGTTTAAGTGGTTCAGTCTCTTAGGTGTAAGTTTTTTTTTGTTTTTTTGTACATTTTAATCATGAACTGATAGAAGAATGATTCATTAAATTATTATAAAAAATGTAATTGGTCAACGTGTTTATAGATTTTAAAATAATTAACATTTGACCGTAGTACGTTTTAATAAATTTCGTCACAACTATCAAAATCAAATCAGATCTGTGAAGTAATAACACGATTTTTCTTTTACATCAGCATTAATCACGCATTGAGTTTGTCATAAAATGACTAAACATACGTCTGTGTTATGTATCATTGCATGTGACTTGCCTTGTGACTTGCCTTGTGATATCTTCTGGTTTATCTAGTTACTATTTAGTCACTAAAAGTTCAGTACCAATTATGGTAAAAATATATCTGTTAGCCAATAGAATGCAATATGCTTCACAGAATTTAATGCTGATTTCTGTAAACTATTTTCTTTTTAATTCAAGGGTATTAAAGAAAATAGTTTACAAAATTTCTTTATTGCATTCTTTTGCCACTGATCATGCATGCGATTGCTAATACCCAAGGTAAGTTTTCTAAGACGACTTTAATAATAATAATCACACATCACTTTTCCAGTTTTCCTTGACAAATGAAAAAGGAAATAACAACTTGCACCACCTGGATTTGAACAAAATATCCTTCATGTGAAAGGAAAAAAATAACATAATTGAATAAACTAAAGTGATTGTCCCACATTGAAAAAGAATCCACATATGAAAGATGAAACAGCTAAATCATGAATATTTGTTTTGTATTATACGATATCATCTGAAGTTATATGTCCAAGTTTTAGCCGCTAAACCAAGGCCTCGTGGCCTAGTGGTAAAGGGGTCACAGCTGTGACTTCCGCCATTTGGGTCGAGTCCCCTTGGCCACTCGGGCTGCCTTACATGGTAAAAATATGCAGACTGCTGTGGGCTTCGTGGGATTATTCTTTGGGTCTAAAAAGCCTTTAGGATCCCACGGTTAAAAAAAAAAAAAAAAAAAAAAAAATTTAGCCGCGCATCTATCAATGAAATCATTTTCTCCTTATCACATCGGTCCATTCCCATTTTCTTATCGTACACTAGTGTTTTTGATTCTGTAGATAATAAGATCTCAAATTATATGGTTACATTATAAACACATACTACATGGAAGACATAAGTACTTATAGAGAACTCTAAATAATTATCATATACACGAGGGTATGTGATACGAAGGAGCTATCTTTACTTAGAAGGACCAGCAAACTTTATCTGTCTCTTTGCATTAGATAGATAATGAAATGTCTCCTTTTGTTAATATGACTTGAGACAGAATCCAATGAAAATGATGATAAATGATTATGCCACGTCGCTTAGTAAGAAACTTAAAATGATGGACGTCTAGGTATATTACATCTTTCTAATGACCCCATTAATAGAAACCAGAGAACGTACACAAAATGTTTTAAAATCCGAGGATAACATTTTGTTAAGTCTAAATTTTGAAGTTTTATACTACAGGCAAGTAGTTTTTTTTTTCTTGATACAAAGTTAATTAAAATTGCATAGTAATGATTTATTTAAAGCACATCATCATATATGTTCTCGGCTTTTTTGGTATTCAAAATTCCATGATTGATTTAAACAGTTGTTACGTTTACGAGGATAAATCAAGTGGACCAGACTCTGTAGTAACCATTTGTTTCCATGTGCGACCCAATTCTAGTAGGCCCAAACAATAGTGGGACTAAAGCTATTTGCAATGGTGGGGCCTTAACAACGAAATGTTATCTAAAACATTTGGTCAATATAAATTTAAAAAAAAAAAAGATAACTATTAGAAGACAATTGGCTTCGCCCGGGTTCGAACCGGAGACCTTCAGTGTGTTAGACTGACGTGATAACCAACTACACCACGAAACCAGATGTCCATTGAAATATCTACACGATTTATATACTCCACCAAATTACGAAACAAAGCTCTGCAATTACAGACGCTCACTCTATTTTTTGTTGGTTTTAAGCACTCACACTCTTCGTCGTATTAAGCTGTACTTTCATCATACAATCACACACAGAGTTTGATACAATACAAAAAAAGCTTATGTTATTTCAATACAAATATCAAGTTTTGATCCAAAACAAGTCTCAATTGCTACAAACCATAATCTATTGTCTTCTTATGCCTTACTGGTCAAGAAATCACTGTCTGTAGCTTCCCAAATGACAGTACCATCACAAGTACAAAGCTTCTTGTAATTTTCTCCAACTCCTGCGCTTCTGGCAATCACTGCAGCGGTCAAACCGGGGACTGATTTCGTATCCTCAGTCTTGTAAACCACGACGGCTCTCCCGATAAGATCAGCAACCTTGAGCTTCTCTTTCTTTCCAGAGTAAAACGCCTCTCCGTTTTTGTCTGCCTCTAGTGTTCCCAGGTCACCCAATGGCTGACAAAACAAAAACAAACAAAAGACGGAAATGGTTATGATCTTTAGAGGATTGTGATGATACTTTTTGTGTGTGTTTTAAGAGTGAGTTTGACCAACCTCTGTGGTGGTATGATCTTGAGATGGATTGTACAAGTTCCCTGTGGTGGCTGCTCCGTTTGTGAGATCTCCATACTCGTTGATACACCAGCTGTGTGTTCCGGGAGACAAACCGTTGAAATTGGCTTCAATTCTTGCAAGTTCCATACTCACCTGAGCAAATCGTACCACTCCAAAGATTTCAGGTCCTTTGAATTCAGCTACTGCAGCTGAGATCAAGAAATCTGCCAAACGCCGTCGCAAAGCAAATGTAACAAATGAGAGAAAAGAGGTTTATCAAATGAAACTGAAACGCAGTGTGTTGAAGAGAACGAAGAAGGAAGTGACCGGAGAAGAGAAATCTAACCTTGAGGAACACCTTGTCCAATTAAGCGAGCTTTTCGTCCGGTTTGCTCCAAAGCTTGAGTCATAGCCATTACAGGGGAAGATCCAAGTATCCTCACAACTTGGTTTGGCAAATCAACCTCCACGTTCTCAATTCCTTATTTCAAAGATCAAAATTTCCATTACAAAATGATAAAGCAACAACAGAGTAAATCACAACCAAACAGAACATAGAGATTACGTTATTAATAACAATCTCCTACTACTAACCTTCAATGGTTTCTAACTTGTTCTTCACGGCGTTAACGCAACCCTCACATTTCATATCCACCATAAACTCAGTCTATGAACAACAACATATTAAGAAGACACAGAACGTAAGTTCTCGGTATCTGAATCCGAGATTGTCGTATTAATTGATCAGAAATTGTCAAATTGAAATCAATTCCGAATTCCAGATAGGAAAGAGAAAGACTTACAAGGAGCTGAGGCAGGACTCGATCCTCCTGCAAATACAAAAAAAGAATCCAGCTACTTAAATACTGAATCATCGAATTAGGAAAGGGAAAAAGCTAAAATTGGAATATTGGGTAGCTCAAAAGTTAGAATTTTAACAAACCTGAAGGGGTTTACGATCAGAAGCGGGAACGGTCGTCATGGGAGAGCTAGCGAAGCTTCGGGAAAGCCCCAAGGGACGTGGAGACGATCGGTTGAGAAAGGAGAAATTGAGACACTGAGATTTAGGATTGGCAGAGGACGAAGAAGAAGAAGAAGAGGAGGAGAAGGCGATTGCGATGGGAATCGCAGACGCGGCGGCTACGACGGCTGTAGTCGTTGCCACTGACCTCAGAATTGATGCCATTTTCAGCTTTTTATTTTTGATCCCATTCACATTCACAAAGTCGCTACCTTTAGAAAAAAAAAAAAAAAAAAAAAACAGAACTAACCGGTGACACCTACTCCCTTCTAGACTTCAAAACAGAGTTCAATTCTAGTTAATTTTTTTTTAAGGTTTTTAAAATAATTGTGGAATTTAATCAGGTAAATAATCTTGGTATAGAAAATTATTTTTGGGATTTTATTCATTTAGTAAGTTTTTATGGATACAAATTGTATCATACAATGACATTTTTTTAGCCAAAACCAGGAGGGAGTTCAGGATCTTCTTCATCAATATTGTTGTCAATGTTTTTAGATGCTTCTCCTTTGTTGTCTTCTACAGCTCTTTGAATCAGCTCTTGCTTCTGTTTGCTCGCATCTATTTGGGGACAAGACGATGTTTCACCTTTTGGCACTGGGATGTTACGTTCTGCTTCTCTGGTGGATGATCCGTCTTGAACCCCTCCCAAGATTTCATTAACTTAATTTGTAAATTTATTAACCAGTAAAAAAAAAAGGTTACATTTTCATGACAGTGGAGTTTCTCTGTCTCGCTGTTGCTACTGAACCGTTCTTAACTTCTCTTAAAGGCGGTCTTGAGCAAGACGGTTTTGTTGTTGTTCTTCCTTCTCTGTGCTTAGACCAATCTCCATTGTTGCTATGTCTGTTTTCTTTCAACCTACAAATCAATACTCTCTTCTCCGACTCTGATGGCAATCTGTCTTTCTTCTCTGCTTCCACCACCAACTTATGTTCCTTCCTCAATCTCTCCATCTCTCCTTGTAATCCACAAACCTCTGCTTGCAGGTTTTTCAACTTTGCCTCTGATGATATCGCCTTTCTTCGCCATCCTTCAACCTAAAACAGATTCATGAAAAAAATGCTTAGTCACCAACATTTTCAGGTAACTTTATCAAGTGCTGCGTGATTCTATCTTACTGAGGAATGTAGATTTTGTATCTGAGAATCCGAATCAAGAGCGCGGTTTTGCCAGAAATCACGACAAGACTGAAGCTCCTCCATCTCCTTCCTCACTTGACACAACATTTTTTGCATTTGTGACCATTGCTCTGCCTCTGCTCTTACTTCATCCGCAATCTTCCTCATTACTGCTTTACAGTGTCTAGAACAGTCTTTCTTTTCCTCGTTCGCTTTAACTGTCTGCAAAAGGTAAAAAACTCATCTTGATAAACTTCATTTGAGCTCAATATTGTATAGAGAAAGCACAAAATTACCTTGCTATACATGTCTTGTGCAGATGCATCTTGAAGATCAATGCATTTGGAGACAGAGCTTGATCCATATTCTTTCTCCATTCTTTCCAACAAAACCCCTTTCGACAAGGCCTCCATTTTACTACTCAATGTATCTATCTGCATCACAAAAACATCAAAATCAACATCATGCAAGATCAAGATCATGCAATTGTACATTGTTTGTCACTCACATTGTCATTGTTGTTCTTGGCTAGAGGGTTAGGATTGACCAAGAAGCTAGCTTCTGCCATTTTTCGAATCCCTTTCACACAAACCTCCTCGGAAACTACTCCATCGTCGAATTTCTCAAGCTCTCTTTTCAAAACAGAAGCTTTCTTGTCAAAATTATGTCTGAACTTTCTAGCTTCAATGTCTTTAACCTTTGGAGACTTTAACTCATTCAGCTTCTCAATCAAATAGCTGATCTCATCTTCCAAAACCTTGCTCTCTTTCTTCCCTTCTGAGATCCTCTGTTTCCCCTGAATCCAATCACCAACAGCTTCATACTCAAAACACTCAGCATTCACAAACAAATCAAAAGGAAGAAGAAGAAGACGATTTTGACTTACAGAGAGAAGAGTAAGAACAGCAGATCTAAGCGTCTTCTCCATTCGTTTCTTCCTTCTCTCCATCTTCTTCAAAGCAATCTCCTTTTCTATCCTTAACAAATTACACTCTGATCTCAACATCTCCGCCTGAAACCTCCACTTCGCTTCCTCAACTTCATCAACCGACCCACCAATCTCTCTCCCGTCTGCAACTTTCCCTCTTCTCCTTCCTTCCTCCTCATCACCTCGATCGAACGATCTCTCTTGGTGAAACAGAACCTCCAGCTTCACTCTACGATCCTTCTGAGACGAAGAAGAAGAAGAAGAAGGTGTTGCTGTTGTCTTCCCCTTCGTGGAGTTTCGCCGAACAATGTGCCTACGTGGCAACTGAAGAATCCTCGGCGTTGGAAGGCCCACTTGTGGATACTGCCATTTCTTCATCACCGTCGCTGTCGCATCGTTTCTTCTCTCCATTTTTCTTTTTACCGCCGACTTTAACAAAAAAGCAGAGGAAGTCTCTGTTCTCTGTCTTTGTCTCTTCTGTCAGAAAAAGAAAGACATCATTTTTAGACTATACTAAGTGAAAACTCCGATCTTTAACTTTCTCTCTCTCTCTTTGCTCTGTCGTATTTTGAAAAAGAAAATCAAAACCCTTTTTTTTTGTTACCGTTTGAAAATAAGAATCACTCGAAAGCAGAGAAGAAAAGAGACAACCTTGGAGAATTCAAGTGCAACATCAAAAGATCCCCAATTTTTTCGTAATTTTAAATTATGTTTTTTCTCCATTGTGGTGGATTTATATATATAATGAATCCGGGTTTAACGATTTTCGGGTCTGGTTCTCGAGTAAAGCCTACGGCGAGAGAGAGATAAGGAGAGAGAGAGAGATGAAAGAAACCTCGTGAAGTGGAGCCATTTTCAAATAAAAGCTGTGTTTTGTTGGGTGTCAAAGTTCGTGATGAAACCGCTGCTTCCTCTTCTTTTCCATTTATTTACATTTCTACCACTACCAAGAACTTCATTGGATGATAATCATTCAAATCTGTTTTCCCCTTTTTACGATAGCCATTAATATACATAGTGACCAGTGAACAAGTGGGTGTTTTTTTGTTGTCTTTTTGTCAACGACTAGTGATTGTTTACTCCATTCATGTGTTTTTTCGTAGTCTTTTCAAATACTCATGTGTTACATACATTAGACGATTCAAAATCATTCAAACTCGATAGGAAAAAAAAAACATACTATATTATTTGGAAAGGTTATTGCAGGCCACACAAAACATTATACATTTGGACGCTCCACATAAGTATCTCTACGGTTCATTAATGGTGTCTGCAGTAACCTTCTTCTTTAGTTCATCTCCAAATGACACAAACGTCAAACTGCACATAAAAGACCCTTTCTATATACTTCTTTCGTTTTGATTGTCAATGGAAGAGATTTGGGTCTCGACGTTTGTTTATATCTTTGGTTACTACTTTTTTCCCCTTAAAATTAACATTTAAAAGTTTCCTATTGAAGAAAACCAACCAAATATGGACCCCAACTCTGTATGTTACATACTTTTCAAGCATTTTATAGGAGATTTCTACTTAGATTCAACGACCACAAGTTCCTCTGCAAAATAGATAGCACAAGGACACGTGGCAACAACCCATTTGCTTTAAATTCATGTTTTGGATAAGGAAATGGATCATAATCCCTCAAAAATCAATTCTTTTTCCCCACATCCCCAACTTTTTAAACACAATCATCACCAACTAACTCATCAACAAAAGCAGAGAGATCAAGAGATCACACGTGGGAATCAACTTACCATTTGCAATGGCATCAATGACCATGACATCTTCATTTCTCCCGGCTGAGTCATAGCCATTACAGGGGAAGATCCAAGTATCCTCACAACTTGATTGGGCAAATCAACCTCCACGTTTTCAATTCCTTTTTTCAAAGATCAAAGTTTCCATTACAAAATGATAAAGCAACTACAGAGTAAAATCATAACCAAACAGAACAAATGATAACAATTTCCTACTACTACTAACCTTCAATGGTTTCTAACTTGTTCTTCACGGCGTTAACGCATCCCTCGCATTTCATATCCACCATAAACTCACTCTGGCAACAACAACATATCAACACACAGAAAATAAGTTCTCAGAAGCTGAATTCTAAATTGTTCTATAAAATTATCAGAAATTGAAGATGGAATCCGAATTCCAGATAGGAAAGAGAAGCTCTTACAAGGAGCTGAGGCAGGACTCGATCCTCCTGCAAATACAAAAAAAGAATCCAGCTACATAAATACTGAATCATCGAATTAGGAAAGGGAAAAAGCTAAAATTGGAATATTGGGTAGCTCAAAAGTTAGAATTTTAACAAACCTGAAGGGGTTTACGATCAGAAGCGGGAACGGTCGTCATGGGAGAGCTAGCGAAGCTTCGGGAAAGCCCCAAGGGACGTGGAGACGATCGGTTGAGAAAGGAGAAATTGAGACACTGAGATTTAGGATTGGCAGAGGACGAAGAAGAAGAAGAAGAAGAGGAGGAGAAGGCGATTGCGATGGGAATCGCAGACGCGGCGGCTACGACGGCTGTAGTCGTTGCCACTGACCTCAGAATTGATGCCATTTTCAGCTTTTTATTTTTGTTCCATTCACATTCACAAAGTCGCTACCTTTAGAAAAAAAAAAAAAAAAACAGAACTAACCGGTGACACCTACTCCCTTCTAGACTTCAGAAAATGGATCAGTTTTGTTAATTTGTGAAATTTAATCAGGTAAATAATCTTGGTAGAGAATTTTGTTTTTGTTTAATAACTAAGATTGGGCTAATTGTTGTTTTTATAAATAAAAAATCGAGACTTTATTCATTTAGTAAGTTTTATGAATACAATGACATATAACATAGTTAGCCAAAGCCAGGAGGGAGTTCAGGATCTTCTTCATCATTGTTGTTGTCAATGTAATTACTACTACTACATGCTTCTCCTCTGTTTCCTTCTACAGCTCTTTGAATCAGCTCTTGCTTCTGTTTACTCGCTTCTATTTGGGGACAAGATGATGTTTCACCTTTTGAGACCAGTGTTGGTGAGATGTTACGTTCTGCTTCTCTGGTGGATGATCCGACTTGAACGCCTCCAGGGTTTGATAATGTATCGTAGACGGATTGGACGGTTTCTCTGATTTCATTCTTCATCCCATCCTCTGATCTTATTATCCCCCACAACCCATCTGAGAGCTGGCTCAGCATCTTGCTCCTACAAGAACAAAGATCCAAACTTTTTAGTATTCTGTCAATCATCATAGCCTGTTACAAACAACTCACAGAAGGAACTATGTCTCTCTTTTTACTTTACCCGACTTCTTGGAATATAGCATCAGAGAGTTGTCTGGTTTTCATATTTTGAGCACCATGTCGCTTCAGAGCTGTGGACTCCTTGACAACTGATATCATGTTCTTTCGTAATTCCTCCTGCAATTCCAGATAACCGCTTTATTAGTAGTCAGAATGCAATGGAGAAACACATGCCAGAGGTAAATTTCAAGGCACTTTGGTGACTAGTTAACTCTCCAAATCAGCATTCACTCGATGAACATCTAAAGCAACTTCAGTCAGATACACTTATCCCAAAACCAAGATCAACCATCAAAACTTTTCCTATCTAAATCCCAATTCAACACTAATTTTCCGGAAAACGAAGCCCAGACTTTTCTTTCCACACACATATCCATATATCAGCCGTGACAATATGAGAGAGCTAAACGCAAGACAATCCGTCATTGACCACAAACTGAAATCCAACGCCATGTTACAAAACAGTAGAATCGAAGCAGAACTGCAGAAGTTGGAATTATTCGATCAAGATCAAAGTAGCTGCTAAGTAAAATACCTAACCCACTCGCGGAGGACTGAGCTCAGTCTATATGAAGCAAAGATGCAAACTTTAATCAAACTTTCAAAAACACACTAATTTATAAACTGCATTCGTTTTACTCAGCTCAAATTGACTAAGATTCGCTAGATCAATGGCAGCTGTGTTACAAGGATCCAAAAAAACTGACGCAAATTAAATCACATTACGGTCAACAATCAAAATCGACTGACCATTACGGTGCCAGGAAGGTATTGGGAATCGAGAGACTATAGGCCCTAATCAAAGGAGCTAAGAGAAAGAGGGCTTACGTTTTCCTTGAGGCGGCGTATGATTTTGAGGCGGAGACGGTCAAAATCTCCGTCGTCTTTGAGCTTCTCTACAACTTCCTCCTTGCTTATCTTCCTCGCCATCGCCACTACTCCTCCTTCCTCTTAATTTCTATTTTTTTTCCCCTTTGTTTTTAAGAAAACAAAAATTTGGTTACAAAAATAATACGTTTTGCCGGAATTACTCAGTAAGTAAATAAATCAAATTATGTTATTTTGGCCAAAATAAATAATCTAAGCCACTAATTTCATTGTTAGTATTCTTTTTTTCATTACTTTCCATATCATAAATAGACCATTTTTTTTCAATATAATTTCTGACGAGTAATTAAATTTATTGGCCGAGAATAACGTCAAAAAGGGAAAAAAAATGTTGCCGAAAATAATAGGTAGATTTCAATAGTATATGGGCTCAGATTTATTAGTTTGAGAAGTCCAAAAATCTATTACAGAATGAGGATATAAATATAAATTTTAAAGGCATATGTCGATTGTCGACACACACAAAAAAAAAAAAAAAAAAAAAGGAAAAGAAGAAGAAGCAGAATATGAACATTGAATACAACGAGGAGCATTACCGTGGGGTGGATGAGTACTGGCGAAAAGTGGCTGAATCCGATGTATGTATTTCTTTCCTCTTCTTAGTTATTTATTGATTTGGAGGTTGATCCGTTGGTAGGGATGACTATTGTTCTTTGTCACACAAAAATTAACCCTAACCCTCATGATCACATGCACTCGTAGCTTCTAGGGTTGTTCTATTACTAATTTTTTTGTTAACTTTTTGTATTAATTAATTAGGGTTTCGACATCGAGGGTATCAAAGGGCCACTAGGTATGATTGGACTCATGACCTTCGAGTGCGAAGGTCTAGACTCTTATACGTATGCCTATCCTTCTTTGGTCCACGGTTATGCTAAGATGGGACTTCACCTGTACAATATGCTTAAGGTAAAAACTAGTCTCTTCTCCTTGATCCATCTTCCCTTGGTGATTTCTGTTATAATACTCTGTTTGATTTTTTTTTACAGGGAACTAACTTGGAGTTCCATTCCCTGATGAAATTTAACATGCTACAGAATCTTGTGTCATCATATTTCATAACATTGGAAGCCTATGACCCACTCGGCCAACTTTTGCCGTTTCAAGTTCATGCTGAAGAAAACCTTTATTGCAGTTTGGATTTTACAGTTTTCATTGCTAGGCCTAAAAGAACTCGAGGAGGTAAAAATGACTGATTTGAAATTTGGTGCAAATTCTTTTGTTTTTTTGTTTACAAGTCTTATAAATCTTACTCTCTTACTAATATTGTTGCATAGCAGCGACCACCAGTCAGCCCATATCTCTGCATGGGAGAGGAGTAATTGCGGATGGATTGCCTGATTGGCCCTCAGAGGATATCATTAGTGATAGACAACGATTTTTCGAGGTAAGGAAGGCAACATCAATTTTGTTTCTCTCATGATCATTTTAGAACTAGTGGTATATTATGTTTCTTTTTTTCCATGCAGCTGGAGGAACATGTGGTGAGGAACACTAGTTGGATTCAAACGTATCTTGAACTCACAGTTTATACAAAGGATAGGTTTATTCCAAGGGTAAGTTTTTCCTGTCTTTTATTTTTTATTTTTTGTATCAGCGACATAATACCATGAGTTTCTTTCTACATGATTTGTTGGTAGTAATTATTATTAACATCTTGTTTCAAAACTGTTGTTGCTGCAGGAGGATCTGTACAAGTTAAAGATTGTGAAAGTGGTGATGGAAACAGGTAATGCAGATGTAGAGCCGCCGAATCAAAGACTCAACGCCAAAAATGAAACTTTCTACATAACGTTAAAGGGCTTGGCCATTCGTGGGACTGGTGAGCATGTTGAACGCAAAGCGATCGTTAGAAGAGTCGTCAATGGGTGGGCAGTACACTTGTCTCTGAAGGGTGAGTTGTGCAGCAGAGAAGAAGATTTGGTGAAGATTATGAGTTGGGAAGAAAAACATAGGCGAAGCTTAGAAACGGGTTCATGGAGTTCATCGACATGTCCGAATCCGTAAATGAGGGTCAAGATCCATTTGAAAATGTGGATCAGACAAATAAACTATTTATGTTGTACTAACTACTAATAAACTATTAATCCGTAAATGAGGGTCAAGTTCCATTTGCATTTGGGGTTGTTATTTCGTGCGGTGTGCGTATTTTTTTAAGAGTAGTACTTGCTTGTTTGACTGCAGGAGTAATAGCCGACCGAGAGGCTGAATACGAATTTGAGCAACTGAAATTAAACCTAAGATCTTTACCTTAAAAATACCACCCAACCAGAAGAAGTTTAGGCATTCACCAAAGATCATGATCTTGTAGCTTCTCGCATATTTTCTTCATGAAGATACACAGATCATGATCTCTGGTGAATGGTGATGTTCATCAAAACCATGATTGATTCATTAATCAATGATACACAGTTATGTAATATGGAAGAAGATCAGATGGACCGCATCTCTATAACTATAGCAACCTAATCCTGACCCAAATCTTTCCCAACTTAAATTCATTAAATTCCAGCAATTATTGCAAAATCATTTTGTCCCTACAAGAGTCTATGCAATTTATAGGATGCCATGCGGCCATCATGATTCATGACTAGAAAAGAAAAACATCTATTTTCTTAGTCCTATATATTTGATAGAAATATTAAATAGCCATAAGTTTTCGCATGAATTGACATAAAATCATAAAATACAAACTTTTCTTTCACACAGAACCCCCCCCAAAATATAAAATATAGGTCTTTGATTCAAATGTTATTGGGCGGCCTAACAAATAAATATTATATTTCTGCATCTTTGGTAACTAGAAAACGACATAGCCTTTTTTTATATACAAGTTAGTAACGTGAAATACTGCGCATTATATCGATTGGACGATGTTATTACCTTTTTCTTTAGTTCCTTGAATCGATGTTACTGTCGGATGAAATCAAATACTCCTATGTTTAACGCACATTTTAAACGTTTATGATTATATCCTTGCGTCAATTTACTAATAGCCACTAAATGAACAGCTCAAGTTAAAGACTTTTGAAAAAGCTTTCCGAGATAAATTTAATCGTTTATTTAGTATCACCTACTTGTTGACAAAACAAAAATTAGTATCACCCACTTACTTACTCGGAGTCGTAGGACTAGGCCCGGCTAATCTTTCTGAGACTATAATATTTGAGGTCACAAATCTGCCCATCACATCCCTCTTATTAATCCTATAATCATACGGAGAAACAAAAAATCTTGGATAGTATAAACTGGCTCACAGCTTTGCTTCTATCAAATTTCTATACAAAAAAAAAACTATAAAAAAAACTCTCACACCACCCAAAGATTCTTTTATTACCAAGAAAGTTCCCACAACCGCCAACAAGAAAAAACGACACCATCATATGGATTTTGCATCTTCTTCATTGTTCACACTAGATTTTGCCTGTGAAAATGAGTTAGATTTCTCGAGTTTGCTCACTCCTCCAACGTTTATATCGTTCCAAGAACCTATTAATCCATCTTACCCGATCGTTCATTGTGCCAATATTGAAAACGATGGAAGACAAAGAATCTACGAGACGGCCATGACAAAAGAAGAAGATGAGCCGAAGAACAAGAGAGCGAAACATAGAGAGATTGAGAGACAAAGAAGGCAAGAAGTCACGTCTCTTTTCAAGAATTTAAGATTCATATTGCCATTTCAATACATTAAGGTAAATACATTTTACCATTCTTCGTTATCGATCGTCTTGATTAATTAGATCGTCTAAACAAATATTTTTATAAAACACTATATAAATTAATTGTCTGATTTTTATCTAATCTTGGTAATGAACTATTGTATAAACAGGGTAAACGTTCTTCATCAGATCACGTTCAAGAAGCTGCGAATTACATCAAAGACTTACAGAAGAAGATCGAAGAGGTCACTGATAAAAGAGATCGACTCAAGAGATCCATCACTGATCCATCTTCAACAGAAGAGTGTTCTATACAATCATTATCACCATCACCATCACTAAACTGTTCTTGTGTTGGAGAAACACACATTGATGTCGTGGTCAGGACCTGTTTGCTTGGTATCGAGATCGTAGCAAGTTACTGTTTCAGAAATAAATCTTGCCTCTCAAGTCTTCTTCAACTTCTCGCTCAAGAACAATACCTTCATGTTGTTAGTTGTATCTCAACTAAAATACACCAGAGATTCATACACACTATTGTTTCCCAGGTAATAATCTATAATCTACATTTTCACTGAATTATTTGATTTTTAAAGAAATTCTTAAAACTGTGCAGGTTGAGAATGGCATAGAGGTTAACTTATCGGAGCTCCAAGAAAATATAGTATTAATGGGAATATCGTAGTTAAAGTTAATTAATTTATACTCGTAAATCAAATTTAACCAACCAATAGTCGAGTGACAGTTGGTTTGGTAAAAAGTAACGGACGAGCTCACTATAAACTGTAGATTAGATTCCCTCACTCTTCTTCATCCTCACACTAACAATAAGTCAACGCAATGGAGGAATCTTCAGAATCTCCGCTTGTCCTCCTTCACCGGCCACCGTCACTGGTTTTTATGGACGAGCTTCTGGGTCGTAACTATCGGATTCTCGATATCAACACCTCATCGGATCCACTCCCGATCTTCCTCTCCCGTCACGCCGCCTCAGCCAGAGCATTCGTCAACATCGCCAGGCTTCCGGTGACCGCCGAGCTGCTCTCCCTCCTCCCTAATCTCGAGATAATCATCTGCACCAGCGTCGGCGTCGATCACATCGATCTCGCCGAGTGCAAGCGTCGGGGAGTCGCTGTCACCAACGCTGGCGACGCTTTCTCGGAGGACGTGGCGGATTCCGCCGTCGGTCTGCTTATTAGCGTCCTCCGTCGCGTTCCGGCCGCCGATCGGTACGTCCGGTCCGGTAATTGGAAGAAATTCGGGGATTACCAGTTAGGATCCAAGGTTTGTTCGATAATCAAACTCTCAATTTTGGAATCTGGTGATCTCCATTCGATGTGATGATAAATTAGGTTGAATACAAAAGGGGAAAAGTAGAAAAGTATTGACTTTTGATCCTTAAAAGCGAATTCGTAATTGAATTCTTTGAAAAGTTGGGGAATAATAAGAAAATGAATTGTGGATGGTGGTGGGTCTTCATGATTCTGCAGATTTAAGAGAGAGAGAGGGAGCTTTAGATTGTGGGGTACAGAGAATGTGTTGGTAAAGCTTGATAAGATACAAGAAGTCTCTCTTAATGGAAGTTAATGCAGAGTAGAGTTTAAAGGTCTTGGACCACAAAGCACTATCATTTCTCTGTTTCTTTTGAAATGTGACTGAACTTCTACAATTGATTTTTGAGTTTGATCAAGAGAAGGAAGAAAGCTGCTTGTCTATGGATCTTGTTATGCTAGTGAAGTCTTTGTGGTGTTTATGATAATCTGTCTTGATTCAGGTGAGCGGGAAGCGAGTTGGGATAGTTGGGTTGGGGAGCATCGGATCTTTTATAGCCAAAAGACTTGAACCTTTTGGTTGCATCATCTCTTACAATTCAAGAAGTCAGAAACAGAGCATTCCGTACAAGTACTACTCCGACGTTCTCTCCTTAGCAGCCAACAACGATGTTCTCATCCTCTGCTGCTCTCTGAATGATGAAACACGTCACATTGTGAACAGAGAAGTGATGGAGTCGCTTGGGAAGGATGGGGTTATAATCAATGTGGGAAGAGGAGGGTTGATCGATGAGAAGGAGATGGTCAAGTGTCTGGTCCAAGGAGTGATTGGTGGTGCCGGTTTAGATGTGTTTGAGAACGAACCGGAAGTTCCTGTGGAGTTGTTTGGTTTGGACAATGTTGTGCTGTCTCCACATTCTGCTATGATCACGCCAGGGTCTTTTAAGAATGTTGAAGATGTTGCTTTCGCTAACCTCAAGGCGTTTTTCTCGAACCAGCCTTTGATTTCCCCGGTTCAATTTGATTGAGTGATCGTCTGGTTTCATCAATGTCGCTAATAATCAATGTGTATCTTTATTATTACTAAAGATATAAACACCATTGCAAGAAGAGGTATATGTGTGTTAAAATATATACCATTGCAAAAAAAAGGCATTGAAGATAATAATATGATAAAAAGAGTTAAAAGACCATCCTTAGTTAAATTTCTGAGCCTAAACAAAGGTTGCAGCGATAAAATAGTCGTCAGCGAGCATTGGAAGAACACCATCGGCGACTAAAACGTAAAAAGTCCAAAAATAAAGTGAAACTCTATAACGACCAAAAACACTAAACCCTCCAATGGATTCAGTGGATCCATATATGCGTAAAACAACATAGTTCCGCTGAAATGAGCAACATGGCCTGATTTAGCGACGATTAGCGGGTCGTGGAATTCGAACCATCTCACTCCAACTTCCGCTAGGCTTAAAAAAAGATACACGAAGTTGATGGGGCCAATCACAGATTTACACAGGTCGAGAGTAGACTCATTTGTGCATAAAACCTGAATAACCAGCAATGCATATCCCGTGATGAACACGGAATGCATCACTTTTGAGTAGACAACACTTGAACACATCCTGCGATTAATTTTTACCCAATTATTAAGGCATCAAAACATTCAAAACCTTTTGCTTCTAATTAATGAACATAAATATAACAATGGATTAAGAGTTGAGACACTCACTTGATGGTAAACCCAAGTCTTCGTCTCCACATTTCTTTTCGGGTCTCTTCCTTCTACAAGACAAATATTAAGATGTAAGATGAACTTCAGATTACGAATAAGCCAAGTTTAGATGAATCTAATTTGAATTGGAAAACAAATAAATATAAAGTGATAAACAAAGTGGTAAATTGTTCTGCTAAATGGGAGCTTTTATTTTCTGAGTGTGACAAATTTCATAGATCTACCCCCAAAAAATAAAGAAAAATCCGAGTCCGTATCTAAACACAGCAATTTAGATATACAGAAACCAAATTATCAACAAAATTACCGGAGAGAGTAAGGGGTAATCAGCAGCCATGACGATTTAGATTATGGCGAGGAGGGAGAGAACACAATCTTTATGCTTGTGAATGTACGGTTGCTCGAGAGTTTATTAAAAAAAAAAAAAAAACAAAAAAGAGAGAGTAAAATCTAAATAATAGGGTTAGACAAGATACAGTCCTTGAGGATCCAAGATGGTTCGCTTCGAAAATACCGTATCTAAACCCTAAACCATTTGACTTGTTTTTTTCTTTTATTTTAATACCTTATTGATGTTTGTTAATGGCTTTAAACGTCCAAGAATTAGCTCTTTTATTTTTTTTTTAGTTTATCCTGGTAAAATATTTGGTTTTTTGTTTTTCAAATCGAACTTTCTCAAGTTGCTGTTAATTATAGAATGGTTTTGGACTATGATACAATGTTAATTAAGTTTTATAAAACTTAAACTGAAATTCACTTTATAGTCCACAATATACTCTTTTTGGGTCAGTCTAGTTTTCTAACAAATGGCTCTTGAATTCACATCTCAAATCCAACTCCCAACAAATGGATCAACTCAAGAATCTATAGACGATACGCTATATTATGTCTTAACTTGAAAAGTTATTTTCAAATTAGAAACGTGGTAAGCATTGCTTTTAACCACTTCAAGAAGGTTTAGATGAGTTTGTTTTTTAGTTAAAAATTTACATTTTTTTACCATAATATATTGCGTAATGGATTGTGCTAGTGCCCTCGTAACGGCACCATGCATCTAAATTCTAAACCAAAATCCGTGACAGATGTTGAAAAAAACTCATGCAGTTTAAAGTTATAGTTTTCTTGGAGAAGTAAAACTGAAATTGTGGCAGTTGTTAGAATGTCTTATTTGTATTTCTCAATATAAGATTAGTATGAAATATTCAATGAACGTACTTATAATAATGAAAAGGATTTATCATGCCTCCGTAACCGCCGAAACGAATAATAGTTTGTTGGTACACGTAAAACATACTCTTTAAGAGAAGAAGGCCTCAACGACCGAAGTGTTACAGCTCTTATCAAATTTCAATGGTGGAATCTTTGGATCCTCCGCTTGTCCTCGTTCACCGGCCACCGTCTCTGGATTACTTCGACGAGCTTCTGAGCCGTAACTTCCAGGTTCTCAACACTCACGTCTCATCGGATCCCATCCCGATCTTCCTCTCCCGTCACGCCGCCTCCGTCAGAGCGTTCGTCAACATCGGAAGGCTTACGATTGACGCCGAGCTCCTCTCGCACCTCCCTTCTCTCCAGCTACTCATCTGCACCAGCGTCGGCGTCGATCACGTCGACCTAGCCGAGTGCAAACGTCGCGGCGTCTCTGTCACGAACGCTGGCGACGCGTTCTCGGAGGACGCGGCGGATTGCGCCGTCGGTCTGCTTATCAGCGTTCTCCGTCGTATTCCGGCCGCCGATCGTTACGTCCGGTCCGGTAATTGGGCGAAATTCGGAGCTTTTCATTGTTTTCAACTAGGATCAAAGGTTTGCTCGGATTCAAAAACTCTTAAATCTCGAATCTGATGATCATGGCAGTATTGGGATCCGATTCGTCAGTTAAAAATTTGATGTCTTGATTAAAAAAACAAACTTTACAGGACGAAAACTTTGGTTTTTTTTTTTTAAGTTTGATTCTTTAGACTCTGTTTGAGTTTGATGAGAAGAAAGACTAAAACTTTTCCAAAAGATGTTGTTTTGTTAATGAAAGTCTTTGTGGTGTTTATGATAATCTGTCTTGATTCAGGTGAGCGGGAAGCGAGTTGGGATAGTTGGGTTGGGGAGCATCGGATCTTTTATAGCCAAAAGACTTGAGCCCTTTGGTTGCATCATCTCTTACAATTCAAGAAGTCAGAAACAGAGCATTCCGTACATGTACTACTCCGACGTTCTCTCCTTAGCAGCCAACAACGATGTTCTTATGCTCTGCTGCTCTCTGAATGAGCAGACGCGTCACATTGTGAACAGAGAGGTGATGGAGTCGCTTGGTAAGGACGGGGTTATAATCAATGTGGGAAGAGGAGGGTTGATTGATGAGAAGGAGATGGTCAAGTGTTTAGTCCAAGGAGTGATTGGTGGTGCCGGTTTAGATGTGTTTGAGAACGAACCGGAAGTTCCTGAGGAGTTGCTTGGTTTGGATAATGTTGTGTTGACTCCACATGCTGCTGTGGCCACGCCAGGGTCTTTGAACAATGTTACTGAGATTGCTCTGGCTAATTTGAAGGCGTTTTTCTCGAACCAGCCTTTGGTTTCTCCGGTTCAATTGGGTTGAGAGATCGTCCGGTTTAGTCAAAGTGGCTCAGAATTGTTAAGTCTCCTTGTATATGATAGGAGGAGACGACAGAGCTTAGAGTTAAATTAAGAAGCTATTATGTAATTATGGGAGTGATCTGAGATGGAATTAAGGCTATTATTAAGCCATTGTAAAAAATTATACTGCTAATGATCAAGTAAAATTGACATAACGTATCTACATAACGAGCCTAATTCGATTATTTGCTGATAAATAAATTTGTTCCGTCTTCTCTCAAAATCACTCACAAAAACCTAATTCAAGCATAAACCCTAGCTTTGTGGGGTAAGTATGAAATCAATCCCATCTCAGAAATTCTGTCTAAATTTAGAAAAACCAAAAGATTTCATCTCACAATCTTGTCTCGTTGCGTTTAGAATCACTCGAAAAAATCTGACCCAATTCGATTTTTTGTTCTGATTTCTCTTTGATGAATAAATAGATTCGATTTCGATATCATGGATCCTCAACCCGAACCGGTTACTTACGTATGCGGAGGTAAGCTCGAACCATCTCTACATCGAACTTTTTTTTCAAGTTAAATATGATCTGCTTAGTCTCTGTGAAATGCTAAGCTTGTTGTTCATAGGAGAGCAAATGCTTTTTTTGAGTAGCCTTATGAAGCCTAATCTTTTAGGAAATTTCATAATTGGCTTAGTTAGGAGCCATAAATCAATTTGAAAATTGAGGTCTTTTTGAGGAGGAGCTTTGCTTTTTCTCAAATCAAGCTTCTTCCAAACACAAGATTGATTTTGGATCCTTCAGATTAGATAAGCTAGATTTGGCTTAGAGGAATGTAGAATATATATATGGTTTTGTTGATTCCAAGATGACCTAATTGTGACTGCTATGTTTCTTTATATGTGTAGTCTTGAAGTTTGATTCGCTCTGCCGTTGAAGTCTGTTGTTGATAAGTCACTGCGACCTTCCACATATATTGTTAACATGTTTTCTGGGATAAAGATTATACCTCGTGATGAGGTAAAGTTACTAGTCTCATTGAATTCTGAATGTGTTACGTCTGGCTTGAGTTTGATGTTGTTATATTTTTTATTAGGTGCGTGACGATAGCTCAGAGGAAGAAGAAGCGAAATCTAAAAGTGGGAAAGATGGAAGAAGAAGAAAGAACAAGGACATTGATAGAAAGGAAAGTAGGAGAGCTGGGAAGAAGATTGTTAAGGGTGGAGATGGCGAGAGCGATGACGACGAATTGATCAAAGGAGATGTTGTTAGAAAGAGCATGGGTCTTGATTGGATGCTGCCGCCAACACGAAAGGCTGATCCAAACCCGACCATAGATGTAGAGGAGAAAACAGTTGAAGAGGTGGCCAAAGTAAACCCAAAGGAACTAAATCCTCATTTCAAAGGCAATGGAACCGGTTTTCCTGAACAAGAGCCTGAGAAAAGACATGGCAGAGACCAGCTTTTACCAACTTGTGTTGTTGGAGACGGAGGTGCGAGTTGGAGAATGAAGTTACTCAAGCGTGCAAAGGAACACGCTGCAAGAAACGGGCACAGTCTTGAGGAGGTAAAGTGTTTCCGTATTGTTATGATGAGCTTAAGCATAGTCTCTTTGGCATTTTTTGTTTTTTGTGAGTTTTGTGAGGTTTTTTTTATGCAGGTTGTTGGAGAACGATATGGTTCTCTTGGTGATCTTGTTGAGTCTGTGTCATCTCAACGAGCAGCTCCATCTCGTGCTCATTTGCATGCCATTAACAATAGAAGAAGAGTGAACACTGAAGAAGACAAGGATAAAGAGAAAAAACCTGAACGAGTTTCTGAGAAGGTACTTGAAGTCCGTTTTATGTTTACTTGTCATGTGCTTTAAGGTTAAAGCTAATCTTCTAACAATGTGTCTGTCATGTTTTCATTCAAAGGGTAATGGTAGGGACTATTTGAAGGACGATTCGCCGCGTCATCGTGTATTGAGAGCTCCCAAAACCGACCCTTCATTATCATGGGGAAAGAGAAAAGCTCAAACTCAAAGACAAGAAGACTCGAAGCTGATATCTGAAGCTGCATCTCACTTGAATAAGTTCTCAAACGATGGGAACTTCATGAAGGAAGTGCTTTCTACTCGTGAAGAAGGAAGAAGCGATGTGGAGCGGACAACATTACCGTCTTCAGAGACCAATAAGGATAGTGAATGGACTCTTGCTGGTATGGAATCTCTAAGTGTGAATCAACTGGCTGCTAAAGCCTTACAGCTCCGTTTGAAAGGGAAAGTCGAAGAAGCTCAGAAACTTACGGAAGAAGCAGAGAGGCTAAGAGCAAAGCAAGCAGTTGGAGATGATTCATCCAAAGAAGACAGAATCAGAAGTGCATCGAGGTAAAGTTTACTTTGATTTTCTTAGCTGTGTTTATGGCGTTTCTCTTTCTGATTCTTTGTTATTGCTCATTAGGTATGATGTCAAAGAAATGTAAAGTAGAAGGAAGAATCAAGATGATGACACGGATATGCATCTAGCCAAGAGCATAATGCATAACAAACTGTACAAAACAGCAAACCAAGCTGCTGATGATGAGTATGAATACGGAGAAGCTCCAAGCAAAAAGTCCCGGAAGCGTGAATCGTCGTCGTCCGGTCCTGATAACAACCGAGTGAAACGCATCTTGACTCAGCAAGAACGTTGTCTCTTCTGTTTCGAGAACCCTAAACGGCCTAAACACTTGGTTGTGTCGATCGCAAACTTCACCTACCTGATGTTACCACAGCATCAGCCTCTTGTCCCAGGCCATTGCTGTATCTTGCCGATGCAGCATGAAGCATCAAGCAGAAGCGTCGACGACAACGTCTGGGACGAGATCCGGAACTTCAAGAAGTGTCTCATCATGATGTTTGCGAAACAAGGGAAAGACGCAGTGTTTCTTGAGACGGTGATCGGTTTGGCCCAGCAGCGTCGTCACTGTTTGATCGAATGCGTACCGATTCCCAAGGAGATTGCCAAAGAAGGTCCTCTCTACTTCAAGAAAGCCATCGACGAATCTGAGAGCGAGTGGAATCAGCACAATGCGAAGAAGCTCATTGACACTAGCGTCAAGGGTTTGAGGAACTCGATACCGAAGAATTTTCCTTACTTCCACGTCGAGTTTGGTCTGGACAAAGGGTTTGCTCATGTGATTGATGATGAGCAACAGTTCAATAGCAATCTTGGATTGAATGTGATCAGAGGAATGCTTGAGTTGCCGGAAGAAGACATGTACCGACGGAGGAGGCAGGAGTCGGTTGAGAGCCAGAAGAAGGCTGTTGTGAGCTTTGCACGTGAATGGGAACACTTTGATTGGACGAAACAACTTGATTAGCAAGTTTGTGGTTTGTTTTGTAAACACATACATAATCTAGGGTTTTAGCTCTTTTCAACAGAATTTTTTTGTTGTTAAACAAATTGCGTTGATCCTCTCTAAAGTCCTACGCAGCACACCGCAAGTGAGAAATTATTTTATTCCTCATATGCAATTTACTCAGATTACGGAGACAAATTTGCCGAAAATTTCAGTGTATTGCAAACAGAAAAATTATCTAGAACTTGCATGTTAAAAATACAGGTGCATACACTAATTTATCCCTAAATGACTAGACTAGCACCTAGTAAACACTCAGTAAACATAACTTACTAGATTATCTCTAATTTTATTTGAAATGACATAATAACCATTAGAGACTCAAATAACTACCAAGTCGGCCAAAAAAATAATTCAAATCCGAAAAATGTTAAACATAGACTTTGCATGCGCTCCTCTTTAAGCTTATGAACATTTTTGACAATTTTGTTGGTTACAGAAAATTCCTTCGTTGTAATTTGCAAGCTGGTTTATAGAATTATACTATACAAATCACCCGATTGAAAAAAAGAAAGAAGAAAGACCTCTAGTTATAGGTCAACCGCATCAGCCTTCACACGTTCGTATACCATATATAAGTCTACAGTCTAAAAAAAATCGAAGTATTCCTAGTCAAAATTTATTTTCTTAACCAATTCAACAGGCTGATATGTAGTGATTTGCAAGCTGGTTTGTTAGCTTTACTAGCACGTTATTGCATTTTTTGTTTTTGTTTCCCATTACCATTTGTATGTTCTGCTGCTCCGGATTGGTTTTACTAATCCCGCTTGGTGTTTTTTAATTTATAAACCATTATGAAATTTTCTTTTCTTAATAGAAAAAGACCATTGACAAAAACAAAAACCAATTCAACGACTGAGCAATCTATAAACGACGAGGGCTAGTACAAGAAAATGTAGTAAAGTTTGTGAAATGGAAGAGTACTCTTCAGTTTCTCCGGTCGTTCTTGTTCACAGACCTCCGGCTATGGATTTTATAGATGAGCCTCTAAGTCACAGCTTCACCGTTCTCTACACCCACACCTCGCCGGAACCACTCCTTGACTTCCTCTCAAGTAACGCCTCCTCCGTTAGAGCCGTCGTCAGCGTTGGGAGGCTTCCGATCACCGCGGAATTCATTTCGAACCTCCCTTCTCTCGAGATAGTGGTTTGCGCCAGCGTCGGCTTCGATCACGTCGACCTCGACGAATGCAGGCGTCGGGGAGTCGCGGTCACGAACGCCGGCGACTCATATGGGGAGGACGTGGCGGATCTTGCGGTTGGTTTGCTTATTAGCGTCCTCCGCCGCATTCCCGCCCTAGATAGATACATCCGGTCTGGTCAGTGGACGAGACTCTGGGACTATCCAATTGGGTTCAAGGTTTGTTCCTCAAAATATATACATGCAATGATGATGATGTGTGCATGTCCCATATATGTTTTCATATTATGTACTTTTGTAAGATAGTTATAGTATACAAATTATACGCCAAAAAGGTAAAATAGTTAATTAGATTCAAGTGTAGATCACTAGTCAATGTGATTTTTCAATATTTTGGGGTACAATCACAAAAAAATTAAGTATCCTACATAATAGTCTTTTGTGTGTGTGTGTGTGTGTAAACATACTCAATAGTCTAATAGACATATTTGATGTCAGTAAAATACTAAAATTCAATACATATATCAAATTTCAACTAAATTTTATTCGATGGAATTACATATATTTATATCCAAAGAATATCACAAAAATTTGTTTTCCAAAATAACACAACTTTTTTGACGAACATTTTCTAGTTTTTACAACCAATGAGGAATATTTTAAAAATAGTTTTCAGCACTGTTTATCTTTTCTTGTCATTTTTTGTACTAAGTCCAATTTTTTACAATATGTTTTGTGGTCATGATCTTCTAATGCAGTTAGACCAAAAGAAAGTGGGGATAGTTGGATTGGGAAGCATAGGCTCCCTAGTCGCCAAAAGGCTCGAACCCTTTGGCTGTATCATCTCTTACAACTCGAGAAGCCCAAAGCCAGACAACGTACCATACTTTTACTACCCCGACATTCTCTCTTTAGCAGCTGACAACGATATCCTAATCCTCTGCTGCTCTCTAACTGATGAAACACACCACATTGTGGACAGAGAGGTGATGGAAACACTTGGGAAGAATGGGATTATTATAAACATCGGGCGAGGCGGTCTTGTCGATGAGAAGGAGATGGTGAAGTGTCTGGTCGAAGGAGTGATCTGGGGAGTGGGTTTGGATGTGTTTGATAACGAACCGGAAGTGCCTGAAGAACTGTTTGGTCTTGAAAATGTTGTCTTGTCTCCACATTCTGCTGGAATGACGGCAGAATCTTTGAAGAATGTCACGGAGGTTTCGGTAGCTAACTTGAAAGCCTTCTTCTCGGACCAGCCTTTGATTTTCACCGTTTAACTCGATTGAGTGTGAGCATCCCGTTTGAGCCAAGTGGCTAATAATAAAGTTAATTTCAGTAACTATCTTACGTATTAAATAATTTTTATCGTTGTATTTATGCTATACATGTTTTTTTTTCTAAGTGTCAAAAAGAGTTCAGCAATTTTTTATCCCTTGTATTTATGCTATAAATGAAAATTGAAAATTAAAAAAAAATGAAAAATGAAAATTTAAGGTTTTAATTATGAAAAATTAGTAGTTTATGGTATTGGTTAAACTTTTAACGTTTTAGTAACAACAGTTTCGTAGTTTTGGATTATTATTTAGATTACATTTTTATAAATCGAAAGTCTTTTACTCTTTTTAAAGCCAATAAAGATAACGAAAATTTAAGCTTTTTTTTAATATTTGTCAACAAAAGTTTTAAAGGTCAATGGAGTATTTAAAATTCTAGTCTTAAGACAACCGTACGGACGGCATGAAGGGTTATTTGACTAAATTATCTATGCATTTATTTTTAGACTTATAAAAATGCAGTTTTCAAAAGAAGAAGATGCAAGCATAAAGCACCCACTACATTATTTAAATAATTCTCCCACGTTGCATAGATAATTAATTTAGTCGACGATGCGGACTTGAACATTAATCATAACTATTAAAATGTTCGGTCGGTACATCCCGCTTAGGCTCAAAACCAAGTTTCGTGTCGGAATATAGAATTTATGGTCGGAGTTGTTTTATGAGACTGTAATACAATAAACTATACTGCATGACAAGCAATTTAAGATGCATTTGGAAAAGAATTTGAAGCCAATCAACTGCAATATAATCTTCGATATTTCTTTAGTTGTCCTTAAAATTAAATTTTGGGATTTGATACTGTGAAAAGCCTCTTTCAGATTTTAAAAATCAATTAAACCAATAACAGTTTTTCACATGTATTAGCATTTCTTTGAAACTGGCATTTTCGTACGTTGCCTCTCTCTTAACGTATCCGTTTCCAAAGAGGAAAGTATTTATTTAAGATCACAAGCTCAACCCGTGAAGATCAAACTTCATAACCTGCTCTGCTCTATGATCTAATGAAATTATGAAACTAATTAATGTCTACTCCTATATCAACTAATCATTGACAAGTTCCCTGAAAGTATATTATAATTGTGTAAATATATTATATACATAGTCGCACGTATTGATGAGATCGGATAAAGTCGGTACAAGAGCCACTTATAGAACCTGCTCGCACGTCAACCTGTACTATATTCTAAAACTTCATAAACAACAGTTTGACTTGTTTTCTCTATTTTTTTATTGAATATTTCTATTGCACAAATTCAATGAAATGAAACAAATCCCAATCAGCACGGACAAAAGTCTCCAATAAAAAAGGAAAAGTTGTATCATGACCCTCACGTAGCCACCACCACTATATCGTTGAAAAGGAGCTCTATATAACATTGTCTCTAATTCGATTACTTCATCAACAAACAAACAAACAAACGAACCCTAAGAAAACCCACCAAAAACACAAGAAGAACTAAAAAACTAAAGATGGGTCCAATATCAAGTTCTTGGAGCTTCAACAAATTTTTCTCAATAGTTTTCGTCGTTTTTGCCATCTCCGGCGAGTTCGTAGCCGGATACTACCGACCAGGCCCATGGAGATATGCTCACGCCACTTTCTACGGCGATGAGACCGCTAGTGAAACCATGGGTACGTGAAAAAAACAAAAAAAGTTACTTTTCTTGCATATGCCATGGAGCCGCTCAAGATTGAAAAAAAAAAGTGTTTTACTCATATGTTATTTTATTAATGTATTAAAACTTCAAAAATAATCCTAAGTTTTGTTCCTAAAAATCCGAAGTCGAAGGCAATTGATTCATACATACGATGAATGGCATCACTAATAACTATATGTATATATATATGCAGGTGGTGCCTGTGGGTACGGAAACCTGTTTAACAGCGGCTACGGCGTGTCCACGGCTGCGCTAAGCACAACGTTGTTCAAAGACGGTTACGGATGCGGCCAATGTTTTCAGATAACGTGTACGAAGTCGCCACATTGTTACTATGGAAACCCATCGACGGTGGTCACAGCTACAAACCTTTGCCCTCCTAACTGGTACCAAGACTCCAACAATGGTGGTTGGTGCAATCCTCCTAGATCCCATTTCGATATGGCTAAACCGGCTTTCATGAAACTCGCTAACTGGAAGGCCGGTATCATCCCAGTTGCTTACCGCAGGTATATATATAGTTATAGATTATATATTTATAATCACAAGTATATAGTAAATCATATATATAATGACATGCACTCTAGAGTCTTCAAAACTATATACAATCTCATGGACTAGTGGCTTTATTCATAGTCTTCATTCTTCAACTGTTGGACATTTAGATTTTCACATGATTGTTTATATTAGAGTCTAGTTACTACATATTGGCTTGATATATACTCCAAAACTATTTAACTAATATATGTTATGTGATTGATATGTATTGTAGAGTTCCATGCAAAAGGGTTGGAGGTATGAGGTTTCAATTCCAAGGAAATGCTTATTGGCTACTCATCTTCGTCATGAACGTCGGAGGCGCCGGAGATATCAAGAGCATGGCCGTGAAAGGTAGCCGGACGAACTGGATAAGCATGAGTCACAATTGGGGAGCCTCTTACCAAGCTTTTTCCTCTCTCTACGGTCAAGCTCTCTCTTTCCGGGTCACTTCTTACACCACCGGTGAAACCATCTATGCTTGGAATGTTGCTCCGGCTAACTGGAACGCCGGTATAACTTACAAGAGCAGCGCCAATTTCCGTTGAAAACACGCTTTATCCCTCGCAAACCCAAATGGGTTTTCTTTGATGAGTTCTCTATTTTTTTCTTTTTGTTTTCTTGTTTTGGGTTTCTAGAAGTTTCGGTGGCCTATTTGTTGTGGGATTGTATATTGGCCCGGCTTTATGTTACATATCTGTGTATGTGTAATGTATATGTATGTAACTAATTGTGATATAACTCTTCATATTGATAGTCATGAAGTCAACGTTACTTCTTGATTAAGAGACTTCAGTTTCGTTGTCTTGTGTGAAAATTTTATTGACGTCTGTAAAAGAGCCACCGAGGAGAGGTATATACAGTATTATCATAAGATCAATACAGTTATTTTCATTTAGTCGTAGATTATGACGTGTGGATGCATGATTAGCCGTGGTGAGGAGAAGTATCCAAATTAAGTACTTTAAAGTAATTAAACACGTTAAAAACGTTGTTTTCTGCAAAAGTAAAATATTTGTAATCTCAATCACCCATTAATTAAGCGAAATCTCCTTGTGTAAATTAATGCCTCACGCCACTGGCTTGACAGATCCACCGTCTGTCTGAATTAATATTTTAAATTTAATTCCAACTTTGTACCTCAACTTTCAAAGTATTACCACTATAATCCTTATTCTCAGCAAATAAAGGTAAAACACCCCCAAATCTATAGAATTTTACCTCAACAACATTTTTCCCCCCAAATCCAGACTAATTTTACCTCAATAACATTATAAGTAGTTAGTTCTTTGTCTTCGATTCTGTTGAAATATACAAAATCGTGGAATTAGTATACTTTTCTTGTGTAAAATGCATTTGAAGCTCACTTGTGAACCCCTTATTTGAGGGCGTGTATAACAATTTTAATCTCTGGGGCTAATTTGTGATTATAAATAAATATGTGGTGGCAAAATGCAAAATTGAAATTCTATCACTGAAAAATAGGATAAATTCTATCCCAGAACAGAGAGAAGTCAGATCCACAGTCTCTCTGCTTCTTCTACTCTGTCTCTCCGGTGAAATCTCCGATTGCGACAGAGAGAATGGGTGCGGAGGCAAACGGCTCATCGGCGTCTTTAAACTTCCTAATCTACGGCCGGACAGGCTGGATTGGCGGTATCCTCGGCAAGCTCTGCGAATCTCAGAGAATCCCTTACACTTACGGTTCAGGCCGGTTAGAGGATCGCCGATCACTCATCTTCGACCTCGATTCCGTCAAGCCAAGCCATGTGTTCAACGCCGCCGGAGTCACCGGACGACCGAACGTTGACTGGTGCGAATCCCACAAGGTCGAGACCATCCGCACCAACGTCGTCGGAACTCTGACTCTAGCCGACGTTTGCAGAGAGAGAGGTCTCGTGCTGATCAATTACGCGACCGGTTGTATATTCGAGTACGACTCGGATCATCCTCTCGGGTCGGGTCTCGGGTTTAAGGAAGAAGACACTCCAAATTTCACCGGATCCTACTACTCGAAGACCAAAGCCATGGTGAGCAATTTCTCCACTTTACATGATTACATCTTCACTCCCTTTAATTTAACAAAGTTTTCAGATTCGCCCCGTTACTTTTATTTCGTTGGAACATAACTATAATCATGGTTCTTGATTTAGGTAGAGGAATTGCTCAAGAACTATGAAAACGTATGCACACTCCGAGTAAGAATGCCGATCTCATCGGATCTATCGAACCCGAGGAACTTCATCACCAAGATCGCTCGGTATGAGAAAGTTGTGGACATACCAAACTCGATGACGATCCTCGATGAGCTCCTACCGATCTCGATCGAGATGGCGAAGCGGAACTTGACTGGGATATGGAACTTCACCAATCCTGGGGTTGTGAGCCACAACGAAGTTCTGGCGTTGTACAGAGAGTTCATCGACCCGAGCTTCACGTGGAAGAACTTTACGTTGGAGGAACAGGCGAAGGTGATTGTGGCTGCGAGGAGTAACAATGAGCTTGATGCGACCAAGTTGAAAACAGAGTTTCCGGAGTTGTTGTCTATAAAGGAGTCTCTTGTCAAGTTTGTGTTCGAACCCAACAAGAAGGCATAGATCAAAGGTTGAAGATGGACTTGTTGTTCCTGAATCAAAATCCGAACAGAGAAGGTTTCTAGAAATTGTTGTGTTTATTTATTGTGTGTCCTTGTTGTTGATTTATGTTTTGGCTTGTATTCCATCATTTGTGCCAATTTGCTCTGTTTTGCAAATTTTTGTATTGTTAACAACCTTATGATTGCTAATAAATATTAAATTATTTAGTAATAATAACCAAAAATAAAAGATTAATAATATTAATCAGCTTTTTTTTTTTTCTTTCAGAACTGATAAAATAATCAGCTATTTTAAAATATTGTTTGACAAGATACTGAATAATTTCATTTTTAATAACGTTTTGGCAAAATCCTACTACTTGGTGAGCCTCTCTCTCAATATCTTCACACCCATATACCTGCATGCGAATATTCAAGTCTTGTTAGTGAAAAAATATAATCAAGATTTATCAACAAAAAGATTTAATATGATGATAGAATCGTTAGTTTTACCTGCCAAGCATCATAACGGTGGCTTGAGGATTTGTCCCCGGACAATAACCAACGGTCGACATATCAATGACTCTAAGCCTGTCGATACCAATAACCTTGTAATCTCCATCGACCACTCTACCAACAACACATCCTCCATGGTAATGCCAAATTGTTGTGACCGTATGTTGGCAAAATTCCTCAGCGGATGGAGGCAACGAGGCTCCAGGACCGCTCCGACGCGGCCTCAGGTTGACCGGAGTACTCGCCGTGAGGTTTAGCATATGCTCAAATGACATATCGGCGTATTTGTATCTTGCGAATGCCTTGGATTGCACGACTCTCTCTATGGTTTGGATCCCTCGAACGCAGCGGTTTAGGTCGTCTGGGTTTTTGAAATAGTTGAAAGTCACAACCGGGTTATCATCCGGGTTTCGGGTCCGGAGCTCTAAATGACCCGTGGATAGTGGGCCCATCACTTTCTCTAAAAGAAAGCCTCCTTGAAATGGTTGGGCTGATGATAATTTGGGCATCGAGGTTGATTCTAGTAATGTTGCCTTTGGTGAAAACATTGCGTAGTAGTCTCTAGTGGACGACCCACTACCACCACCTCCGCCGAAATTCTCGCCACCGGCAGCCTCCACGTATGTTCCTTCGCCGGTAATTCCAACAACTTCGATGAGTGAGACCTCGACGGGGACCGGAGAAGGGACGAACACGGCGTTCATAGGGTTGTCGTACATGCCTTGACCCACGTGAGGCTGTTCCATCACCACCGTGATGTTTTGGGACTTTAGTTGGTCTAATGGACCGACACCGCTTAACATCAGAAGTTGTGGGCTCCCTAGGGTTCCGGCCGAAACGATGATCTCATTTAATGAGCCTTCTTTTAGGTAAGCTCGGTGGGCCTGACCGGTTCGATCTCGGTACACAACTCCATTGGCTATAGGCTTTGTGGTACCTTGAAACGTGTAAAGTAAATTGTTTAGATTTGATCGTTAGCTAACACACACATTTAATGGAACTAGAAGGGAGACAATTAAAGCCTTGATGGAACTCAGAACAAAATTGATGAAACAAGATAATTCAAATGAGACATTTAGTGACAAAGATGGAGACATTTTGTTTTTGTTTTTTTGCATAAATCCATATCAAGAAAAATAGATACATGAAATGTTACCACATCACCATTTTCTTTTCTATTTTAATTTTGTTATAATTTTCTTTTAAATTTATTACGTATCCTTCTTGATTACCATTTCTCAACGTAAAACCAAAAAAACAGTTGAAGGCATTCTTTGATGTAAAATATGTATGAATCTTAACAGCCATAAAGCTATAAATAATACAAGAAATCTAACTACTGTTGTATATGGCTTTATTACCTTGAGTCCGAAACAAGATCCGGTGGACAGTGGCATGCAAGAGGACAGTGATACCCTTGGGATCGGCGTACTCTAGGAGATCGGCGGCGGTGTGTCTATGGCCATTACGGTCGAAAATGGTACCACCGAATTTGGTGCCATTGATGTGATCATAAGTGAAACCGTTGTTAGGGACGATCCCAACCTCCAATAAGCCGTCTCTCACGGCGGTTTGCCATGGGCCCATCGGCGGCTGAAATGCCACTTTTGCTTCTACCCAACTGTACGACTCGTTCGCTAGCGCTCCGTCCCAACCCATGTTCCTAACAACATTTCAACTCGTAATCAATTAAATAATCTAACGTCAACGAAACAATAACAACAATATATATCTTGTACTTACATTACCCTAGTGATTTTAATGGCTTTCATTTTCTCTTTTGTTAAGTATATAGTATTTATACTACCAATGTCTCACGTAAATTAATGTCTTTTTAAGTGATCGATCATATATTTATGTTATCATCAGCTTCTAGTACAGATAAAGTCGAGAAAATAACACCTAAAGATATATCGTCATACTTGAATGTCTATGCAAATGTACACATCTCACATCACATGCATGCAAGTATATATATGAACTAACCTAACGTATTTGGTTCCGGCACGTGTGTAGAAACCAGCGTTGAGAGCGCTTCCACCGCCGAGAACTCGAGCACGTGCGTTAATCACGCCGTCCTCCGATACGAAGCGCTGAGACGGTGAGGTCTCGGACAGGTCAGAGAGAGCTTGTCCGAAAGCCGACAGCCTCGTGATGTTAGGGTTGTTGTAAGGTGCGCCACCGCGTTCCAGTAGTAAAACGCTAGCGTTTTGAGACAGCGTTGCGGCTAGAGGGCATCCGGCGGTCCCGCCACCGATGATGATATAGTCGTAGTACGACGTCGGTGGAGAACCTGTCGCGTCCCGCATGAAGGAGTAGTTTGGAGCTGCAATAAAAGGGTAGAAATATAACTTCACACGAAAACGAACCTATATATAGGTGAATTTCTAGGTAGATGAAGTACCTTTGTCAGACGAACAAATTTGAGAATGGAGGAAAATAAAAAGAGTAGTCAACGATCTCCGTGACCAAAATCTATCCATCATTATATAAAATTGGAAGTTCAAATGAAATTTAGAGTAAATCAACTCTCACACTTTGTATGTCTCTATTTGCTTCTATGAAGACTTATGATAATCTTTGTCTTGTTTTTTTATAAATGTATTTGATAACCTGTGGTTGAAATTAATGTTTCTATAGATCCTTTCATTATATATAGCTAGAGGCAATGAAGAGTCCATCTAATTCTGAGGAGATGCAACACCAAGATTCCATGTCTACTTTTATGGACACGTGTCAAACTAAGAAGCAGAATTTTTAAAAACAAATGAGATGTATAAATGATATTAATTTAAAGAAAATGCAAACACGATGGATCGAGTATCATGAGATAAGAAACAAAATGGACCGATAAAACATATAGGGAATGCATTACAGAAATTTGCTACACTTAACCTGTCTCTCTTGAAAATATATTTTTTAATAATTAAATATGAAATGTATGTTGAGTGACCAATGTGGCAACATCCATTAATAGACAGTTGGTTACAGTTAAAATGCACAAATGACAAATCCTTTGTCTCTATCGTGTGATCGATCATAATAAGCCCAATATGTTAGGTGGAACTTATGAGCATCGTTTTGATTATGAAACGGATAGTGCTCGTTGATCATCACTTTTAGCATAAATACGTATAAAACTAATATGCAGATGTTTAATTTTAGGTATTATTTAGTGACTACTTAAAACATGTTTGTAATTAAATTAGTTAAACCATTGATCATGTTTGAAACGGAGTGCGTCGTTGATCATCATTCATGTTTTCTCCATTCAAATCACAACTACAACCAAAAGTTGAAATTGTTCACTATAATGGTTGGACGCGTTCGGAAGTACATGATCTGCTAGATAAAGATTTCAGGCGTTGAATTTGTTGATGAGGTTTAGATAAAATATTGTACGAATCGATTTCAATCAACATTTGTTATGCAATTATGCTGTCTTGTTTGCTGTTTTATTAAAAACAAATTTGGTTAGACAAGAACATTATGTGAAAAAGGAAAGGTACGAAGACAACAAATGGCCGAAGATTTTGGTTGATATTGATTAATGGTCGGTTGGTAATATAATTCTACTCTTTTTTCGGTTCGAGATTGCAAATGTAATTCGGGGTTATGAAAACATGGGCCAAACTATTTGCAATTTGTCGATCCAGTTAAAACGTGCTAAAGGCCCATCATACAATATTCAAAGAATTTTGTTTGATTGACTTTTTTCGTGTGATTGGTTTCAGAATTCAAAAGTGGGAGGACAAGAATTCTATACCAACAAACCCAAGAAAGTCAATAATTGGGATAAAGAAAGAAGAAATAGTGGAGTACACTATGCTTGTACAGCTAATTAACACGATGAAATACAGATGGAGTTTTATTTGGTCCTCCAAAGCATAGACAGAACAACTAACTCCAATGATTAAGCGAACCAAAACAATATAATTTGGGTTTAAAATAAAACTTAACCACAAAGTTCAATTAGTTACTCTACTCAGTATCTCAGACAGCGTAGCGTAGCAAAAAAAGAGGGAAAAAAAGGTCGATGACAGCTAGGTCCCGTTAGATTCGTACGGTCACTAGATTTCCACGTGGCGTTCTTCGAATGGGTGTTGGCTAATTATCGTCACGAACTATAAAAAGCTTGTTTTTGTAGGTCCCATCTTTTTCGCCGTTGGATAGATTTCCTTTCCTTTTCTACACAAATCCAAAAGGTCTAATAATTTAAAGAGGCAAAAACTATTGTTTACTTGCTGCCTTAAAATTCGTTATTCACATTTTACCATAAAAACTTTACTTTCTTCTAAAATCCTTGGAAATCTTCGTTTATATATTAAAAGATCTTTGATAAATAACAATATTTGATACAAAGATATCAAATCTATAATAATAATAATTTAAAGGAGCTGCCTGGGACCTCTTGGGCCATCCACCTAAGCACATTTTCCTTTTGTCTCAGGTCGCCACGTCAATGGGCTTTTTCGCTTAATCTCTTCGTTCGACAACGGTATCAATCCCTCTTCCCCCATTTCCTTCCGACTATGAATCGATCCATCTTCTCCTTATAATCCTTCGAATTCTATCACACGCCTTAAATAAGGCATGCCTTCGTCCTCCCTCAATTCATCTCCACCTAAAACCCTCTTTCTTTCTTTCTTTCTTTCTACTCTCTCATGGAATCTCTGATTAGCTTTTTTTTTTTTTTAGATCTCTGATTAGATTGAAATCTCTGACTACTCTCTCATGCTCTGCTGCTGATCCAGGCTACTATTCGTTGCTGCGTCAGCGTCCCAATGTACGACTCTTAATTCAAGGTAATGTACATCGCAAGCCTAGATTCAGTTACCTAGATAGATGGAACAATAGAGATTCCAAAGTTGAATTATTGATTCTAAAAAGTTGAGTTCCTGTAGGTTTTCTGATCATCATCGGATTGAGAAGGAGCCAGAGAATCCTGGTGGGTTGAAGCTGTTCCTCGGATTTGAAGAAGAAGACGAGTATATTGTTACGAAGGAAGCAGAGTTGAAGCAAGTGTCAACATAGACAAACTACTTGGTTTGTCTATGTTGCTGGTGAGGCAGTAGTGCATTGGGCTCTATACCCAGCAAATACTTTTGAGATACTTGAAAAAGTAAATTTCTTTTGTTAGATTGGTAAGGAACCTTCTCTTTGGCCTATTTTGTTAACAAAAGTTGTTTTATTCGTGAATGCAGATTGGTCAAGGAACATAAAAGCAGTGTTTGCAGAGTTCCTGATCTTCTTATACGCAAATGATACTGACTCCGGATCCACAGGTCTGTATATTATGGACACCGATCCCTGACTTGCTATATCCAGAATGGGTGGGCGCATCTGGAGGTAACTGACAAACATGAACGATTTTGGAGCTGAGTGTTTAGCCAATAGAGCCTCTTTTTTTTTATCTCTGACCTGTAATTTGTTGTAGACAGACTTTAGGCTGGGATTAAAACCACTACATGACTATATGAGCCAGACAAGGAAAAACAATTGTATCCCATCCTAGCTATGAGATGTAGTCGTAGGTGAAGGAGATTAGTAACATAATCACCAATATGTTCTGTAACGATGTCATCTCTCTCTCGTGCATTGACAGGTTTTCCAGTATTCTATATTTTCTTTACATGAAATTTGATACAATGTGAGGCCCCACATTGTGAGGGAAATTATTGACATATTACTATATCTATCTATTTGAGATTATCTCCATCATCGTATATTTGTACCTTTCAGGTTTTGTTTGTTTTTAATTTACATCAAGGAAAAATGCCCTTGCGTAACAATGCAGACCTTCCGCTCGCTCCTACTTCAGTGATCACAACATTTGCGCTCTCGCTTCCCGGAGAGCTCACACTCTTTTCCTCCCAGGTTATTTCTGCATCTCGGACTTACAGATGCTGATTCTCTAGGATTTTATATCTTACAGATTGCATTTTGAAGTGGTATATGACTAAAAAAAATAGAACAGTATGTGAACTACTTATGTTAGGAGAAGTGTGAAGAAATGGTATCTCAGTGACTTGATGAGTATGAATTTATTGATCTCCCGACTTGTGAGGCAAAGAATCAGAATTAGAGTGACCTTTCATGCGAGTTTTCAAAGACGGTGGTTAAACATTGAACATAGCTTGACTTTCTCTGTTGTTACGCTTCTGATATATAGTACAAATTCAAATTAATGAATATAAGACCGTATATTTGCTACATGTTTGTTTTTCCCCGCTTTCATGTTAAATTGTTAATGGTTGTTTATAGTTTCAACTTTCAAGGCGAGGGGAACTTATACAAGGTACAAGAGCATCGTAGCTTGAAATAAAGAATCTTGATCTTCTTCCTCCTGCTTTACATTGTAATTCATCCAAATGTGATATTAGTTACTGTGATGTGAATATGATCAAATTGGAAGATGCAGTTTGCTTAACCATTTTCATGATTATATTTGACCAAAACGAAAAACCAAAAAACACCCTCTTAAAGTCTAGGAAATGTGACCTTCGTGGTTTTATTTCTTACAAATCTACATGTCGTTTAGAAAAAATTACAGGCTTTATCTATTACGAAATAGTGTCATATTTATAAGAAATATATTTCCACAACTTTGATATCTGGTTAGTAAAAAACTGAGTCTTACAAATTCATAGCTTACTTTATTATTGGAATGAGAGGCCAAAGTTGCTCGAGTAAACATATTCAACAAAGACAAAAGGGCTAATCCAAACCGGGAACTAGAAGAATAGAAGAAGGTGATAGATGTGCTCGAGAAGCAAATCTTGGAACAAAAAAAATAAGAAAAAAGTCAAGGCATAAAAAGGATATAGATAGGTGCAAGAAAGTGTGATCATCAAAATATTCTCACCCATATTCTTTACGTAGTAATAGAGAGTAATACATCCAACCGGAACAGATCAAGAGCTTAGAACCAACAAATCATGTCTCTGTGGCTGAGATACTAAGAGGAGAAATGACTTCCTCTGCTTTGTTCAGTACAAAGATAATCGTCTTTTTTCCACTATATAAAATATATACTGCAAAAGATATGTGCTCTTTTATACGGAACCAGAGTGGATTATACACAACGTAAGAATTCATTTTTTTGTTAAAGACACAACGTACAACGTAAGAATTCATGTTCAAATCTAGAACGAAGCCATTAATTAAATCAGAGAACGTATCCTCAAAACTATTAGAGTTTTGGTGTCTCAAAAGATTCAAAGTGGAAAAAGGAGAGGATATTTTCTTCTTTTAACTCTCATACTCTCCGTTTTTAATTTTATCCGTATATCTTCATTTATAAAATCAAATTAAAAATGTAATGTAAGTCAAATATTGTATTAGATTTATCAAATTTAAATAAACAGATTTATCAAATAAGATATTAACAAGATATTTATAAAAATAACCCACGCGTAGCGTGGGATAACACCTAGTTTTAACTGACACGGTTATCAAAAACTATTTCGCAAAACTCATAATAATCCGTGCGTAACGTGATAAATTCCAATTTATCAAAACTAACTTTAAAACTGTATTAGAGTCTAAATAGTGGATTAGATTGAACCTAATAATATTTTACATCGTTGATGTGATTTCCTTGCATATTAATATAATATACAATATACAATTTGGTTTTCTGGTGTTGAAAGTCTTGTCGAATACTCGAATCCTCCTAGCGATATAGCTGCCACAAATGATTGGATAATACAGGAGCAACAACATCCTTCTCTAACAACAGCTAATATCATCAGAAAAATGACAAGAGTTAACAAACTTCTCCAACCGCAACAAAGACATTTTATCATGAAAACTAATTTTTTAATTAGAATACAATGTAAGTTAATTTTTCTTTCCAATATTTTCCTAAGATTCAATTATTAGTTTAAATGATTTCTTCATGTATTCGACATTAAACTAACAAATTTCAGACCTGTGTAGATTGGTGGTACATGTGTAAATGGCTCCTCGAGTCGCGAATGGTCTAATCCTATAATTAAAAGTTTGAGGTGATAATTAGAATTTAAGGAAAATAAGCGGTTTGAATTGTAATTAAAAACTTCTTGCGAAGTAAGAAAACGCGGAACTGGATCTTCCGGTAACCAGTTGACACGGCATAATTTTTTGAAAGAGGAGAGAGAGAGAGAGATAGACTTTAGAGGAGAGGAGAGGACTACTTGGTCTGGTCTCTTCGCTGCAATCTATAGCTGTTACCTATAGCTGTTGTTTGCTCCTCGACGTGATTCCTCTTTGCCCCCGAAAAAGGTAAATTTCCCAGAATTTATCAATCTCTTCATGAATTTCTCTTACGCAAAAACTCATCTTTTTTTGTTGGATTGAATTGGGTTTTAGAAATAGAACGAGTTGACGAAATTTCTGGTCTTGTTCTCATTTATAGATTCCTGCAAGTTTTCGTTTTTGTTGTTTGTGGCTAAATTTAAAGCTTTTAAGCTGATTGATTCGAGATCCGGATGCATTTCCATGACCCAATTCGAGGGTTTTGTGAAATTCCGTAGGATTTTGAGCTCGAAAAATCTTCATTTTGGGTTTTCAATCGAGTTTTTGTGATGTGATTTAGTTCTTTGATCTCTGGAGGGAATTTCACTTTATGGGTTTTTGTTCTGTTTTTGCTAAATTGGGTTAAAACAATTCCGGAATTCAAATGGAAGTTTTGCATCCATTTCCAATTTTAGCTGCTCTTACTTTGTGGTTTGGTGATTGAATCTGAGTTTTACCTCTTAAAACTTTACAGATCAGAGAGGATCCGAAGGAGAAAGCATTTTGCGTAAGGAGCTTTATTGCAGCAAAGAGTAGATTCGCCTAATTTAGTATTTAAGGGTTTCAGGACTATAACATCAGTAAGATTGTAACTGAGATTTATTGCTAAGAGAAGTTAGATTCTGTGTGAAACGTTTGGAGTATGGGTATGGACTTAGCTGATAAGGAGAACACAAGCCCGCCTTTATTAGAGTTCTGCAACTGCTACAAAGTTGCAAACCTTACAGAAACCATTCTAAACCCTGTGAACGTTTCCAACTTAAAAGACCGCTATGTGCTTGGGGAACAGTTAGGCTGGGGTCAGTTTGGTGTGATAAGAGTATGTTCTGATAAGTTAACAGGAGAGAGGCTTGCTTGCAAGTCTATATCTAAAGATAGGCTGGTTACACAAGACGACATGAAGAGTATCAAGCTCGAGATTGCGATCATGGCCAAGCTAGCTGGCCACCCGAACGTGGTTGATCTCAAAGCGGTTTACGAGGAGAAGGACTATGTGCATCTTGTGATGGAGCTATGCGCGGGAGGGGAGCTTTTCCACAAGCTTGAGAAGTATGGAAAGTATTCGGAGGTCCGTGCGAGGGTGCTGTTTAAGCATTTGATGCAAGTGGTCAAGTTTTGTCATGATAATGGTATTGTCCATAGAGATTTGAAACCTGAGAACATTCTCATGGCTACAATGTCTTCTTCGTCTCCTATCAAGTTGGCTGATTTTGGTCTTGCAACCTATATAAAGCCTGGTAAGTAAAGTACAATAGATCTTTTTGTAAGTAAGCAGAATGAACATTGTGTGTACTAAGATATGAGTTTTTTCTTGTGAGCAGGAGAGAAGTTGAGCGGGACAGTTGGTAGTCCGTTTTATATAGCCCCGGAAGTGTTGTCAGGGGGGTATAACGAAGCTGCTGATGTATGGAGTGCAGGGGTTATTTTGTACATACTTCTCAGTGGAGTGCCTCCCTTTTGGGGAAAGACTAAGTCAAAGATTTTTGATGCTGTCAGGGCTGCAGATTTGAGGTTTTCTGCAGAGCCATGGGACCATATAACTTCATACGCCAAGGATTTGATCCGCGGGATGCTTTGTGTTGATCCATCCCAAAGGTTATCAGCTGATGATGTTCTAGGTATTGTCATTTTCTCGATCGTCTTCTTTCAAAATGATGATTTTGTTGGAAGATTTAAAGCTAAATGATGATTGGTTTTGTTTGCAGCTCACTCTTGGATGGAGGAGTTATCTGAATCAGGTCAAGAACAGTATGAACAAGATGGGTTTGGATGTGAAGGATTGGAGAGTGGTGGATGTTCTTTCTCCACACAATGTGTTTCTAGGGAGCAAGACTACAGCTTTAGCATGGGGCAGTTAGAGAAATCAACAGAAAACGAGTGTAAATCATCGTTCTCGTCTTTCTTACCTGCGGATAACAACACAATGCCAAGTTCTGGTTTTGGTGGGTTTTCTTTTGATGAGGAACAACCAGAATCAACCTCGGCTGGCTTCTCAGCAACTGGAGTTCCATCAATGCCAAGCTTTACCTTCTTTAGTCCAAATCCAGGAACAACACAGAGAAACGACATTCATGAAAATGATGGGAAACTTCGAGGTACCTCCTTCGCTCTTACTTGGCTTAGAATGTTGGAGTTTGATGATTGCTATATATAGTCATATACTTTCTAAATGTGGCAAAGGACATTTACTTCAAACCCGTGAATCAAGATCTCAACTTTCTAAAGCTTTTGCATATCCACCTTGAAAAAGTTACAAAACTTCTTGTTATAGTTTTCATTAGTTCTTTCTTGGGTTCTTCAGTGGAACCATAAAAATCTAGTCTTTGAGAGATCTGATCAAATAGTCTTTATCCCATTTTTACAGACTCAAGTCCAAAGAGGTTACTGCATTCACTGGATTCTTCTTCACTATTTGAGAGGCGTGAGGAAGCAGGTGCGAGTCAGACAGAAGCAGTGGGGAAGTCGGAGACAAGAAGGGAAAGAGGGAACTGGTCAAGGATATCAGGTCTGCACAGCAAAAGAAACCGGACCATAGGACTAGGCGAGCTAGACCAGTTGGTGGTGGATGTTGCAGTCACTGAGTCGATAATCAGATGGGCGTCTTGCACTCATATTCCCACAGCTCCATCCCTCAGATTGTCGCTCGTGTGCTAGAAGAAGAAGAAGAAGAAAGCTCTTTATCAGTATAATTATTGTATACTTCTGATTTTGGTCACGTATTGTCTTTGTTTTGTAGTGAAAAACCTTCTTTGGAAACTGATCTTAACTGTAAAAACAACTCGAGATGTTTCGGAAATAGAGTGTGATTTTGATTTCTTGCTAAGATTTATGATCTAAAATTTAAAGAGTGATGGAAAAATAAAATGCGTCTGCCGGGAGTCGAACCCGGGTCTATTGCTTGGAAGGCAATTATCCTAACCGTTGGACTACAGACGCTGAACGAATGTTTGAGAGTAATTGTGTTATATATACTACTGTAATAATAATTTATTTTCTTGTGTCACTTGCCAGAAGTAGATACATAACAATAACATTCACTCTTTTTATTTGTGACAACATTGCCATGATGTTTGTTTCGTGTGCATTCAAACAAGTTTCAGGATATTGATTTAGAGCTGATAGCATATGGCAGATTCTATTAGAAAAGTATTCTTTCAAACTCTCCACGAGAAGAAACATTGTCAGCAATATAAAAGAACAGGCCAAAATGTGATGATAAAAATCATACATTTTCTTTGCATTTGTATAATAGTGATAACGTTTCGAATTAGATTGCCGAACAGTGTTAATCTAAGCTTCGAAGGAAAAAGAAAATCTACTTTCTAACAACACAAAAAAACAAATTGATCAAAGATAAATAAAAGGGAAATATATAAAACGGGAGACGAACCAAGAAATGATTTTTAAACCTCTTCTAGACCAAAGGCCGACTCTCTTCATCGTCTTCCTTGTCAAACTTAACCCGCTCCAACTTCCCGGGTTTTTGACCCGAACCTGAGAGTTTCGGTTTGGGGTTGGAGCTCGGATCCGGAACCATCTTGAGAATAATGCCCATAGAGATGAGCAACAACCCCGTGCCGTGCTGTTCCGTTAAAGGCTTCGTGAATATCAAGTAAGATAGTAACAACGTTACCGCTTTTCTCGCCGTCGTTATCTGTTCCCGTAAAATAAACAAGTAAAAATTAATTTACATGTGAATACAAATTAAATTGCATTGATTTGTAAGATGCAAGAAAAATAGAAAATGAAAGTGGTTTTACCATAGCGGTCGTGGCTGCGCCAAAGAGGGCAATGAGGGATAGAACCGAGACTTGTCCGACAAATGTAGCCATGGCTTCGAACACCAACACTCCATACACATATGGATGCTACCAAACAAAAACGTCAATTAAGAAAACTTAGTTAATCAATTAAATTAGTCAATGGTCATTATACAATTCATTCACGTATACTCTCTTGTCATTTAAGTTAAGTGGAAAAAAAATTAAGTATTGAAGGTGGTTCACCAATCGTGTATTATACAAAGTGACTTGTGAAAACTTTCGTCAATTAAAGTCCATAAAAATTTTCATAATATATTATATATCACTTACTTGAGCGCATGCAGTCCAAGCTGTGAAAAGCTCTCCGGTAAGAATCATTGGTGCAAGCAAGAACGGTAAACCAACAACTGTCGAGCAGAAGAGCATCTCCATCTAACATCAAACAGTACAAAACAAAGCGAAAACAGTTAAAAGCTATTCGACAAAGAGTGATAGTTAAAGTGATAATATCAAAATTTCATAATTTGTTTACCTGTGTTGTGTCGGGATTCATTGTGAAGATGGCTTCTTGCAAGTTACCGAGAAAGGCATCCATGATAAGAGCGCCCGAGATCATCATAACCCCAATGATACTAAAGTTTGGGGAGGTATGTGCATCAGCTAATGTGAATAAGATTAGACCGATTACAAGTAGCAAAGCTGAAATGTACTCTTGGACCGGGTATTTTCTTCTTAAACCGGGTATAAATGCTCCCATTACCATAACCGGTAAAACCTATAGAAAGATGATGAAATCAAAGATTAGAAAAATATTGCTAGATATGTATTGCTAACTGATACCAAAGATTAATCAAGAAAGTGAGTTTTTTTTTTTTTCATCACACCTTAAATGTATTGAAGCAAATTCCATATGATCTCAAACCATTTTTAACAATCTAGTAATGTTACAAGTCTAGGACCACAAGAAAGCCGAACTTAGTCCTACGCCGTGATAAAACGTAATTCAGTGACCATATAATTACATACATTGAAAAAGTATGATCTAAGAGATTAGTCCAAATTTTGATCTCCGGGGTCTACTAATGACAGTGTTGAATTATACCATAACTTGGTTAAATTAAATCTTATTATTAAATAAATACCTTGGTGGATTTGAACATGATTTGAGCAGGGTAATTGAGATAAGCTAAGGAGCCTTTGGTGAGACCATGAGATCCCATAAGAACACCAGATAGTTTCACGTAAGTCTTCCATGGATTCACCATTTGCTTCGTTGTGAAGCCATTTAGGTAAATCATCACAATGTACACGAGTCCTTGCACAAACGTGAAATACCATCCATAACTGCAACACACATACACACACACATTGTAACTTCACCTATTCAAATTTTATAGTTATTGTTTTTATAAAGTATGAATTTTAAAATACCTAAATTTGAGCCGGTTGTATACATATTCCTTCAAATTTGAGAAGAAGAAAAAAAACAGAGCATAGATGTCAAAAAAGATAAAAATGAGTATATAAAAAATCCGAAAATGATCATAACATTTTAATAAAATGTCAGCTAATTATGATTCGGATTATAAATTAAGTTAATGTTAAGGGATTAAGCAAATACGGAACGTAACTTCGGTTTTGTGATATGAGCACAAAAAAGGAGAGTAAAATCTTGATAAATTTCTCTTATATAATTTGTACTAATTGGATGAATATAACTAAGGATTAACAAGTGTTTGCATGCCTAATTATCGCCTTTGTTTCCGGGTAAAAGTCTTCGTTCTAATGAAATATTTTTAGAAGAACACCGGATTCTTCTCTAAACCTTGTGTAATTTTCTCCGAAATTTTCCTGATTTCTCTTGGGAAAAAGACAGAGAAACACCGCATGCAAAACAAGAATCTTGTAGAAAAAATCAACTCGGAACAAAAATACAAAATTCATTAAAATATCGAAAAAGTCTTTGATCCTAGATTTGTTTTACCAGAATTTATAAAAAAAAGAGGACAAATCGAAAACAAACCTCACAGACGCCATTAACAAGGTAACCGACGAAGAAACCAGAAGAACATATGAGAAACTGTTTCCATCTGGGTTTATCAGAAAGAGTGATTCCGAATAGTGATCTCACTTGTTCCTCGTTGTTCTTCATGATCTCGGAAGAAAGAACCACAAAAATGAAAATAAACCTGGAAACTAACAAAATAGAAAATAAAAATTTGATATATTTCCTTTCTTTATGAGAATTTTGATTTTAGTAAAAGTGGATGAGTCAGTGATATTGACAAGTAGAAGAAGAAAGGTATAAATCAATTGAAGAAAGAACAAAACAATTCTCCTTTTGGATTTTTTTTTTCTCTCTTCTACGCTCTAGCTTAACGCTCACGAACTTTGTGACTTTTTAAACTGAGAGCATTAAATTAGTGTATTAAATTTAACTATTGGGAATAGAGATGAAGGAGGGTCTAAATGTCCTTTCTTCTCGTTTACGTTTGTATTTATCGATTATCATTGCATTTATTATGTTTATCAAAACAAATAAAAAGCTTTAACTGTTTATAAATCTCTACCAGATTTTTTAATATCTAATTACATAGAAATCACACTAGATCATGTATCTTGTAGAATATATACCCGATTCAATCATATCTGTCATTTGAATAAATAGTTATGGTAATAAAATTTATAATATTGAGTCTGCCTTTGCTCATCTTGTGAGTCGAATGATGAGCTGGCAAATCATATAATCAGTTTCAGCCAGCTACGTGGAACACGTTTCCAGCCACGTTTAGACTAACTCGGTTTATAATTAGTCTACGTCAGACTATAAGAGTTTTACGATTTTCCAACAGCAATATAATAAGAAAATTTAAATTAATTTTTGTTTGGAAATTAAATTAACTTAGGTCAAACTTCATATCAAATGTTATTTTATGAAAAGAGAACTACCATGAATTTCGTTACAAGATATAGTATTTAATTTATTAATTATGAAAGTGACATGCAAGCATTCGGGAATTGAAAATTTCACTGGAAAGCTTTGTTATTTTTTCTTTCTGTACTTGTAAACAACCTACTGTATTAAACAATAATAATATATTTTATGTACTTATATGATCCCAAGTCGTCGAAATACATATATATTCATAAGTCAACAAATTATGATTCAATGGTCAATCTCTAATAATAGTCAAAATTTGGAGTAAATGCTAATCAATCTAGCAGGATTAACTAAATTTTTGATTTCCAAGTAGAGTAAGTGCGCTTTCTGGATTTAAGTATATAACCATAACTTTTGGCTTACATTATGAATTGGGCCTATCACAAATTATAAAGCCCAAACATTCTATGATAACAATCTTATAAGAACAATCACAAAACTATTCCATCAAGGAACCTTCTTACTCATGAAGAGGACTAAAACACCTCAGTTAAAAAAAAAAAAAAATTGCAACTCAGTGTGACTCACACACTACTGCACATACTGACACATGTATACAAATGTGGGTCCCATCTTAGTAACTGTAACTCCAGAGTGACATGTCTTCATAGCTCGTCTCTTCTTCCATGTAAACATTATCAGTCATGTGATGATTCATGTCCATATACGATCGTGGAGGCGACATTAACGGCTCCGTCGCTAGTCTCATCATCGTCGTCGAGACTTCTTCTTCTTCTTCCACATATCCTCCATACAAGTTCCTCTCCTCCGATCCTGATCCTGATCCCGAACCCGAACCAGAACCCAAATACACTTCATCGCCGTAAGAGGGCAAAACCGTAATCCCACCACCGTATTCCGTTGGCCTGAACATCTCCGCCGCTTCCGCAGCGACCCGCCTTATGACATCGGGATCGGTTGATTCCGGCACGGGAAGACGCCAAGCAGAGTCGGCGAAATTCAAACACGCGGATCTCCCGCGCAGAGCGAAAGCCGCCACGTCGTGTGCACGCGCAGCCATCTCCGCCGTGGGATAAGTCCCGAGCCATATTCTGCGCTGATGCGTCGGCTCTCGGACTTCGCAGACCCATTTGTCCCCGTTCCTCCGCCGTATTCCTCTGTAGACTGGGTGACGTGTCTCCTTGAACACTCTCCGTCCCGCACGCTTCTTCGGCCTCATCTCCGCCAGAATAATCTCATCGCTTTGATCCATTTACTAAACAAGAACAATTCGCCGGAAAATGTAGTAATAATAGATACGCCGATTTTGCTTCTGGAAACTGAAAGCTTTTTCAATCGAATTATCTCAGTGGGTATAGATAACCGATATGAATTTGATTTTTTATATAAAATGATTGAAGATTGTTCGAATAATATGTCTTTCTGTGACTTATGCTCTGTTTTGTTTTTCGGTTGGGAGTTATGAAGCAGAGTGAGGGAGAGAGGGAAATATATAGGCTACGGTGATGGGACCCACGAGATGCGAGTTCTACGCGCGTAAAACACATATCCGATGTTCGCCACGTAGCTGTTAAGAAAAGTGCGAAATTATTAGCTGTTAGTCGTTATAAACCATAAAGTTGTGTCTTTGATATTTTTTAATTGTGAGCTTGAACCCATTAAATACCCACATAAACGTTTTTTTTTAAGAATAAGGTTAAACATTAGAAGACTGTCCGAATTCCGTTTATTTACTTGTACCATATACTACTAACAAAAAAATATACAAATGTAATTGAGATTTGTAACTATGCAAACGGGTGAGTTGTTTGATTTCTTAACACAATTAAACGTGTGAGAATTATTTGATAAATTTGATTACTAAGAACTTACAAACTAAATTATTTGACTATCGATGTTTTAGCAAGATTGAACGAAAAAGAAAAAACCTCTTAAAAGTTAAAACCAGAGCCGACACTGGTTTATTTTGTTGTAACTCAGCTAGTTTATTTTGTTGTTTTCCATTTAAGAAAAAAATCTGTTATTTTAACAATTTATGAGTTGTGGTAAAATTCGCCATAGACAAAGAGAGATAAATCAATTGTTTTGATTTCCGATTAAGATTCATATGTGCCAAAAGTAACGGCTATCCTTTGATAGTTTGATTTTAGAATTTGGGAGGAGAAAAGGGAACATTCTTGGAATCTCTGGTCAAAGGGAACTATTTTCACTTTTGTTTAACTTAATAGATACTCATACTATTATTAAAATCTGGAAGTTGGGTCCAGCTGCTCTCTTACGTTGGACCACAAATATCTAATTTAATCTAATGATAATATTCCTGTATTTTGTTTTGTGGATATACAACACGTGAAATTTTCCATATTAAGTAAATTAGCTGTGAGTAACACGTGGGATTTCCGTGGGAACTATTTCTTAGTACTATGTTAGTACTTGCCTATAACATGTGCCAATTAAGTTTACTGTTTACCCTTTACTTTATCACTTCTAAACACTTTCGAGTTATGTTAGTAAATAAATATAATTACCTAAGTTAAGTGGCTAAGTTATGTCGGATTACATCTAATTACACTGTCAATTACATCTTGATAAGTATACTGTCAATTACATCTCGATAATTTTCATCGGATTTTCTTTAAAGTGAATAATGTGATTTGGGTATAATTTATTATTAGAACATCAACTGTAAAGATTTTTGTTCAACATTTACTCTTTAAGAAAAAATGAACACATGGGCATGCAAAATTTTCATTTTATTTTATCCAAGAAAAATCCGTTTTAATGTATGTTTATACTTTACACACAAATGTTAAAATAAATGTACACACAAAAAACATAAAGTGTTTAGCCTTACAGACAAGTAGACATGTCGGCCAATAAGAATTAAGGCTTCATGCTGTCTCGTGAGTGTCACATGCGCGTGTCCTTCATTCATCTTTTATTTCGCTTACTCTCTCCCTCTCTTAAGATTTGTCTTACTTTTTAGGTGAACACTTTAATGTGCAATATGTGTATCCCGTGTATTAATAATACCGAACCTAGAAATTAAACTTTTTTTTGAATTATAACTTTATAATAGGTTCAAACGGTATTACGAAGAGACCAAACGATAAACGTTCAGCAATGCAATTAAGCAGTATGGGTCGTTTAGATGCAATTCAACAGTTTAAAAGCAAATTTAAGGCCTAATATGATTTTACATTGGACAACGTAGTGTACTTAGTTTAAAAGAAGATTCTCTTTGTCCCTGTACTTCTTTCTTTCTTTCTTGTAGTGTTTCGACTATGTCTTCTATCAAAGCGTGAACAAAGAAAGTCTGCTTTAACTAATAATAAGCCTAAGTACCTGAAAAACACCAAACGAAAACTTCCTCGTAGATAAAAAAAGACAAAGCATTCAAGAAAGCATATCTAGAAAGCTTTTGTCCAATCTACCATCTGATAACATATCAATAACCATCTTCATGGTGGAAGCATCTGCAGAGAATCCACATCTCTTCATTTCTTCGATGAGTTCAACTGAAGTGGTTAGGCCACTACCCCCGAGATGTGCTCGGATTAGTGTGTTGTATGTACCACTATGGTGCAATCCCATCCTCTCCCATCTTTCTAAACAACAGGTCAGCTTCGGACAGTGAGCCTTTCTTACATAGTCCTGCAATCATCACGGTGTATGTCTTAACATTGGGCTTCACTCCTTTGGAAGGAAGGCTACAGAACAAATCCCAAGCATCATCGACCTTACTACCATTGCACATCCCGTGTATGATGATATTGTAGATACCAATATCAAAATCCAATTTACTCTTCTCCATTTTCTCAAATATCTCCAATGCATTTTCTAGTTCTCCATTGTCACACAAACCGTCCAACAAAATACCATAAGTTACAGCACTGGGGCACACCACGAGAAACCATCTCTGGAAGAGTTCTTTGGCAACATTCAGTTTTCCAGATTGAAGAAACCCTTGGATGAGAGTGCTATAAGTGACTGTATCGGCTACCAGTCCTCTCAGAGACAATTTGCGGAAGATTTCCAAACCTTGTCAACTAGATTAGCCTTGCAATATCCATTTATAAGGATACTATAAGTCACAATATCAGGATCGCATCCCTTGCTAACCATAAGATCAACATCTGACTGGCCTCGTCTAGGCGCTTCTCCATGCACAACCCATCTATCAAAGAATTATATGTAATTGTGGTAGGAGCTATACCTCTTGCAATCATCTCATTGTACAGTTCTTTAGCCTCTACAAGTTTTCCCTCTTTCACAAAACTGTCAATCAACGCATTGAAAGTGAACGTTGGGGATGATTCCCTTTGATCATATCCCTCAGCAACTCTGCGCCATCATTCCATCTACCGTCTTTACAAAGCCCTCCGATGAGAGTGTTGTAGGTGATAACATTGCTTTGATCCCTTTCATTTCCATTTCATTGAAAAGGTTGATTGCATCGTCGAGCTTCCCGTCTTTGCAAAGACCATCGATGATAATATTGTATTTGGCTGCATCGAGCTTGATCTTTCTTCTTCCATCTTTCTGAGCAAATCCAAGGCCATAGCAGTTTCCCTTGTTTGCACATAACATTTAAAACTGGTCCATAGGTAACTGCATCGGGCTGACATCCGTTTTCCACCATTCGATCGATTAAATCCATAGCTTCAGACACTTTGCCTTTGAGACAAACTCCATTGATGAGGGTGTTAAGCGTTATGAGATTGGTGTAAGCTCCATTGCTACCATTCGATCAACTAACGTCAGAGCTTCGGAAACTCTACCCTTGAGACATAATCCATTCATCAGAGTTGAAAAGGTGACCGTGTCAGGCTCATACCCAAGTTTCAACATCTTTCCCAAAACAGAGAAAGCAGAAGATAGTTTCCGGAGCCGGCAGAAGCAATTGATCATAATGTTCAGAGAGTAGATCATAATGTGCAATCCCATTGAAATTCCATTTGCTTGGAGAGAGCTAAAACGAGATCGTACCGTTTTGTTTTGGCAATGCCACTAAACAATCTGCTGAAATCGATGAGAGTAGGAAGAGGACGAGACCGAAGCATGGATTGGAAGAGCTCAACAGCATCATCCGGCTTGGTATTCTCAATCCCACTCCTCAACCTCTCTCTATAACTTAATTTCCCATCACCGAGACTAGAGAAGACTCGGAATAAAGCATTACTTCTCAGAGTACCTGTCTCGGGAAGACGTCTCTGAACCAATCCCCGCATCATCCAAGCTGAGAATTCGAAATCTCTGATTTTGTGCTGATTTGATTTTTTTCGCCTTCCATAAATTCACGCACAGCAGAAAGATTTAAGCTTTTTTAGCTTGAAGAACACTCTTAAAAACTCTTAGCTTGAGAACACTCTCTCTCTCTCTCTCTCTCAAATCGAGAAATCTTCCAAATCCAATGAGTGAGTTTCTGCTTCTAGCCGATGGAGAATTGAAATTGACTGCCGAATTGGGCAGCACATCACAGACGAAACTATAACTGACTATAACTGGCACCAAAGCTACAGAAAATCAAACCCAAAGATGCTAAAAGCGGAAACCTAAAACCTTCACATGAACCCTTAATAATTTGTTTGAGAGAGGAGATCGAGACTGAAGGAGGAAGAAGCAAGATGTTTGATTCATTTCGTTGTTGTTTTCAACGTGGTAAGAGATGATGTTTTGATTCATGGCCCAATATACTCAAGAATAAGCTCAAAGCCCATTAGAGACTCGAGAAGCCCATAACATATTCTTGTTACATGAACAAATGCTTCTTCTTCTTTCTTTTTTTTTGGCTCAAATGAACAAAATGCTACTAAAACCGGTTGTCTTCAACCTTCTGTCTCCGTCGGAGTTGTTGGCTGAAGGAAAGAAAAAAGAAAAATATCTCAAATATCCCTGTCTATTAAAATAGTATTCACTCACTCACTATACAATTATTCAAAGCAGAATCCATTTCTGCTCAATTTAAGGTTTTCTTCGTTACACAATTTTTTTTTTTTTTTTTAAAAGGCTTCTTCGTTACACAATTATGAGTTCAGTCTTTGATATTCTTTTTCCTAGGCTATGATATATTTCTGTCGCTCTCTTATTTTGGATGTGTAGGTTCCAATCAACTTTTTTTTTTCTTCCGTCTTCATCAACCGATTTAAAAATACTAATCTTATGAATATCAAAACAAAACATTCAATACGTATATATTCCAAGCAACTCAACAATATCAACATTTGCAATGCCCTTGTATTAAGTAAAATTTAATATCCTTATGCTTCTTATGTAGCTTAAATATAGCAACTAGTCTATAAACAGCCACGATATGCTATTAGAGTATAATTAAACTATAGTTTGTTTGTTTGATAGTTATCCTTTTCCAAAAAAAAAAAAACCCTATAGTTTGTTTGTTGAATTATTACAGGAATAACCCTAACAAAAGCCAACACACTTTAGACAACCCATAGTGAGAAAGTGCAATCGAATAACAAATGTGTGTTGACAGAAATTAGTGAAATAACCATTTCATTTTTAAACATTGATTTCCCACTAAACCCTAACTATTTCAATTTATAGTTCATCTTTTATATATACACAGCACACACATACACACTGTTTCCTCATCATCTATATATATGGCTGATGGTCACCACACAAATCCTACCAAATGCCCCTCTAAACCCAAAACTTCTTCTTTAATTAATCTTCCACCTCACGTGTGAATACAAATCCCTCGGCATTGCCCACGTGTGAAAAAAACCCTTCTCTCACTCACTATAGTACTACTATTACTACTAAGTCAATGTCTACTGCCGGATCAGCTAGCCGGAAAAAAGATCTAGTATACCGAGGTATCCGGTGCCGGAGCGGTAAATGGGTCTCGGAGATCCGTGAGCCGAAGAAGACCACTCGAATCTGGCTCGGAACTTACCCCACGGCTGAGATGGCAGCCGCAGCCTACGACGTGGCTGCTTTGGCTCTTAAAGGCAGAGAAGCCGTCTTGAACTTCCCGGGATCTGCTCAGTCATATCCAGTTCCCGAGTCAAAATCAGCAGCGGACATTCGAACCGCTGCTGCGGCGGCTGCAGCGGTGAAGGGGTGTAAGGAAGAAGAGGTCAAAGAAGAAGCAAAGAAGAAGAGCAGTAGTAGTTTGTCCAATTCAAGAGACATGGCGTCTTCGTCGTGGTATGGGACAGATTTTATGGACGAAGAAGAACTCTTGAATATGCCTAATTTGCTGGCTAATATGGCGGAAGGGATGATGGTTGCGCCGCCGCCCTGGATGGGTTCTCGGCCGTCCGATGACTCTCCGGAGAATTCCAATGATGAGGACTTGTGGGGATATTGATCGGTTTTGTGTTGTCCATGTATATCAAATTATCTGGTTCTTGTTTTTCTTGTTTTTTTTTAATTATGACACTTATGTGATAAATCAAATCAAATCATATGTTTTAATTAAGAGTTTTCTTGCTGTATTGTGGATTAGGGCTTGGTTTTTCTTGGATTTTTAGGGTCATTTCCCTTTGATTTCACGACTTCATGTATTGATTTATTTATTGTTCATGTTCTTAGTTTTTCTTTTGTTCAGTATTAATATGAGATTATGAATAATAATACCCAGTCGTTGTACATGCTTAAAATTACCTAAAATACAAGTCTTTAAGACTTTGACACATATATATCTCTTCAGGTGAAACATAAAATGGTTTAACCATATGAGATTCTCTAGATGATCACCAAATTTAACGCCGCATTAATGTTACAAAAGTTTCGAGTTTGTTAACTACAGATCCAAATTTGTTGAGTAATATGATCTTTGTTGAAGTTTTCTCTTACCTTCTTCACTCTTGATGAAAAATATAATATCTTTTTCTATAACACATAACCAATTGTTTTGACTTTCTCTAATTATTTAATATAAAGCATTGTTTACTATTTCGACCTAAAAAAAAAGAAGCGTTGTTTTCTACATACACAACATCATATCTATCTCTGTTTCGTCACATGCATCTTTTTTTTTTTCTTTCTAATAAAATGACAAATTCGTTGCTAAAGATATATATTCGAAAATCCATCCAGCGATCTATATTCCACTCAGTTCGTCTTGTAGTGATATGTTATTATGTTTCCATATTTATCAATTGATTGATTGATGTTTATTTACACAGTCGATGTATAATATTGTATTGGTGTAGTGTTCCTTTTAAAAAGTTTTGATGTCCCGAGTTTCCTTTTTTGGATATGTTTTTGTGATAAAGGTTGTGCCATATATGTATGGTCACATGAGTAGTGTTTTCTTACTTGGTCCTTTTTTGTCGTTTTCTTGCTTGATTTCCTTAGTAGTAGTTAGTACAAAACGCCATGTTTCATCTCTTTTGTTACACTTCCTTGCTATGAGATCAAATATATTATCCTTGAGGTAAACTACTAATTATCAAATTTATAACAAATTTTCTGTAATTTATAAACTTCCATAACATAATTTCGCAAACAATTTGACTTTTGTATTTACGTTCTTTTTTTAGAATTTCTATTAATTTTTACTTAAATTATACAGTATGTTTTATGCTAATAGGGCATGTCGAAATACTAATGAAATGATAAACGAATACTAAACTGATTGATAAACGAATTAATAAAATTGATTACATTGATTGCCAATTCATAATTTAACGCCATAGAGTTGGTGCGAGAAAGTTTTAACACAAAGTTACCAATATTTTTACCTGAAACGGACAAAGCGGGGTAATTAAAGAGGTGACCATGTGGCTTTTCTTTAATCATATCCGTCACTAAGTTCTATAGAGCATTAGCTTTACAACTTTTAAAAATTATATTTAAAATCTTACAATATAAAATTATGACTCCCAATTTAATGGGTTTCTGGTCTCAGAAATGGTAAAAGTATGAGTCAGTCCAAAGAATTTTGCCTTTTGTTTTACAAATAATCATTCATAAAGAAAACAATTTTGTTCTTTAGAGTTTTAAAAGGAAATCTCGGAGTTAATTACTAAAAATAACTCGCCTTGTCTCTTCCGACTAAAACATTTGCACTGTTTTCTTTTTCATTTTGCGACAACTCTTTGCCACGTGTCACCATCTCCCCGGATTCTTTAAACCTAAATCCTAAACTATCTACAATTTTTAAAAAATGTTTGACCACTACATAAAATATTTTGTGATCAGTTAGTTAACTAGATTACCAAATTAAACATCTAACAAGGGCAAAAAATCTAAACATCTCTAGTTCATCACAAGTACCATTCTACTTAAATTTCATATACGGTATACGAAATCCCAAAATTAACGATCTAGTAGTAAAAAGTGTTTTAGAAGTTAGACCAGACCATAGATTCAAATTTTCACATGGTTCGATCGTGTTGTTAATGTATATTGTTGAAGATGATAGTTTCAAGACTTAACGTTTTCCTGCTCGTGTAAGTGGTTATTAACCCACTGCCAAATTGTGAATTACACATCTGTTTGACAATTGGTTCGATGTATTGAAAAGGTAGTAATTAAGATTTATCGAGTAGTAGTACGATTACTATATATGCATTTTTTTTCTACGTGTTGTCTTTATCCATTCGCATGGTACTGAAGATTATATCATAAAATATCTAGGTTAATTAGCTTCCTTTTTTTGTCAACGGGTTTGAGCTTGTTTAATTTCCAGTAAAGATTTTCATAATCTAAATGTATTTTGTTAATTAATATTAGCAACGAAATCGATTAGCTTACATATTTCGACATGCACCTTATGTATATCCGAAAACGATGGCGAGGTATATTACACGGAAGATCATCGTTATCATATATCTTTTTTTTTTTTTAAATTAAATGTAAAATTGATTCGAACCCAAAAAAAACATCGTTTGTTACAACAAGTGCAGCATCGTTTGTTACATCGATCATTTTACAAGAAAATATAGTACTATTCATTACCAAATCTGTTCCTAAAAGACAAAAATTGTAATAACCATCTAGTGAATCTTCGTAACTTTCAACTCTCGACATCACTGACATGTTATGGATGCGAAACGATTGTCCTTTATAGCTAAACACGAAGTTAGTGGTTGAAAAGATTATATTAATGGTGAAATCATTATTACAAATTACTATAAAATGTTTTTTCTCGAATGCATTAGTTGATGTTTGTTTTCTTTTACAACCAGCTGTTGATTTATATTGTACAATATAAAGATTGGTTTCGATCGAACAAATCTTTATGCTTGATTTGATGTGCTAGTGGTCCACTGCAGATTTGTCTCCCTACGTGTTTTTAATGATACCCTTCCCTTTTTGGCATGTTTACTCTCACACTCACACAATGACTAATCATTCTTTTAATCTTAGATAATTCCCATTGTTACGATTATACAATAGACATTTGGTAATTGTTGGCCATAACAATATATTAATGTTTTCTTCTTCTAATAAAACCCTGAAAATCGATCTTATACAAACATAGAACTATAAAGTAAGTGTTTTTAGGGTGGTATATATTTAAAATAGATAATGGTTTTCAACCACACAACCTTTCGGCTATCAGAGATGGAACCATATGTACACTTCACAGACTATCAAAATCTAGCCTAAATTCAGTACTCCATTAAATGATTACAGTTACGTTTTTAAAACAAAACTATAACCCTAATAGTAAACCAAATCCAAAAAGAACAAACCCTAACCTAAAAATTGTTCTGTACTCTTCAAAACCACCCTCCTCAGACGTACTCTGATCGCCACCGTTTGCCAGGCCTGACCTAAGATGTTTTTAAGATTTCAAGTTTCAACAAGTTAATCGTAAGAGGTGTTTTATCACCATCTCTAGCTTTCTCTTCTAAATTATGACTTGAAAAAGTCAGAGCTTGCATTTCAATTAAAACCTTTGTCAAGAGGTGTTTTTTTTTTGGGTAAAATTGTAAGAGGTGTCGAGGGTTCTAAGAATGTTTAATTAGGTTAAAAAGGATTACAATAAATGAGATTAATTCTAAGATTGCATTGGCTCTTTGGGTATTCAAAACATTAAAAAGAATCGAAATTTGATGATTATTATAAATGCTTACAAATGCGCATGCATATTATTTTGTAGTCCACCTGTTCTTCACCACTTATACCTATTATTGGAAACCACTTATCCCTATTATTGGAAACCACTTATTTCTATTAATAGAGACTTGACCAGTGATGATGGTTGTGATTTGTTTCCGTTAAGATGCCATCTTCATATTTTTCCTATTTTAAAAACTTTTTGATTCTTTTCTTTCTCCGAGGGTTTCTCTAACCTTTTAGAATTCACAACTAATGGGTAAAGCCGCCTGAATCGAACTAAGAGTTACTGGACAGCTAATCCATGTGGAGAATACATTAACCTTTTGTTTAAATTTGTTTTTTTATGGTTAAACAATTAATAAATATTTTTAACACTATAAAAATAGATAATAGGAAAGCATGCATTCTACAAAGTTTTGATCAATCATGGGCTTCTAATCATATTTTAGTTTTTTTCTCACCATTATTTTATTAAAAGATATGAATTCACCAAGTTTTACAAGGAAACAACACGATTACAAGGAACATGTATCACAACACTACAAGTCTACAACTATATTTTTTACCTAGTAAAAGAAAGCTCAGAAAGTTATATATAACAAGTTTGATCAAAATGAAATTTGTCTTGAAAAGAAACATTAGTTACAACAGTTTGGCAGTCCATTATGATTTTTTTTAGATCTTTCTGCAAAATACTAGTTTTATAATCCTTATTTTTTTTTTGATAACTCTGGTATTCGGGCAGCCACATTCTTGATTATTCCCATAAGTGGATTCAGCGCCCCAACAGAAAGGATGTTAAATCCGTTGTGACCGGGACTCGAACCCAGGTGGCGGATACCTCAACTGAGAGTCCTTTATAATCCTTATTGACTACTTGTCCAAAAAAAAACAAATTTTAAATACATTTTGCCGACAAAGTAGAAATACATAACTACAATAGTAACATGGAGTTCGGATACCAAGTCTTATTCACTAATTTTGATCAAAATATATTAACTAAACTAAATTCTTAAAGTATAAATAGCCTTTGCTTCGAGAGAAAAAAAAAGTTTGCTCTTCAAAGACCAAGTCAATGCTAATTTACGTGCGAAATAGTATTTCCGTGATATAAAATAAGTCAATTTGCTTTAAACGTGTGTGTGTGTGTATTGAAGTTTTATTTTTCATATCATTTACTTATACTTTAAAAACAAAATCACCAAAGAGCCATTACCCTTTATATTCCCATTTTATTTTATTGGTAACTTGTTGGTGTACCATAATACTAGTGGACATGAGGACATCGTTTAAAGTGATTATATCGTTGAAGACGGTGTTTGATTTTGCTCTCAGCGCAAACAAAGAACAAAGATGATAACATCAAACATATTTTAATTGTGTACTCGCTTTTTTTTTAATGTCATATGCTTTTTTTTGTACGTTTCTTTTCGGGAAAAAGCTGCCGCCAAGCGAGAAAAAAAATACTTTGCGAACTATTGTGACTTATTAGTGGGGTACATGATGAATAATACATACCCCTTTTTCTCATTTGCAATTTGCAATTAATTTACAATTGACCTTATAGGCTTATAGTAAATATAATATCAATTGAAAAAATATATATGAAAAAAATCAGATTTATAAGCAACACAACTAAAAAAAATAAAGGAGATTAATCGGTATCAAAAAATCAAAGAGAAACAAGAATCGGATCGGTTTGTTTCCAATGTTACAAAAGAAGAAGAGGAATCTGGTTGAGCGCGGGAACAATACCGTTAAGAGAAGAAGACAAACTGTTTATTCTTCTTTGCGCGGTTTTGGTCGAGAGGGCTTCGTAGGAACAACGTTACCGAGGAGAATCAGTACGACAGGTATGATTGTTCCGATGTAATATACGCTCCCATAGGCGGTGAGTGTTTCGTGCAAGCTTAACACCTGAGAGAGATTGCCGATTGCGGTTGTTAAAAACGGCGTTAAGAGTGATCGATCAAAGTCACCGGAAAGAAAGAAAGAAATGTTAAGTCTAATTACCATGAAACCGACGGCTGAGTAGTTGAGAACCAAAACCGTGTAAAGGAAGTTGACGAACACCATGACTTTTCTCAGCACACCTAAACTCGGACTGATCGCTTGTTGCCATCGGTAGATAACTGCAAAGAGAACATATTTCAGATCATGAACAAGAAGGGAGATGCCAATGCCATTAGCAAAAGAGTGAAACCGAAGTAAACTGTATTCACCTCGTGAGCCAGCGATCATCAAAGCTGACTGAACAAAGAACATCATATAACCAGGATACAGCCCCTGCAAAATCGAATCAGATACGCTTAGTTTAGTCTCCGGCAGATGAAAAAGATCACATTTTTATATTCCATGAAGAAAGAAACTCACATGCCAAACCGCGCTAACGGTTTGCGTAGCTAGCAACTGGAAGAAACCAGCTTTCTTCCCGTTCTTCACAAGTCTCTCATACACGTCTGCGTTTTAAAACAATGTGATACACGACGACTAAGTTCACAGAACAACTTAAAGTTTAGATTTTTATGGAACCGTTAAAAAGTATCCAAGACTTACAGTGACGGAGCCAAGTGCTGACTTGTATGTTCCAATAGAGCGGAATCTGAACAGCGCTCTTAGCAAGCTCGACACCGAGAATATCGACGTTCTTGGCACGGTCCCATTTCGCCTTTGACGAAGTTTCATCAGTCCAGCCACTGAAACCCAAACCAGAGATGATAATAGAAGCCTCTGATATTGACCAGATAAAGTAATACTTCCAACGAGCAGTGAGTCCAGCCATGTATTGGTAACTAAACTTCCTCCAAAATCCCCATTCTTGGTACACAGGCTCAGTAAACCGAGTTAACGGGTATCGAGGCACTAAGTAGAGATACAAAGCCATACAAATCGCAGCTTGGAACACAGCTCGGATCGTAGCTCCATAAGGAGATGGACGCTTTCTTTTCACAGAAGTGTCCCAAATCTATAATGCGCAAACAAAGTTTTACCAGTCTATAAAGGTTTTGACTTTCTTCTTGATAAGGACGGTAACAGAAGAAGAAGAAGAAAGCTTACTCCTTTGCCTTCTGTCCATTGGAGATAATCTTTCATTTCATAAACCGGACCAGCGAAATGGCTACCGCAACAAAGGCAGTAACCAAAGTATTCGATCAAAGACGGCATCCCAATCAATCGGTTCTTCTTCTGAGCTTCCCGTAGACCTTCCTCCTTCAACATTCCATCATTGTAGTTCATCGAACACGAGATTACTTTCAGCGTTAACACCATTAACGCTCCTAACACATCAACAAGGTCCAAGTAATTAAGTAAATTCACAAATCACTACTCACAAGAACAAGGATCATTCCAAGTTCACAATCAATTCATAAGATGAGGAAGTTAAGAGTTACCAGTAGAGTCAATTCCTCCTTCTTTCCACGCATCTCCACTCATGTAGAACACATGACTGCAAAAAATTGGCGAAATTGCACCATAAGTAAACAAGGGTCATGCAAAAGGAAGAAGATTTTGCTCAAGTTCAAAATCAGCACTGATTCAGAGCATAAAGTTCCGATTTTTAATTACCATCCAATGAGGTAAGCGAAACCCAGGAAGAAAGTGATGATTCCACACTTGGGTCGGTAAATCGCCATTGAGGCATATCCGATCGTCATCGGACCGAGGAAGTGGAGATTGGAGGAGAATCCGAAGGACAGGTAAGAGAGGAGGACACCCGAAGCTGCGGAATAGATGTGTTTGCCGAGTCGACCCGGGACGATTCGCCAGGCGAAGGAGACCGGAATCGTGGCGACGAAGCAGAGGAGGAAACGAAGGACGGCGACCGATACGCCGATCGATGCTGCCATTGAATTCATGTCCATCGATTCCATGGTTTTGTTGAATTTAGACGAACTGAAACTCGGGTGTTTAAACTCGGACTGAGTCACGACCGAGTCGCTCCGGGACGGGAAGAGAAGCTTCTTCAGAGAGTCAGCGACTATGATGATGATCGATAATCGATCGCGTCGTGTCGTGTCGTGGTTGCTTTACGTAAAGTATCGATTTTTATCTATCAAGAGCAAACCGATCCGGTACACCTTCTCAAAACCCAATAAATTCGGTTTGATTCGGTTAAAATTGAATCAAATAAAAGCCCTAATTTCCTTTTCCCAGTCATAAGATTCACTCCAAAAACAAAATTCATCGTCCTCTTTAGCCGTCGTGTTGTTACTTCTACAGATTCTCTGTTCAAGTAAGGTTTTTTTTTGGTTTTCGAATTGTTAATTGACATGAAGGGAGGTGGTAAGTTTGAGCCGAGCTCGAGTAAGATAGTGTTTGAGGATAGTGAAGAAGATGAAGAAGAGTACTCGGATTCGTCTGTGTCTTCTTCTGATGAGGTCAGAAGCTTTTTGAAAATATTGATTGATGACTTTATTGATTGATTCTTAATCTCGTTAATCTGAAAAGACTCTGTTTTTTCATATTTGGGAAATTAGGAGGAAGAAACAGGAAAAGAGTTAACTTTAGAGGAGATTCATAGAATGCGTGCTGATGGGTCTCGTGGAGCTCCATGGAAACCAACTCAAGAGAAGAAAAAGAGTCGTGCTAACAAAAACAGGTACACGTTGTTTCTCTTTTCTGTTTCACTTTTTTTGTTCTTCTTTCAGCTGTTTGTTCCTAATCTTCGATTGTGATGAAATAGGCCAATGGAGTTAAGTTCTAAAAGACCAGTGAGTCGATATAGAGAGGTGATTCAAGTGCCAAAGAAGGTAAATAAGTGAGAACATTGAGAAAAATTGTTTGTGATTGATCTTAGGGTTAAGTTTGTGTTAAGAGTCTCTTTGTATTTGCATCCAGGTGGTTCGTGATCCTAGATTTGACTCATTGAGTGGGAACGTTGACACTGAGGGGTAATCTAATTATCGTTCTCTTTGTGAACATGAAAGTAGTTATAGTCTTGCTTCGTTGTTCTTGTTTGAGTGAAGATAAGTTTTGTATATTCTTTTGTAGGTTTAGGAAGCGATACAGTTTCTTCTTTGAGGAGAAACTTCCCACAGAAAGAGAGGTATAAACTCTTGCAAGATTCTCCCAGTTTCCACTTTGTTGCGTAGCTTTATTCAAAATTTAAATTCTTAAAACAGGAACTGAAGAAGCAGCTGAAGAAAACAAAGAATCCAGAAGAGGTCGACGAATTGAAGAACCGGTTAAGCTATGTTGTAAGTGGTCCTTTCTTTAACTCTCTCCTGTTGTCTAGTTACTGCTAAAGACTCTCACTGATCGTCTGTTTGTTTGCCTTTTCTCAGGAGAAATGGATGAAGTATGAGCCATCAACGAATAACAAAGGAAGCGCAATACTAACTGAACACAAGAAGAAAGAACGAGAAGCTGCAAAGGAGGGGAAGAAGCCTTACTATCTCAAAAAATGTATGTTCTTAGTTTGCGTTGAACGTAACAGTTTTGAGTTTTATGTGGCGACAGTTTGCTGAATCGTTTGTTGTCTCTTCTTATGCAGCGGAAATCCGAAAGCAAGAACTCATCGAAAAGTACAACAGTCTCAAGGTATGTGAACCAGTTTTGACTCTTGAAAGTTTGAAACTTTGTATGAGAAACGGAATCATTGAATCACTTTGTACAATGCAGGAATCTGGGAAGCTTGAATCGTTTATTGACAAACGTAGGAAGAAGAATGCAACGAAGGATCACAGGTTCATGCCCTATCGTCGTGCTGATGCCTCAGACCAATAGAGAGAGACGATTTTGCTTTCAGACCTATCGTTTACAGGCTTTGTGATGTAGCACTAAAACTTAAGCTGAGAATTGAAAGCTCAATGCATCTTTTACTTTTTCTTTTGTTACTGAATTGAAATCCAAATCCAGTGCAAATGTGCTTAGTATTTTCTTTTTATGTTGGTCCTGTCACAGACACGAGAGACTCTAGATGCCTCAGAGAGTTGATATCTATTTTACTTTCTTATACTGGTTGAGTGATTTTGTATTACACTAGTTATAAACTTATAATTGTTTACTGTTGGTTTTTTAAAGTAAAGAATGGATGAAATTAGAGATTAAGGTTTAGGTAATGAAATTAAGGATTCTGAAATTTCAGATTTTGAACCTCTAACATATTAATTTAAACTATGTTAAAGAAACAATATCTTGTACATATCTATGTTAATGTTTTTTTATTGATTTTATAACATATAATATTGAGATCAGCAGATTGTGAATGAATGGGATTAAATAATTACCCACCATGGCTGTGCAACACTAAACTTATAGGTTAATATGTTGCTGATAGTGAATATTCTACCATTCTAGAACTTTGCATTATCTCCTATATAAATAAACCATGTCAACACAGCCAACTTTTACAATAAGCAAACAATTTTAACTAACAGAAAAATCATTGCATCATTCTCCCTAAAAAAGAAACCAAACAAATGAAGAACAAAACAGGTGCGATGGTGGTGACAATGGTGATACTGATGGTGATGGGAAACTTTCTGGCTGAAACAGAGGCTGAGAAAATCCCTTTAAACAATGTTATCCAGCTTGTCTTGTAGAGTGTAATGGTGATTCAAAATTTCCAAAGCTTCTTAACTGTCCACTTACTTGTCTTAAAACCTGTCTTCCTACGTCTACACCTTCTCCTTCGTCTCCTTCTGAGAAAACAGTCGACCAAACTGATGATTTCTGCAAACTCGGTTGTGCTGTACATCAGTGTGCTTCGCTCTCTTCTAACGTTAATCCTAGTAAGTTTTCACTTTTCTTCAACATATTTTTTTTTCTGTATAATAATCCATGACATTGTGTATCCGAATCTGTTGCATGCATGCATGCATGTCCTGATTTTTGTTGCTGTTTGTGTTATTCACAGATGTGGAGAAAGTTGCAGCATGTGTTGATTCATGTTCGAACATGTGTTCCTACAAGAACTAAAATGATACTTTTTTTGGGTTTCTACAACTGAATGCTTTAATATAAAGATATGACTATATATATTGCTTTGATTTTCATATAAAATGTGTATATTATCTTTTGGTTAGACATATGATATATATATATATATATATACATATTTTGCGTTACAAACAAATCAGTCGGTAGACTTGTTGACGACCTAAATTAATCAAGGAGAGGATGTTTAATAATCATCGTAATGTAAGTACTCTATATAAAATTACAAATTAATAATAATGAAACTACAATATTTTGTTAGATTATAAATATTAGTTAATTATAGATTAATTTAATTAAGACGTATTCTAGAGCTACAACTTTTTTTGTTCCTCTCTTTTTCTCTGCTCTCTTTTGCTCATGTACAAATACAACGGGATCTAGGACATCATCTTCAACAAGAAACACAAACTCTAGAGAAACAAGTAGAGACTGAACCGAAGTTTTTCTGGGATAATTTTGTCGAAATTTTGCTTTTCTTTTTTCGTATCCGTAATGTTTAGTTTTAATTACATTGAAAAAGTAATGAAAAATGAACATAAAATTACCTTTAAGTCATATATAATTTAATGCATATATATTATATTTTTTTAATGAATTTCAATTGGATATATTAAAATATTCTAAATTTATAACATACATGCATATCGATATGTGTACACACACATGCATATGATATACTCCAATACATTTAAATTCGTGATTGTAAAGTGAAGAAGTGAAAACTGTACTTGTACAGGTTAGGTTAATGCATAATGATGTGTCATAAACATATTATAGTATAAAATATCTAGAAATCTAGATGTAAGGAAGCAAATCTCTAGATTTCAAATTAAGAAATGAAATTCGAGTTAGTTACCTACTATAGTACTATGTCATTATCGGTTTATCACAGCAAAATCACAGCTAGCAATAACACAACACTACATGTACAGTCCCTATATAAAAAACTCTAGTATCACAGACAAAACATTCGTAATTACACAAACACCAAATCAACTATTATAATATTCTCTCCAGAAAAGAAATACTTATCCTCAAAGAAAATGGAGAACAAAAGAATGGCTATGTTAGTGGTGATGATGTTGGTGATGGGGAACCTTCTGCTCGAGACAGAGGCTGTACCTTTCTTAACATGTTACGAAGGCTCTATTTACATGTGTATTAGTTCCGCGAAAGGAATAAACAAAGTGTTATGTCCTTTCACGAGTCTCAAGGACTGTATTCATCCTCAGATTGCTTCTGCGGAGGCAAATATAAGAGAAATTGCCAGTGATTATGTCTGCAAACTTGGATGTTCTCTCCATCAGTGTGCTTCAGTATCGTCAATCGAAGACAAGGGTAAGCTTTTCAGTTCTTGTATACTTTTTTTTTTTTCATACATATATACACTTTAATCTTGTGACTCTCTATGATATTATGTAGATGTCCTAACAGTAAGAAGTTGATATTTGTTTTTGTCATTCTAAACGAAATCTCACTATATATTACTTAAATATTAAAGAGCGAATATATTATATGGTTAGAGTTCGATTCTCATTCTTGTGAGTTATAAACTTCTAACATTTTTGTGTGGCTGTTTTGTTTTATGGGCAGATCATGTGGAGAAAGTTGCAGGATGCGTGGATTCATGCGCAAATATGTGCTCCAGCATGAAAAAACTACATTAATTTTTTTGATTTTGTTCTATGAAAATTGGAATGTTTAAATAAAAAAGATACGAGGCAGTACGTTGTTTGTATCGATTGAATATTCAAATTTTAATGAGACTTCATTTCTTGATTAGATATATGTGTTGTGTTATAAGCAAGCAATTAACCAAAACCATCGATTCGAAACAAGAAGTATAAAATGATAAAGAAAAGAGAAAATGATGTTAAATTTTTGTAGATTTACCAACGCGTTTCATGTTTCAATCTAATCAGGTTGCAATCAATAGTCCTTTATCTAAAGGAAATTTAATCATGTTGCAATAGTTTTTAGGACAAATTCATTCAATGTCAATTAGTTTTGAGTTAGAAATTCATAAAATTTAACATTGTCATATGTGTATCATGATTTATATGATATGAGTATGTTACATGCATCTCCTCATTGTGAAATCTGCTTATCACTTTATTAGTCGAACTTTGGTGATTCCGGGACACCTAAATTAACAAAATCAAAATCGGAAATAAATGGAAAAATATAATACCTTGATTTGTTGTTTACTATGAAAATGTTAACTAATACCGAAAAATTCCGCATTCCCTTTATATAGAAACAACATTCTCAAAAAATACACAATTTGATCAACTTTATGATATTCTTTTTTTTATTCTAAGAAAATGGGGAGAAAAAGAGTGGCGATGTTGATGATAATAATGGACAGAGGCAATCTCATACGAATTTTCCAGAATGTACATTCAACATTGTGTCCATTCACATGTCTCATGACTTGTCTTGTTCCTACTCTACCGACTCCTTCCCCTTCTCCTGATACGGTTTTAGCAAACAAATGTGTATGTGCTGATTCTAAGAATAAGGCCTAGTGCTGAATCTCGCATGCATGCATCTTTGGTCGCTACAAACTATCATATAAGCGCGGCTGCTGATTTCTATGATTAATCTGAGTTTCTATTTTAATGAATTATTTGCTTAAAATATATAAATAAAGCGTAATATAAATATTTGACTTTCTTTCAAATCGATAACTATAAATATTGTATTACTAATTTACAATATATTTTATGAAAAGTTTTTTGTTGTTTTGTTACGCACAGATGAAGAGAAAGTTTCAAACTGTGTGGATGTATGCTCGGCCAAGTGCTCTTATTAGGAGAAGAAAAAGTGATACTAGCTATATATTTGATTTTTGTTTCAGAAAAATCTTAACGAAAAAAATATGACCATTAATTTGTATTGATGTGGTACTCCAACTACATTACTATTTCATTTTTTGCAGTTCAGTTATACATACTATTCTTGATTTAATATATACTGTTTGAAGCAAATTAGTCAAACAGTGAGCAGGAAACAATTATTTGTACTATTTAATCGTTACATATGACCATGATTCTAAATCTTAAAAGTTGAATAAATAATCTTTTTTTTTTAATTTCAAAATACAAGCTTTAAAAATGAATAATATATCACGTAACTATGTGACATACATTTATTATTATTATTATTATTATTGATGACACTTTAAAAACAAAAAATCGTATCAACTATTAAGCATGCAAATACTATTAATACATGCAAAAGTTAAATAATATTAATCCAAAAGTTTAATAAATTATAAATTTAACTCAAAAAATTGTATGGCATAAGAAATACATGCACGTACGTAAACAAGATTCAGTTTATGGGAGATATGTATCCAAAATCCAACACAAATTTTCTTTACATTGTTTTAGTAAAAAATCAGACTGTTATATATATGTAAAGATATTGACAACAATAAAATTCCATGAAGAAAACAAAATTCATGTATTTAAATATATACATCTAAAAACAGCATGTACATACTTACGTTACGCGAATTTTATCTCATTATAAGCAGAAGATCGGAAATAAATAGAATAAATTATCCGTTCGTATTAATTAGCCACACCACAATTTCATGTTATAGTATTGTTGGTTGTAGAAATATTATTTAATACAGAAAATTATTTCCTTCTTTTTCCGTGTAATACTAATATCTAATACAGAGATTTCCACAATCCCTATATAAACAAACAAAAACAACACAAATTATCAAAATTCAGAGTTCAAACAACACTCAAAAAAATGGAGAACAAAAGAGTAGTGATGTTGGTTACAATGATGATAGTGATGGCAATGGGCAACCTTGTAATTCAGACAGAAGCTCAAGCTTCTCAATTTAGAGACTGTTACCCAATTTGTCTTGTGAATTGTGCCGCTGAGAAGAAGTTTCCAACTGCTCTTACGTGTCCATTCACTTGTATCATGACATGTCTTGCTCCTCCAGCGACAACTCCTTCTCCTCCTTCTCCAATGACTTTGGCAAACGAAATCGACCATATCGATTATTTCTGCAAACTTGGTTGTGCTACTCATCATTGTGTTTCTCTTTCTTCTTTCCGAAATCGGAGTAAGTCTTCTTTTTTTATTATCATCTAATATTACGATTTTCAGCTGAAAATTACTGATTTTATTTTGTTGTTGTTTGTGGCATGGGCAGATGTAGACAAAGTTGCCGACTGTGTGGATTCATGCTCGGACAAGTGCTCCAACAAAAACTAGTTTTTGATCTTGTTTTTATTCTAAAGAATTTAATATAAAATAACTAGACATCCTCTGAGTTTGATTCGATTTCTTTCTCTTTCATAACGAAAAAAATAATGCCAATCCGATGCCGGATTCTCTAGCAAACTTGTAGTTGAGAAACTATTCTCCGACAATTGATTTTTTTTTGTGTGTGTTAAAACTTGGGCGTTAATGCAATTTTCAGTTGATAAAATATGTATAAGATGCCGTCTTAAATACAGTTTATTTCAGTTTAAGAATTGAATATAAGATAAGTACGTGTTAAGTGTTAATAGTAAGAGAAAACAAAAATCGATGATATTTAACACTAGTCCGATCTGTCGGAAAAAACCTTAACCGGAATGGTTTGAAGAAACCCGAAATAACTGATTCCTTTCGATTCAGAATTAGATAAATACATATCGATTTCTTTTAAATCAATAACTAGAAACATTGTATTATTAGTTTACAATATATTTTAATAAAATCTTTTTTTATATGTATGGTTTCTGCTGTTTTGTTACGGACAGATGAAGAGAAAGTTACAAACTGTGTGTGGATGTATGCTCGGACAAGTGCTCTTAATTAGGAGAAGAAAAAGTGATACTATTAATTTTTGTTTCAGAAAGTTCGACATCTTGACGAAAAAAATATGATCATTAATTTGTATTGATGCGGTACTCCAACTACATGACTGTTTTCATTTTTTGCAGTTCAATTATACCATTCTTGATTTAATATATATTGTTTGTTGAATTGTTACAAGCAAATTAGTTATTAGTCAAACTGTGAGCCCGAAACAAACATTCGGCTGTTCTATATGATCGTTACATATGGCCAAGATTCTAAATCTTAAAAGTTGAATAAATAATAGTTTGTTTTTAATTACAAGATACAAGCTTTACAAATAAATAATATATCATGTAACCATGTGAGTCACATGATAATATTATGATGTGACCGAACTAAATTATTCTTACTAATATTATTATTGATGACACTTTAGAATAAGATACATAAAATTGTATCAATTATCAGACATGTATGAAATTGTATGGCGTAAGAAATTAATACATGCACGTACGTAAACAAGCTAAGATTCAATTTCTGGGAGGTTTGTATTCAAAATCCCACAAAAATTAGACGGTTATATGTAAGAAAAAAAAACTAAACCAATAAAATTCCATGAAGAAAACAAACAGAATTGTCAGATCAGGGGAGGGCTTATGAACTAGTAATTTTTTTTTACATACACATTACTACATGTATTCAACGCAAGTGTCGAACAGATTCATGAGACCGTCATCACAAGAAAAATCAGACTCATGTACTTAAGTGTATATATCTAAAAACAGCATGTACATTAGTACATATATACGTTACGCTAATTTCATCTCATTATAAGCAGAAGATCGAAATAAATAGAATAAAATTATCTGTTATCGTATTAATTAGCCACACCATAATTACATTTTATAGTATTGTTGACTGTAGAAATGTTATTTAATACAGAAAATATTTTCTTCTTTTTCCGTCTAACATCTAATACAAAGATTTCCATAATCCCTATATAAACAAATAAAAACAACACAACTTATCAACATTCACAGTTCAAACAACTTGCCTCAAATTTTATAATCTTCTCTAACCCAAAAAAAGAAGAAGAATGGAGAACAAAAGAGTAGTGATGTTGGTTACAATGATGATAGTGATGGCAATGGGCAACCTCGTGATTCAGACAGAAGCTCAAGCTTCTCCTTCTCCATTTGGAAAGTGTTATCCATGTTGTCTTGTGAATTGTGTCATTGAGAAAAAGTTGCCAACTGGTCTTACGTGTCCATTCACTTGTCTAGTAACTTGTATTGCTCCTCCAACTATAACTCCTTCTCCAATGATGACTTTGGCAAACGAAATCGACCACACTGATTACTTCTGCAAACTTGGTTGTGCTACTCAGCATTGTGCCTCTCTTTCTTCTATCCAAAATCCGAGTAAGTGTTCTTTTTTTTTTATGTAATCTAATATTACAATTTTCAACTGAAAAATTACTGATTTTTGTTGTTTTTGTTTGTGGCATGAGCAGATGCAGACAAAGTTGCCGACTGTGTGGATTCATGCTCGAACAAGTGTTCCAACAAAAACTAAATTTTTTAAAAAATGTTTTTTTCTTGTTTTTATTCTAAACAAATTAATATAAAATAAATATAGATGCTCAACTAGCTCTTAATAAATTTTCAGTTGATAAAATATGTATAAGTGGATTCCGTCTTAAATACAGCTTAATCCACTTTGATACGTTCATGATTTGAATATAACTAGTTAAGTACATGTTAAGATTAAGAAAGAAACGAAATTCGATGATATCTTGGATTGGGCCAGATATACTGATTTTGGCCCGTTTTAACACTAGTCCAATCTCCGAAACCTAAACCGGAACGGTTTGAACAAACCCGAAACAACTGAACCCTTTCGCTTCGGGATTACATAAACAAACATATCTATTTCTTTGATGTCATGTATCCAAAAGAAGTTTTACCGGCGGACATGGGGCGGCGTAGGAGGCTGTTACCTCCGAACAGTCACTCTATCTTAACCTTACTCGTCGCTGCCTTGAAACGCAAAGTGCAGAAGAGTCTCCCACTCGCAAGCAAACCAATTCCAGATCCCTTCTTTGCTGAACATATCGCATATCTTAAGGAAATGCCGAATCACCCTGATGTACCGCGATGGCGCGACATTCCCGCCCTCAAAGATCTCCTCCCGGTGGTGTCCTTTTCCGACGTATCTGAGCTTCACCTGGATCTCGATCCCAAATTCCACAAGAGTGTACATTGCTACGCGTCCCTCCTCCATGTTTTAACCAAGCATGGAGTCGCGTGCGACGTGCCTCTGATCATGTCCTTCATGACGCATGCATGCGTGACAGATAAAGATCGTTCGCTTGTTATCGACGTGTATAAGCAATACAAACTTGCCTCACTCGCTCTTGCTATGAGGATCTGTTGGATTCACTGGCTAGATCTGATATGGTCCCTGGAATGAGAGAAGTCTATGTGGACATGTTGGATGTGGTCTCGTCACCAGGGGTTGGCATCTTTAATATCATCATTACTGCGTATTGTAGGCGTTGGCATGTGGTGGTGTCGCAACAGTATGTGTGTAAGATGATTCAGTCTGGACTGACTCCTAATCTTACCACATTTACATCTTTGATTATGGGTTACTGTAGAACCGGTGATGCAGATGCTGCTCTTAGGGTTTTCCAAAGGAACATGGTGCAGCAATATGGGTGTGTTCCTGACTTGAAATGCTACGAGCAGCTAATGGGTGGGATTTGTGAAGCTAACAAACTGGGGATAGCTTGGATGTTGTTGGATTGCCTCCTAGTGAGATTGTTTTTGAGAAGTTGCTTAGGTGTTGCTGCGTGCTGCACAAGTATGGGGAAGCTGCGAACATTGTTGAAGATATGATTCTTTGTGGTTTTACACCGGAGCTGAAGTATTGCAGAAAATTGGTTTGCGGGGGCTGTATGAACAAGGAAGAAATGAGAGAGCAAGACAAGTTTTCGTAAGCTGCTTCAGTGTGAAGAGCTCTACGATGATGAGATAGCTTGGAGAATACTCATTGGTGGTGTGGTTAAGAAGAAAGGTCTTGCTGATGGTGCATTTTCTCAACTGCTCCAAGAGATGCAAAGAAGTGGGTCTTACCTGAGTCTTCAAACATATTTAATGGTTAAACAGGGGCTTCAGGGGATCATTGATGATATCAGTGACTGATCCAATCACTTGATGGTCACACATATGCTCTCTGCTTTGGTATGGTGTAGTTTTAGCCAGTCACAAGCCACTTATGCAATAAACTTCGTTGTGGGTAATAATGGTGTTCTTGCAACTTGAGTTAGTTATATCTTTTCTCTCTTGCACAAAAAAAGTTAGTTATACTAGTTCCCTAAGATTTTCTTCTTTGTGATTACCACTTGCTATTGGAAACAATAATGTTTTTTATTGTTAAAAACAATAATGTTTTTTCTTTGTGTTCATCTCCTTTTTGTTGATTTTTTTATGTTTTTTTGCTATGAATGTTAATATAACCAAGCAGCAGAGTTAGACGCTGAGGTATTATAATCATCTTTGGTTGCATGATGTGGAATCTTTGATCAAAGAGTTGGGAATGATTGAAGGAATCCAATCAGACGATAATGATGATCAAAGAGTTGTTTCAACAGTTATTCTGAGAAAACATGGAAAGTAAAAGAGTGACAATAATGATAATGATGGTAATGGGAAACTTATTTCTCATTGACAATTAATTGTACTCAAATTAGTTATTTTGATTAAACGTCTTTACGAAATTGAAAATATAAAACTCTAGCTCTTCCTTGACCAGGTTTGGGCATAGCTTTGCTGACTACTTCAAAATAAGTTACTCATGATTTTATTTTATTTTTATTTATTTATTTTTTTTTTGGTGGGGGGCTCCATCCACATGCCACATGCTGGTCTTGTTTATATTCTACCAACTCCTTTTTTAGTTCTGAAACGGATTTAACACACGAAATCGACAATACTAGCTGTCGAAAGTTGAAATGTGTATACACATTTTTTGTTTTTGTTTTTTTGTTGTTGCTGTTGGTGAGGGTAAATGCGAGGAATGGATAGTATAATTAACACTAACCGTCTCTTTAACCTTATTTTGTTAATTGTCTTACAAAACACAATGATTTTTTTTATATGTATATATTTTTGTGGGAAAACACTCAGGTCTATAATTCGTGCTGACTAGAATTATCTACCTCTTCCTTCTCTCATGCCTTCAGAGAAAGAAAGAAGAGTCGCACAAAACACAAATGAAACAACCAAGATGTGAGCAGAAATGGATAACTGAGTTTTCCGCATCCTCACCTGACCTCTTCATCAAATCTTGATAACTGTATGAATAGCTAATAGCTTATATAATTTCATTAAACGTTTTATATTGGTTGGAATATTCTATTACTAACAAATGAAAAATAACGTTAGGTTATTTGATTAAATAAAGCGATTAGGTATCGATCGAACCAGAACAAAAAAAAGAGAAAGGTATCATTATGATCACTCATTCTCTTCAGCCAATTAAGTCAATAGTACAGTTCACGAAAAAGTCTTAATGGTGTTGACAAAAAAAGAGAAGAAAAAGAAAAGCCTTAATGGTAGAACATTAAAAATAGGGTTTTGTGCAAAAAAACTATTAAACTAAATTAATTTTGCAAATTAAATCCTCACTTATTTTTTGTGCAAGTCAATCCTATTAATTTCAAAGTCACCCGCTATATAGCCATTTTCTATATTGATTTCATGAATTCAAAACAACATGCTGTTTTACTAAATCGAAATGGCACACAGTTCATAATTCCGGCCGGTTAACAATTGGTTAAAATTGATTCAAAATTTCAAAATCAATTTTCGGTTTAATTTTAGTGAATCAGCTAAACCAATAAACTATTTTCCACGATTTATTCTCCCAGTTTAAAGATCTGTACTCCTTATTTTTCTTAATCTAACACTAATTCACTTAAGAATTCAAAACACAAAACCAGAATCTTCACTAACTTAAAGAAACTCTGTGGTACATTTGGTTTACAGATCCATCGGCTCCGCCTCCAGTACACCATTTCCTTTGCATCTCACCCCACCAATATATCGGCTCCACCTCCGGTCACGCCACCTTCTTCTCTGCTGCAAACACGCCATCGGTAACAACCTCATCATTATCACTACCATTCTCTTCAACTCTTCAAGATCCGCAGAATCGCTCTGATCCGTATTAAATATCTCGAAAATTGATTCGTAGAGTTTCATCAGCTTCTCGGAGAAGCCTTCTCACCGACGCCGAAGTTTGAATCCAACATTCTCATCAATTAGAATCCGCTATCGACTTTAACTCGATTGGGTTGGCACAAATCAATTTGGGAAAATAGGGTTCTTAAATCCACTTTGGTTTGATTGATTTGTACTGAATTGTGGGCATATGGTTTTTCGGAATCAACTGTTAACCAATGGAAGACTTGCTCAAAGCATTAACATTGGGGAAGGCGATACACGGAAACTTTCTAAAAAAATTGACTGGATTCTTATTATTTATGCTATAATCAAATGTGTAGAGTTGGAAGAGAAACAAAATATCAATTTAATCCATAAACTGTTGCCTTTTTTCTTAATTGATGAAGAAGATGAGCCAGGGATCTGGTTTTCTCAATCGAAGGAAAAGAGAGTGACGAAGAAAAAGAAATGTATTTTCTGTTTTTTAATATAATTTTTTGTTTTTATATTTTAAATAATAAAATATCAACAGTTGAAACATCATGTTGTTTTTATAGGTTTGAAATGTTATGTTTTTGATTTTTTCTTTGTTGCCACGTCATGGATACAGGGATGGCTATATAGCGGGTAACTTTGAAGTTGATAGAATTGACTTGCACAAAAAATAAATAAATGAGGGTTTGATTTGCAAAACTAATTTAGTTTAATAGTTTTTCTGCACAAAACCCTTAAAAATACAAGGTTTTATTTATTTATTACAATGTATAATGTGTCCCCTTTTTCTTCTCTTCTTGTTCGTTTTCTCAACAACCTAAGAGAATAAAACGTATTTGAAATCACTAAAATGTTGAAAATATATAGGAGACAGATACTAACGGGTGCTTACTCCATGTTTGGCCAAAATTCTTGTAATACAAGTTACATTTGTTTATCGTTTTTCTCATCTTTTGGATTAGACAGTGACAAAAACAATGCAATAGTTGTCAGGAAACCCACAAATATTCGAATTTGAATTAGAAAAACATCCAAAAAGCTTATATAATTGCATGTTGAGTTATATATCGTTCAATAAAAAATGAGTAGCTTATACTCCCTCTGTTCATTTTGAAAGCTTATATAATTTCATTTTCTGAAACGTTTGAACACTACAATTTTCTCCAAAACTACTTTTGGATTTAGTTTACCACATACTTCCTATGTTTCATAATATAGGGGGTTTAATGTTTTTGCACGCAAATTAATAAGCTATTTAATTCTTGTACTTTTTGAAATAAAATATATTTTATCATCAATTCTAAAACATTTCAACCAATAACAAAATAATATAAATAATCAAATGTAATAAAAACACATTATTTTACCTAAAAACTCTAAACCCCTTATATTATGAAACAACAAAAAAACTTCAAAACCCCTTATATTATGAAACAGAGGAAGTATCGTTCAATAACAAATTCTAATGAGAAATACATTAAAATATAACAAATATATTATTTTGTTACAAAAATAGCATCATTTTTTTTCAAATATCACTAGAAAGAAAAATACCAATAAATATGTTTTTTTTAATATCACAAAAGTAAAAAAATGATTTTAAGAGTTTATATATAAAATATTTGGGGTTTCAATTTAGTATTCAAAGTTTATAGTTTATTTTTTACTGTCTAAGGTTTGTTTTTGAAAGTTAAATGTTTAGTTTTAGTTTCGTAATTTTGTGGAACAAAAATTAATTTTATGGTATTTTTAGAGAAAAAAAAAAGCAATGGTAATTTTCAATTTTGGAATAAAAAAAATTATTTTTATATGATATTTTTGAGAAATGCATATTTCAAATTACCGAACTTTTTCTAAATGAATTTAGTTTAAAATTAAAAAAGAAAAGAAAAAGAGAGAGGCATGTTCTTTTACATATATATGGTCCACATATACCAAGCAACAATAATTGAAAATCTCTTTGTTTCATGACTTTCATCTTTATCTTATTCCTCTTTATCTCTCTCCAGAAGATTGAGTTTTCTTCTTCTTGTTCGTCTTCCGACTTTTGGTCTGATCTCTTATAAGAAACAACACACTAAATGGCTTTAGCAGGAACAGAATCCATGGCATGTGACAAAAGCGTTTATCTCAAGGTTTGATTCTTTTTTTTTAACGAAAAATCATGGGTTCTTGTTCTTCTTACATTTTTTGATGATCTCTTATAAAGCAAGAGGTAGATTTAGTAGATATAGATGAAGAAGACCAATCAAGTAAGTAGAAATCTTGTGCCTTGTGGAATAGTGTGAAAGATGAATCTGATTGTTTACTTGGATTTTTTTGGAGCCTGGGTTACTTAAAATATGAAATTGGATTGGAGAATTTCATCACGTTGTTTATTGAAACTGAGTATCGGTATTAAACTTTTTAGGAATCTGCATCAGGTCATTCGAGATTTTTTTATTCTATGGGATAATAAGTTGATGGTTACTTTATACTTACAGGAATACTTTAACACACACCACTAAAGTTAGTTTTTGTTCCAAATATACCATTTTCAAATACCAATAAATGGTTTTTCCAAGAATATCACAAACATTAAAAATGATTTTCGAGGATTTATAATTTAAATATAGAGTGATGGGTTGAGTATATTGGTTAGGGTTTAAGGTTTATTTTGATGGGGTTTAGGGTTAAGTTTTGAGAACTTAAAGTTAGTTTTTTCTGTGTGGTATTTTGAAAAATAAAATTAGTAATGATAATACAAAAAATATTTTAGGGTATTTTTGAGAATTTCCCTATATTTAAAGTTGGACCGATTGATATGACAAAATATGTAAGCTTTATTTGGACCGGTTCTTACCAATTAATCATAATCAAAAGTGAACCGGAAGTTTGTTGTAAATTGTAAGCCTATGCAAAATACATTGAACCAACGAACTGTACCAAATTAAACTGAATTATAAGATACTCAATCGAACTGGAATCAACACAAATACCCAGATGAATCTTACCTTCTTTCTTATATTTGAAAAATCATAACCGAATAGATATTCAAAATACATGAAATACAATTATATACCCATAGCTATTAATTATAGAGAAAATTATCATATAGCATAATAATGTTTTTTTATTCCTTTCATATCATCTCTAGTTTTGTTTTTCTCCTACCATGTTTTCATTCATAACACAAACTATAAAAGGGATTTTTAAATTAAATATTTGATTTGGGTTTCATATTTAGGATGTAGGATTTAGGGTTTCGTATTGAAAGTTTAGAGTTTAGTTTTGATGGTTTCATTAATTTATAACTCTAAAAGTTGTTTATATAAAAAAATATTTGGGTTTGTGTTTAGCATTTAAGGTTTAGGGTTTAGTATTTAGAGTTTACTTTTAAAGGCTGAGGTTTAGTTTTGATGATTTAAAGTTAATTTTATATTTATAGTATGAATGGAAAAATAGTACAAGATGGGAAAAAACTTGTGATGGTAGATGTGAAAATTACCCTTGAGTATATAAAGACTTCAAATAAGTAAATAACTAATTATCTAACACTATAATTAGAAACCAAATATACTAGTTATGTTTAAAACAAAAATGACCAAAATACATGTGATATCCAAAAATCTTTAGTGATGTTTGTCAAAAATTAAATATTGGTTTTACAAAAATTAAACTAAATTTATTTCAATGAAAACATGTTTATTTTTAGTGTATTTCGTCTTAAGTTTGGGTATTTGGTACTGCCCGAACCAAAAAAAAAAAATTGATCGTCCAAGCCTAGTAAATTGTTTGATTATATATTTTTTTGTTCTCTAGTAGACTGAGCTAAAACTGAGTATTAAATTTGGTTCACTAAACTAAGGAAGAGATATTGGATAACTGAATTTAAGAAAATACAAAAGAATTTATAAATATTTGATGATAATATAATTTAAAGGGGAAAGACAAACATTTAAATACCGAACTTATACATTTTTGCCACACACACAAAAAAACGTGGACTTTTCATTTACCCAACAAAATCACCAATTTATGTTGACCTAGCCAAACTTCGGTTAAACCCGGTCCGGGCATTTAATGAAAAAGTCGTTAAAAAAAAAAATGTTGACCTAGCCAATTAATATACCAATTACGTTCAATAAGTCAATAAGACATAAACAAAATAATAAAATATTATCTTAAGATTTTCTGGGCCGAACTAAAACAAGTATTGGAGAAGAGAGAATACTAGAGAAATTGAGTTGGAGAAGAGATTAAATTGTAATTTTGTTGTTGTAACACAAGTTTGTGATTTTGTTGGCTTATTGAATTCATTACAATACCATAAAGATACAGTAAAAATGAATAATACTACTAGAATAAGGAGATTGAATAAAACTAAATTTTAAAGGAATTATGACTACAAATAATAGCTAATCCAAACACAAAATAATTGGTGAATTGCAACATTGACTAACAATATAATTTGATAGATTTAATTAAATTATTTAACTGAATAATACCTCTTCTCCTAAATCGAGTTGATCGATTTTTTTAGAAAAAAGAAGTTAATAAGCAGGTATTAAATTCTCTGTTCGAATATCTCCACTTTTTTCTTGGTTCCTTGGAGAATTTGAATGAATGGGAGACTTTTCTTTTCATTGGGGGAGATTTTGACAAATTTACCTTTTTCATGGGTTTTATCAAAAAAAAAAAACCTTTTAATGGGTTGAATCCTTTATTGCTGCTTACTGCCTTTTTTCTTTCTTTTTTGCTCCTTTTGAGTCCGAATTTTTTTTTTGTTCTTTTGATCTTCCTTTAGTTATGCTTTTAAATGAAAACGAATTCAAATTTAATATTTTTAATCTCATTCATCCAAGAATTTGGTCCTACCAATAACCATTGTAGCTCATATGTTTATAGTCTTGTATAAATGTGATTTGATAATAAAATATCTCGTAACAGTATTATTCACGACTACTAGTAAACCACATATATAGACAAGTTATCAAAAGATTGATAAATGTAGAGAAGCAAATAAAAATGGTCACACACAGCTCGAGCTATGTATCGTGTATGTAACTGAGAGTGTTTGCATTAATAAATGATTCACGCGAAACCACAACGAAGAAGGTAGTACGACGGGTAAATAACGGGACCAGTAAAAGGGCATTTATGTCAAACCATTAACTCTCTTTGGGACCCACACGATGGTTGAGTTTTAACTGTGTCACGCGCCACACACGATTCCCGATTCCCTCCACTTCACTACCACGATGGTTAAGTTTTAACTGTCTCTCTGTAATACTGTAATTTGTTTTCTGTGGCAATTTTCTCGGGAACCAAATCGAGAGGAAACCGGAAGAAGCTTTTCTGTTTATTTTCTTAGACTTCAGCGGGAATCTGTTCGGTCGTTTTTGTTTTTATGCGTTTGGAGAGGAATCTCGATGACTACAGGAACTGTTAATTACAGAAATGGAACGAATAGAAGCTCTCTCAGAACTCAGTCCTCTGCTTCTACTTCCGGTGGACAGAAGCCGACCCTCAAATCTAAGTCTGTGCTTCGGAAGAGCATCCCCGCCTCACTCTGCGGCGGCTCTGCGGCAGCTTCTAAATCCGGAAGCGGTGGCGAGGTGCCGGTGGTAAAATCCTCTGTTCATCCTTTCACCTAGAAATTTCACTGTTTCGTTTTTTTTCCCATCGATGTTGGAGGAAGCTAGATTCGTAATCAGGACATCTCTGTATCATGAATTGATTTTCTTATTGGTTTTAATAGTGATTTTGTTTCTTTGAATTGCATGATGCTTCAGTTCCTGGGAGAGTACGAGTAGCTGTGAGATTAACGCCACGCAATGGCGAGGAACTAATCGCTGATGCAGATTTTGCTGACTGTGTTAAGTTACAGCCGGAGGTACAGGGTTCGAGTAGCTGTTAGAGATCGATCAGTTGTTTTTGGAAGTTTTTTTCACTAGTTATGTGTTTGATTCGTTAGGTTAAGAGGTTGATGAAGTGCTCACGGAGTATGATTTTCTTTCTTTCTTCTGTGAAGGGTGTTTTGGATGGTTACAATGGGACAATAATGGCGTATGGTCAGACCGTGGAATTATGGTCCGTGCCATGGAGGATATCTTAGCCGAAGTGTCGTTGGAGACGGATTCTATATCCGTCTCCTATTTGCAGGTTTGTTATATTTCTTGATACTGTTTTTTTTAGTTTCTTGGAAAGATCTCTTAGTGTATTTGTTTGCTGGATGAAATGCAGCTTTATATGGAGACTGTACAAGCCCTTCTTGATCCGGCTAACGATAACATTGCCATAGTTGAGGATCCGAAAAGTGCAGATGTGTCTCTTCCAGGTGTCACATTGGTCGAGATTAGGGATCAGCAGAGCTTCTTGGAGCTGCTGCAACTTGGAGAAGCGCACCGTTTTGCTGCTAACATCAAGTTGAACACCGAGTCATCCCGTAGTCATGCTATCTTAATGGTGAATTTTTTTTATTGATTCTGATTTTGTTAGGAGAAATGTTGTTAGTTAAAAAACTTGCATATTCATCATTAACTAAAACTGCAGGTGAATGTGAGGCGGTCGAGATGGTTTGTCAAGTGAAAGTAGTAATAATGGAAGCTCCCATATGACTAAATCTCTCAAGCCTCCTGTTGTCTGGAAAGGAAAACTGGTTGTGGTGGATCTTGCTGGATCAGAGCGTATCAATAAATCAGGTTGATCTTCTCTGTAATTTTTCATATTTCTCATCTACACTTGTTGATTGTGGTTTTTATCTGTTCTCTGTTGATTGTGGTTTATATCTGTTCCACAACAACTTTCAGAAAACATCGAAACAGATATATATATATATATATATATATATATCTATATCAACACAAAGTGGTTCACTATTCTAAGTGTTTGGCCAGAGGGTAAGGCCCCAAGCTTCTGACTTCCCCTATGATACTATTCTATTGAACTTCAGAGCTTGCTGGTTCGAATTCTTGATTTGCTTATTTTGATGGCTACTTTTGACTTTTGGGTTGTTTTTGTAGACTACAAAAGCTTGTCTAAAAGGCTTGAGGTACAATTAGACAATCTAATTGAGGAGCATCAAACCAAGGTACATTTTTTCTAATTAATTATCCAACTTTAATCTCTTTGGCAATTACGAAACATTTCATGATCTTATCTTAGACTGATTGACTAAAATACACCATTTTTCAGGAACTAAAAGAGGGAAGTCACTCTTGATAGAAGATGGTGCGCTCTCATGGACTGTACAAAATGCCAAAACCGAAACTTCAGCCATAAGGCGACATATCGAATTAGCTCTATGCCACTTAGCACAACACGGTAAGTGTGTTCATATATACATACATCCAATTAAACACATGAATTTGCATTTATTAAAAACGAGAGACGTATTCCATTGTAACGCAATTCTGTGTGTTTGCAGAAGGGAATGCGAAAGAGATGGTGAAGGAAGGAGCAATATGGGAGCTGGTGAGGATCTAAAGAGGCTGTTCGAGAGAAGACATAAGGAGTCTTGCTCACAGGACTCTCACTTCAAGTCCCACTTTCCTCGCGTCTCCGTGTTGATGCCGGTAAGCCGGTTTAGCGTCTAACTTAACCGAACTGAATTGCGAAATAATGATTGAAAAAATTACACCGGTACTCTAAATTCGAGATGAAAAATTGTCTGATTTTGTTTTTTTAATTCCGTTTAGAGGTCGGCAGTTATACTATACTAATTCAGCTAAATTATATTTGTTTCAGCTAAAATATTTGTCTTAAATTTCATGACCAAATTCGAAATGTCTTGTAAAGATTTTTCTTAAATCGGTTTAAAGCTAACAGATAAAAAAACGTTTTTAACCGAAACCTGATCATGACTATCGAAACGTTTCTTAAACTGTGTTTAGAGTACCTCTCACGTGAGGAGAACGTGAATTCTTCTCTCTCCAGCTATCTTCTTTGGAATCATGAAATAAACAAGGTATTGTCTTTTTTGTTGTTCTTTTGGACTTTGATTTTGGACTTTGATTTTGTTTTTACATGTTTCTAATCAGTCTTTGTTTTTCAGTCTTTTCGTGAATTGACCTCCACTGAAAGGATTCAGATGACAGAAGCTCTTGATCAGATGGAACAAGATGCCAACGTAGTTGGTAATTCGTTTGTATTCCATTACTACATGAGATGCAATGAAAAGAGAGAGGTAAGCCTGAATTCTCCTGCCTGAATTCTCCTCTTGATTGATTCAATTGAAAGAAACATATGTGGTTCTGATAATTTTCAAGTTTTATGTTCAGATGAACTACACTACTCATGCCATTGTAGCCCGACCAGATAATCAAAACATCCTCACTGTCATCAGATGGAAGAAGGTAGGTTATATCTCTCTCTTCTCCGTCTGTTTATGAATTTTTCTGATTATTTGATCTTATCTCTTCTCTTTTTTTTGCAGAATATTGTGAAACTTGTCAATTCGTTTATGGACAAGACATGCAGCCATCAAATTCTGAGTGCTTACTCGCATGCATCTTACAACTATGGGATAACCACATTAGTGAGTGGTGTGTTAACCACAGAAGATGGCAAGAGACAGGTGTTTTGTCAAAACTTGTTCCTTGTGCCAGAGACAACCCAAGGAAGGTATCTAGCCATGAACGACCTTCTGAGATACCTCTGTGTGGAGATTGAAGGTGACGTGTCCTCTAATAGATTTATAAAAGACTACTACATATGTGGTGGTGATAAGTACTATGTGGAGGGTAGCTGTTTGAGCCGCCAGACAAGTGGTGGGGACATGGTCTCCTTTAACGATTTAAAGGTAAGCAGCGCAGCCCTTAGTTTGCTTTTACTTAATGTCTAATTTCTGTTCCTGATTTTCAGTTTTTTGTATTTGCAGTCTATCAAAGACCACATAACATCATCTCATTCCCAAACATCAAACATTGACATCTTTACTGCGGATTCACAACCTTCTTTCAACAGATCAGTGATTATGCTCGTCACTGGTTCAATGACTTTGAAAGATGGAGGGAAAAAGACTTTTATACAGTCTTTTCTGCTTGTGCCAAATGAGGACACGTACATCATTTGGGATGATATACAAATGTATGTTGAGATTGACTCTCAAGGTGAACTTCCTCCTAAGTTCGATGGGAACAAGGACAGGTCCTTTGACAGATTGAGGCAATTTGAGTTGGCAAAGCTACAAGCAGCAGAGCTCGCTGAGGTATTATGTTCTTCTTTGAGATCTTTGTTTAGAACTAATGCTATCTTCTTTGAGTTATTATACTTATACTGTTCTTCATAAACTTTCTTGTGTGAATTTGATAGGGAACTCATTTGGACTGGTGTAAGGCAGAGTCTCTGTTTAAGACAGAACTACTAGCTGAGGTTGAGCTAATAAGCTCCAGCACTAGAGGATTTGTGGTAAGTAACATTCATTTTCTGGTTTCATGATTTCATCTTTTTTTTTGTGTGTTTGCTTTCCACTTCATAATCCTTTTCTTTTAACAGGTTTCACTTGGATCTTTGATTGGATTTTTGCCATACCGAAACCTTGCAGCAAAATGGAAATTTGTAGATTTCGAATCATGGTTGAGAAGAAAAGGTGTAGAGGACCCATCTTTGACGATTAAAGCTCCATCTCCAGATCTTGTCATGGTATATGAGAGACAGAAGCAAAAGTTCATGTCCTCTTTTGTTGGCAGGGTTTGCTACTAAACTAAAACTTTTCATTATCAGAAAATTAGTTTACTTCATGTTTCCTCCCTCTAAACTAACAGTTTACTTACTCAATGATTTGCAGAAAATCAGGCTCTATGTCATTAAGGCTAATAGACAGCAGCGTACGCTTGTATTTGGGATGAGGCCTAGAGGAAATGAAGGAGAGCTTGTGAGAAAACGAGAGCTTATGAATAAGCTTGTTGTTGGTGATGTGGTGAAATGCTGCATCACTAAAATCACTTACTTCGGCATTTTCTGTGAGGTAGTACTTTCTTTTACTACTTTTACTACTTTCTAATAGACCCAGATTGTTGATTGTTCTGTAGACTAAATTTTTTTTTGCTTTGAACAGGTACAAGGTTTCCCTGCTTTGATCCACCATTCAGAGGTGTCATGGGATTCACCTCTGAAGATCGGTCAGGTTGTGGAGGCCAAAGTTCATCAACTGGATTTTCCTCATCTGCGTATCAACTTGTCCCTAAAAAGCCTCTGAGCGAAGCCAAGTTACAAGCAGAGAGTGCAAGAGGTAAAAGAAAGAAAGAGAGAGATCTATATCTTAGTGTCATGTTTTTGGACAGATTCAGTTTTTCATTGCTGTTTTCAACGGGTAAAAGCAACATTCTCTGATGTAATTTGGGCCCAAGCTACTTAGATATTGAAAGCCCAAAGCCCATTAGAGACTCGAGACTAATCATATGCTTTAAAACCCGGTTGTCTTCTGTTTCCGTTAATTACTAGATTTTTGTTGTCTTTCTTTCTTCTTACTTTTCGGTATGAAATACCAAATATCCTCGTGTTCAAACTTTAAAACATCCTTGTCTTTGTTGGCAAAGATGTCAAATATCCTTGTTTATTAAATTATCTTTCACTGGTCAATCTCAAAGCTGAATCCATTTCTGCTCAATTTAAGGTTTTCTTCCTATACAACGAGCTCTGTGATATTCTTTCTTCTATCGCTCTGGTATCGTGTATGTTGACTATGTTCCAATCTGCTATATTTTTTTTTCTGTCGTCTCCATCAACCTATTTTAAAATACTACTTTTATGAACTCTATATGATTATTATCAATATCAAATCAAAACCTTCAGTAAACAAATTCCTAGCAATTCAACAATACCTATGTTTTTCAATGCCCTTATACTAAGTAAAATTTCAATATTGTGTAGCTTAATTATTGCAACTAGTCTATAAGTAACCACGATATGCTATTACAATATAAAGTTATAAACTATAGTTTGTTTGTTTGTTTGATAGTTATCCTTTTCCCAACAAACTTTGTTTAATAGAATTATTACAAGAATAACCCCAACAAAAGCCAACACACTTTAGACAACCCATAGTGAGAAGCCAATACTACATCGAGCTTGATCTTACTTTCTTCCATCTTTCTGAGCAAATCCAAGTCCAAGAGAGTGTTCCCTTGTTTGCACATAATATTTAAAACTGGTCCATAGGTAACTGTATCGGGCTGACATCCCTTTTCTACACCAGTCGATCGATTAAATCCATGGCTTCATATACTTTTCTTTGAGGCAAAGTCCATTGATGAGAGTGTTAAGCGTTATAAGATTTGGTGTAAGCTACATCGCTACCATTCGATCAACTAATGTGACAGCTTCAGAAACTCTACCCTCAAGACATAATCCATCCATCAAAGTTGAAAACAGCGAGCACAAAACTGCGTATTAATTACTGTCTGAAAGAAAAATCGCACATGTTTTCAAGATACATTCTGAAAACCCAATCATGTGAAGTAAATATGAAGAGTGAGAGCGAAGAACAATATTCGTTTAACAAAGCAAAAACTTCCAAACATTTGTGTTGCAACTTTCATCTCTACTTTTGCATTTTATTCATCATGGACCAATGTACTACTGAACTGGCCCTTTGATTTAGTATACTCTATTTTATCGATGATATCTTGCGTTGGCTCAATCCCCATTTCCCTCATCTCTTTCATAAGTTTGCTGGCCTTGCAAACATCACCATCCCTACAACAACGAGCTATTAGTGCTGTGTAAGGCGCAGCATCGGGCTCCAACCCATTTTCAATCATTTCGTCAAAGATCCTCTCCGCGTCTTGGAGTTCTCCAGTCTTGCACTGCTGATCAATCATGACCGTGTAGTAGTGGACGTCTCGTTCAATGCCAAGGGCTTTCATTTCCCTCTTCATATCCAGCTCTGGAATGTTGTTGAGCAAGACCGTGTATGTCACCACATCAGGAACGATTCTCATCTGCTTCATCTCTTGGAAAAGATCATAGGCGTCCTTGAAATCTTCTTTCCAGCAATAGGCCTTGATCATGCTTGTGTAAGTGCACAAATCAGGGACTATCTTTTTACAAGAAAGCAACACTTTGAAATTCTTCATGGCTTTTCTCACTTCCTTAACTCGACACCAGGCGCGAATCAGTTTCCCATACATGCGCTTCCCAGGCTCAACTCCAACTACTTCCGGCATTCTTTCCAGCAAGTCTTGAGCTTTGCCGGCACGATCTTTGTCGCCGGCGCAAGCTTTATCTCCGGCGCAAAGACTAGAGAATAGTGTGATATACACATTCTTGGGCAGAGGAAAGTCCAGTCTACCGAACCGTTCGTAGGCCTGATCAGGAAGACCAGCTTCTGCATAACCTTTTACCATACTTAACTCATTTTCCCGGGTTTTCTCATCTCCCAAACTCTCATATAAAGATTCAGCCTTGTCTGCATTTCCCCCAACAATCAGTCCTTCGAGGAGAATGCTGTGTGTAACGGGAGTGGGCTTCAAACCTCGAGCTTCCATTAGTTTCAGCGTTCCCAGTGCCTCTTTCGCATGCTTATTCCGAGCTAATCCACGGGCGAGTACGTCGTATATAACGGTATCAGGCGCTTTAACTGTTCCATCCATTTCAATCATCAGATCAAGAGCTTCCTGAAACTTTCCTTGTTGACAGCAACCATTGATCAAAGTCGTGTAGTTGACGACGTCAGGAGCTATTCCTTTACCAGTCATCTCTCGGAACAGCTTGATAGCTTCTTCTACTTGGCCAAGCTTTACCAAAGCATCACACGCCACATTGTAGCAAACCCTATCAAGAGTAACCTTCTTCTTCCTGAATTCCTTAAACAGATCATAAGCTTCCGACAACTGTCCCATCTGACAAAAACACTGAAGGATCGAGCTAGCAATCACACGGTTTATCTTGTTTCTCCTCGGCGCCACTATATCTCTGAAAAAAACCAAAGCTTTACAGAAATCCAAGTTCCTGCGATGTCCTTGGATGATCTCCAAGTAAACAAACACATCAGGAGCAATCCCGAGTTTCTCCATTTGAAGAACAAGTCTTTCAGCAGCGTCCGTTTCCATCTCGTTGCATAAACAACAGACCACCTTGCGATACGCCTGGACCAAAAGCACGTACGTATCCTTATCCTTATCCACACCCAACCTAAAATGAAGGAAAGCAGAGAGCGCCATTTCGTTTTCTCCACAAGCAACCATACGTTTCATCAAGAAATTCAATGCCTTTACATCCGGAGTGCATTTCAGTTCAAAATACGCATCGACGGCTTTGTCGAACATTTTCAGATTCGCATAGGCTTTAGCCAAGGAATCACAGAGCTTTCTCAACATCTGCGACGAACCTTCACCTTTTTCTCCATCCTCTTCTTCGGCTTCTACAATGGCCTCTAACAAATCCTCGACACTGAAACCTCGTCCCTCATCTCCTTTCCTAATGAGTTCCACTAACAACCGACCCAGTTTCTTATTCAAACCACAACTACAAACGTTTCTGATAAGAATTGCAAAAGCATGGACACTAGGTTGAGCCCCATTTCCTTCAATTCGATTCAGAAACGACAAAGCGAGATACGGATCATCCCTAAGAACCCCAATTTTGTTTAACTCCAGTTCCTTACCTTGTTTCTCAGAGTGTGACACTGTAGGGGGATTCGTCCGCCGGGAAAGTGCAGGAACCACGTACAGTCGCCGCGAGGAGGGTGCTCTTCGAATCAGTCCTCTCACGTTTGAAAGTAATGAAATCCGCAAAAATCCCATGATTTTTTGTTTTCTCTCAAACCGAAGATTAATTGAGAAAGATATAAAACCTCCTTTTCCGACAAAGACGAATACGGTCGGCGGTTCGTGTAGGGTTTCTAAACCATCTATCTTCTTGGTTTTGACTGATTCCGGTTCGAAGAGAATCTGGTTTCCGGTTCAAATTTGGTAATAAAACCAATGTGAATGTGTTTACGAGGGTAAGTAGATGGTAATAAACCCATAAACCCCGACATGGTATTTACCACTATTAATCATCAGATGGGACAATGTGTAGCAGAATCTCTACACCTGTTACCCGATAAAACGGAGGCTTTTGGTTTCGGTAAACCGTTTCAAGACAGTTTCGGTTTAACAATTTTTAGCATATCTCTATTTACATGATCTGTACAACATAGTCAGAAATGTAGAAGAAAAAAACCAGAATCAGATCAAATCCAACTATTAGAGAGCTATTATGATTTATGACATAATAAAGAGTCACTGAGATTATATCACGGACAACCCGTGTGACTTGGAGACTTGGACGAAGACCATGATCAGTCTTGTGAAGCTGGTTTTGTCAGAAGGCTCGACAGAGTGTATTAGTCGTGGTCAAGTTAGACGAGTGTTGCTGTTCAATGGGGCTGTTCGTGGGACTACAGACTCTGCTTCTCTTTGGTTCTGAGATCCTCACGTTGGAGATTGCAACCACAAGCACATCCACCACACCGCTCTCATCTTCTTCCTCCTCCTCTGTGTTGGAGAATGAATCATTCGGTGAATCAGATGTTGTCTTCTTCTCTCTGTTAGCTCTTTTTATGTCAGTTTTCTCTATCGGACTGCTGCGAATCTGGAGGCAAGGAGGAGGTCCTGCTTGACTCTTCTTCGACTTGATACACATCGTCTTGAGTGTCCGGTCTGTGTAAAAGAGTATCCATGGATGCCCTGAAATACACACACAAGTGAAGATTTATGGTAAGCATTAAACAACCACAAACAAAAGATCCAGCGACACTGCAAGCTAAATGGATATAGAAGTCAATGCTCTGCAATTAAGGGAGCTGGAAGATATTATAAGGCTTACTTAGCACTTCATCGGCTGTGATTCTGGCAGATTCTTCCCTTGTTAGCATTCTTGCCAAGAGATCACGGGCTGGTTTGGACACGGACTCCCACACTCCCGAGTTGAAATCAAGCTTCACTTTTTTGATTGCTTCGAAAATGGCATCCAAGGAGTCTCCCTTAAACGGGAGTACACCAGACAAGAGAGCGTATAAGAGCACTCCTGCACTCCAAATGTCGACTTTCTCTGAATAGTTTTCAGAAAGAACTTCAGGTGCAACATAAGCAGGACTTCCTGCTAATCCAGACAATGTTTGACCTGTATAAACCAATGAACACATTAGGTAAGTGAAACCTTGACAGCTCAATAACGGCTACAGAGAAAAGGTCAAAATCTGATCTCAAGTAGAATATGTCAAACGCTTAGTTCTCGTGATAGAATAGGATAGGAATCATAACATCTCCAGTAATACCACTTTAACCAATTCTTTAATCACAACAACTAAAGCGAGTCCAACAACTATCAACTTCAGTCACATAGCTTGAATCATCAAGAAAAAACACTCACTATCCAGGGAAATGCAAGTTAAACATCCAGAGGAGAAGATAAGCACGCGACAGCCAATTTCATACAGAAATATCAGATTTTGGGTCTCATAAGCTTTTTCACCAGTATCATTAGACACTGATGCGATGCAAACTTTCTAACTAGACAGCATCAAGCCGCTATATTCCCTAAACAACGTGTACATGAAAGTCATTGCACTTGAAAATTACATATCATTTAGCCTGCATACACAAGTTACCAAGAAATTCTTAGCACCTGTATACAAATTACCTTTTGCAATTCTCATGGCGAGGCCAAAATCAGCCAGCTGTATCTTCCCAGCAGATGTTAGGAGAATGTTCTCAGGTTTGATATCTCTGTGCACAACTCCCATCTCGTGGCAATAATTGATGACTAGCATGAGGTCCTTGAATATATTAGCTGCTCGCTGCTCAGAATACTTTCCCTCCTTGACCATCTGATCAATCAAACGCCCCCCCGGACACAGCTCCATCACGAGATGGAAACAATCCGACTCTTCATAAACAGCATGCAATGTGACAACCCGAGGATGACCAGATAAATGTTGCATAATCTCAACTTCCCTGTGAACCGTCTCCTCCCCCTTGTTCAGAGTTTTACACGCAAAGTCAATCCCATTATTCTTCGACCTACAGATCCTCACCGACCCGAACTTCCCTTTCCCAATATTTGGACCAAAAACATAGTCATCATGAATCTTATTCTTCCTCCCAGTCTGTGTGGAAACATCAATGCACCCAATCTTCCTCTTCAAACCTCTCCCTGACGAAACCAAAGACGATGCACCGCAAGGAGGTGCAGTAGCCACGCCGGCTATTCGTCTCTTAAAGGAACCAACAGACTCGACATCATCATTCTCCTTGCACCGCTTCTTCAGTCTAGCATAACCCTCTAGCGAAAAGTGTGACCGGAAGTTGGATGATCGTGACGCAGTCGTGCAAGATAAATCCTCTGCCAAGTTTTCCCTCTCCGAACCCTCAGTTTCACTACCTTTCCGCTTCTTCCTCATCAAATCAGCCAGCAACCAATCTCACGGGCATCAGAATCAACTTACATAAGGAAATGATGAAACTTTCTCCTACAAAATAAGAAACAAACCAATCAGTAATCAAAGCAACTGCAAAATGACAACGCCATAGAGCCAATCTCGAAAGGATAGTGCACAAATGTAATCGAAAAGCCAATTTCCAATACATACAAAAGAGAAAAAAGAAACATTTACTCTACCAAATGCGCAGATGAGCACATCAATTTACAAGGAACAATCTAGAAGAGAAGAGTGGTATAGAAAGGAAAAGGCGCAGGCTTCAATGATTCAGAAACTCTCTAACAGATATTCCCGCGAAACTCATTACTTTCCCGGAATAAAGAAGCAGAATGCTAGATCGAAACAGCAGAAAAAACTATACTCAATCCCTTGATCAAAGTACAGAAAGACGATCGAGCTCAGAAATTAGGGCAGATAACGAACCTAGGGAATGACCAAAAAAGCGTCCTTTCTCCGAAACGAAGCCGATCAGAAAGAGAGTGATGGGACCCAATGGAGCGAATCGAGGCGAAACCGCCGATAAATCAGAGAAGAAGAAAACTAACAGAGAATCGAATCGAATCCGCGAGATGCAAATAGCAAGCGAATATCGACGCGGAGAAACCCTAAGAATCTCGACGAAGCGATATTTGGGGGAGAAAAAGCTAAGCCTGAATCATGCAGCAGATCTTCGTTTTGAGGATATAACGAGATTGTGTGTGATTTGTTTGCGTTTATATGTCTAGACCGGCGCAATGTCGGTCGTCACATAACCGGTTTATGATGCCTCTTTGTTTTATTTGTTTTCAATAGCGTCTCTTTTCAACAATTTGTTTCTTTAATCGACTTGTGTTTTCTTTTGGTCAACTATCGACCAGTTTTAGTAAAAATAATCAAAACAAAAACAAATTTTTGCACTGCATTTTAGAGTATAAATAAAACAAAAAGGTCATTTAGAAATCTAGATTTAGAGTCAATAGATGACGACTACTAAACTAGATGACACTTTTATACACGTCGAAGTACGTAACCCACTTTTGTTGTTGTTAATTTTCTCCAACAAGAACACACCTTTCACCATCCCAATCATCACGAAATCATTCAATTTATACAAGATTTAGACTTACATTAAGTTTCTGCAAATAATATGGAGACTTCTCATTTTCCAACTCTTAAAACAAGGAAAAAGGTGACATGATGAGTTGTGCTGTCATGGTGAAGTGAAAAATGAGTTGTTTTTAGTGTCTCATTCTGAAAAGTAAAAAGAATATTTCATTGTGTAAAAGGAAGAAGCCAAAGTGTACAAAGTTAAATATGCAATTGACTTGGTCAAACAGAAAGACTCTAATTTTGTTCCTTCATAATCATATTCACACATATATACTATATTTAGGTGCTACTTACCCTATTAACCCTGATTTTCAGTTCACTTCATGTTTCTTTTCTTTTGCGTCAGTCTTTTTTGAGGCAGGATATAAAGGTTAACGCAATTGACATCAAAGTATCAGTGATCCTTTAGATTTTTTGTTTTAGTGAACATTATATTTGTGTTAAAGAAAATAATGCAAAGAAATGTATGAACTTTATATAATAAAATTTGGCCATGTGGGTTACATTAATCATAGATAGTAATAATATGATCGTTTGTCGTATACATTGTGATCAGTCATCAGTGGCATTGTGGCAGACCAGAGTTGGTTAAAACAGCCGTTGATCATACAATATTTACCTCTAGAGTCTAGAGGTAGTTAAACAAAGCATAATGAAGAAAACGTGAGCTTGCAAAAAAATAAAAAATAAACAGCAACAAGAGAAAGACTTTACTCTTGGTGTGGTATTTTACAATGAACTTGATCGTCACGTCTCGGTTTGACCGATCGGTTCCGTATCCGCATCACCGTCGACACACACATCATATATAATCCCATCTTCCAGCACCAGTCGTCGTGTCATACGGAGTCTTTTCTCTCTTTCCTTTTCCATCTCCTTTTGCACCTCTGACCGCATTGACATAGCCTCCTCAGCTCTCTGCTCAGCATCTCTGTAGAATATGAATCTCCTCACCGTATTCAACTGACTTGCTTTATTGATTCACATTACAACTCTATTTATACAACTTGTTAGCTAGCTATGATAGACATGAATCTCCTACAAACCAGGAATTCATATTAATCCTAATAGATACAAGACTTATCCGTAATACTCTCCCTCAAGTTGGAGCGTTGAGGTTACGAACGCCCAACTTGGACAGCAGATATTGAAATGGGGCACGACCCAACGCCTTTGTAAGAATATCCGCCAGCTGCTCCGCTGTGCGGACGTGATCAGTGACAATGATCCCATCTTGAACTGCATTTCGTACCGCGTGGCAATCGGACTCGATGTGCTTCGTTCTCTCGTGGAAAACTGGATTGGAGGCTATATAAATGGCAGCCTTATTGTCACAAAACAATCGAGTTGGCGCAGACTGGTCTATACCAAGGCCAGCAAGAACACGCATAAACCATTTGATTTCACGGAGAGTGAAAGCCATTGCGCGGTACTCTGCTTCAGCGGAAGAATGTGACACCGTGCCCTGCTTCTTGGTTTTCCAAGCCACCGGAGAGCCACCAAGAAGAACCACAAAAGCACTAAGTGACTTACGCGTCAACGGACAAGAGTTGTAGTCAGCAGCGCAGTAAACAGTGAGCGTAAGATCAGGATCCGATGACAAAAAAATCCCTTGACCAGGGGAACCTTTTAAGAAACGAACCACACGAAGAGCCGCCTCCCAGTGAGCCACCTTCGGTTCCTTCATGAACTGAGACAGTAAATGCACAGAATAACACAACTCAGGCCTTGTGTTAAGTAAGTAAATAAGACGTCCCATGAGTCTCCGATATTTCGTAGGATCTCCAAACAGGGGACTCTCAACCGAAGCTAACTGATGAGTTTGCTCAAGTGGTGTTAAAGCAGGTCTACAACCCAGGTTCCCAGTTTCAGCAATGATATCCAACGCGTACTTGCGTTGAGAAAGGAAGATTCCATCGGGTCCTCGACTAATCTCAATACCCAAAAAATACTTTAACTTTCCCAAATCCTTCATGGAAAAGCACAGGCTCAAGTAATCTTTAAATTTCTGAAGCATGTACGAGTCATTACCACAATAATGAGATCATCCACGTACACAAGAACTCGAAGCTCGATATTCTTACGAGAATATGAGAACAGAGAATAATTATCATAGGACTGTTCGAAACCAAACCGAAGTAACGCATCAGAAAGTTTCTTGAACCAGCATCGCGGAGCTTGTTTGAGCCCATAAAGAGACTTACGAAGCCGACAAACTTTGCCGGGATGTGAGTGCCGAAAACCTGGAGGAAGTTTCATGTAAACTTCTTCCTCAAGATCACCATGTAGGAAAGCGTTATTGACATCCATCTGATACACTTCCCAGTTTTTAGCAGCAACAAGACGAAGAACAGAACGTACGGTGTTCATCTTGACAACATGAGCAAACGTCTCATCGAAATCTTCACCCTCGACCTGATGATTACCCTGAACCACAAGGCGAGCTTTATACCGCTCAATTGTACCATCAGAGTTGTACTTTGTCTTATAGACCCAAAGACATCCAAGAGCTTCTTTTCCCGGAGGCAAATCACAAATATCCCAAGTGCGCTTTTGTTCAAGTGCATCCACCTCAGTCCTCATAGCATTGTTCCATACTTTTATTCGAACAGCATCTTTGAAGTGTTTTGGTTCATCTCTTGCAGTGATGGCAGCAAAGAACGCACGCTGTCCTGGGGAAAAAGAATCATCCGAAATATAATGGGACAGCGGATAAAGAGATGTACCTTGGACCGATGAGGACTGAGATGTGGGATCGGGAGGAGCGTGATGGGGGTCTTGATTACAGACGACATTATATGTGACATAGTCACGGAGCTTGACAGACTCAGAACGTTGCCGCAGACCGCGACCAAGGAGAGGGACAGGCTCGGCTGAAGGCGAGATAACTTGATCACCACGAACTTCTTGCTCTATCTCTGTGACAGATATTGAGACAGGTTCTTGTGTATCAGCTGTGAGAGGTTCTTGTGGATTTTCTGTCACAGGTTCTTGTGAGATAACTGTCTCAGGTTCTTGTGGTGTTACTGTCACAAGCAATTGACTCCCCCTTACAACAGTAGGTGTAGGAGCAACGAGCCAATCCTCATCAAGACACACAGAAGGTGAGAACTGTGGCAGAGAAGGACTAGCTACAGAGTAAGGAAAAACTTCTTCATTAAAGACAACATCTCTAGACACGATATACTCTTCACGCTCAAGGTCGAATACTTTCCAACCCTTTTTGCCAAAAGGATAGCCAAGAAAAACACATCTACGACTCCTTTGATTAAACTTATCTTTATCTCACGTAACGCGATGAGTGTAACACTCGCTGCCAAATACACGCAACTGATCATAAGATGGCTTCTGTCCATGTAGCATCTCGTACGGAGACCGACCAAGGTGAACAACAGAAGGCGTGCGGTTTATAAGATAAGCAGCAGTGAGCACGACTTCACCCCAAAATTTGATCGGCAAATTGCCCTGAAAAAGTAAAGCATGCGGCACATTCAAAATGTGTATGTGTTTACGCTCCACACGACCGTTCTGTTGAGGTGTTGCAACACACGACGTTTGATGTACAATGCCCTTTTCACGAAAGAACGAAGATAGACACATAAACTTTGTGCCGTTGTCACTTCTCACCATTTTCACTTGCTTTCCAAATTGTTTCTTCGTATAAGCCAAGAAATTCTTTAAGACTTTACTAACTTCTGATTTCTCAAGTAGCAAGAATGTCCAAACTGCTCCCGTAGAGGAAGGCACACGGTATGGACCCCATACATCAACATGAATAAGAGAAAAACACTCCTTTGTTTTATTAAGACTCAGAAAACACCTCTCTAGTCTGCTTAGCTCGGAAACACACGTCACACTGACCCGAGCAAACAGATTTCGAAACACCAGAAAACAATGGTAAAGAAGAAAGCACTGAAAAAGACGGATGTCCTAGCCGCTGGTGCCACAAAGCTAAATCTGAATCAGCTACAGCTCGATGAATCCTAGCCGCCATGACATCCTTGAAGTAGTAAACCCCATCACGTTCCTCACCGGCTCCAATCAGAGTCCTCGAAAAACGGTCCTGCAATACACACAGAGTATCAGTAAACATTGCCACACCACCGGTTTGTTTCAACAACTTCGACACAGAAACCAATGTACAATTTGAGATCCTCCACAAACAAGACATTAGGTAAAGTGAGGGTGGAAGACAGAGTCAAAACTTCTTTTCGAACTGACACTGTTTTCCCACCATCCGCAAAACCGATAGAGCAAGGAACAATCGCCTCAAGATTATGCAAAAGTGAGAGATTCCCTGTCATGTGGTGTGAAGCATCTTTATCAAGAATCATATCACCATATCCTTTCTTACCAGACAATTTGTCAGAATCTGATTCAGCCGTTTTCTCTTGTATCAGCTTGGAGAGAGCTTTCCATTGGTCTGGAGTAAACTCGGGAAACGAAGATGCATTCGAGCTTGTAGCGGGAGCTGCATTAGCTTGACCACGACCACGCCCAAAGTTGTTTACTCCAGCTCCTCGTCCCCCTCTGCCACGACCACCACGACCAGAACCAGCATTACGCTCATTCCACCACTCCGGAAACCCAACAAGTTGCCAGCAATCCTTCTTCTCGTGACCAGAGCGACCACAATGACCACACAGAGTATTCTTGTCACGTATGATTGAGGCTGGTACTTCAGAATGTGAGTCAACGCTTTGACTCTGGTCTCGCCGAGCAGACACCGGTGATTCATCACGCCGAGTAGCGAAACCCACAACCTCTTGATTTGTCTCGCGAAGACGAGCTGACGCCAGCCTCTGTTCTTCACGCACCACCTTGGAGTAAGCTTCACCAAGACTTGGCAAAGGATCTGCAGCAATCAAACCTGTGCAGAGACTGCCAAATCGAGCATCGTCTAGACCCATAACAAACTGATGGATCTTCTCTTCCTCATTTTCTTTTGCAAAAACAGAGGCAGCTCCACAGGAACACGAGATCGCCGGTTGATACATATGCAGTTCTTCCCACAATGCCGAGAGTCAACCGTAGTATTCAAGAACCAACTGACCATTCTGCCGACACGCAGCAAGCTGAGACTTGATCTGGTGAGTTCGGACTTTGTTTCCCACCGAGAATCTTTCTCTAAGCTCATTCCACAGGAGACGAGCATCCGTGATGTATGTTACTGTTGACCTAACTTTAGGTTCAATCGACGCACGTATCCACCCTACGAGCATTGAATTCACCGTTAACCAGTTCTCCAGGTCAGGACTCCCAATCGCAGGTTTAGTAAGATTTCCATGAATGAAACCTAACTTGCGTTTGGCCTGGAGTGCATTGAGCAATTCCGATGACCACTCGTTGTAGTTTTCACCGTTCAACTGAACAGACGTGATCAACGCACCGGGATTGTCGGACGCCGCCAAGGTGTACGGCGAAATTGTATGAGCCTCAACTAGAGGCAGCACAACACCGCTGTTTACTTGAGTTCCACTGGAACCAGACGGACTAGCAGTTACTTGGTTTCCACTGGAATCCACTGCACTAGTACCAGACGGAGGATTATCTTCTTCTCCGGCCATGGCAAAGAAAAGCGAAAGATCAAACGTAATATTGAGATTCGTAGATCTTCTGCTCTGATACCATGTAGAATAACGTATTCAACTGACTTGCTTTATTGATTCACATTACAACTCTATTTATACAACTTGTTAGCTAGCTATGATAGACATGAATCTCCTACAAACCAGGAATTCATATTAATCCTAATAGATACAAGACTTATCCGTAATAATCTATGAGCACTTTTGCAACCTTGCCAAAGTTATCATTGATCTCAACATGATATAGGTATCTTTCGTAAGAGTCAAGGCGTAGTTCAAGAGTAGCTGGACAACCTTCCGGCTTTACCCAACTCGAGAAACAAGGAGGGATTGTCCAGTCTTGTTCTTGGTTCTTGACGGCAACATCAGGCAAATACACGACAGGAACAGGAAGAGAACCAAAAGCCTTTGGACCTCCCATGTGTTTCGACGAATTTGCTGGATCAAGTGGATCTAAAGATATCTCCAACTTCCTTTGAGTTCTCTCATCTTTAGATGATGGCTTATTATCTCCAAACTTACCTTGCCTCTGCTTCAAGTAATCAGGTACTGGTTTTACGGTGACACAGGATTCAATGGATTGGTTCTTGAACCAGGGATCATTCGAATGATTATAAAACGTCCTAGTGGGTGGTTTTGCCGGAGAGCTCATATCGAATCAATATTTAAAAACTCTCAGAGCGATCAAGAACAAAGGAATTTTAACCTATTTTTTTGCTCTCTAATGTTTGTATATATAACCTTAGCTCTATTTTCCTAATTCTCTTTCTTTCTTTCTTTCCTTTTCCATCTCCGATCCTTTTTCACCTCTGACCTCATTGACATAGCCTCCTCAGCTCTCTGCTCAGCATCTTTGAGCACTTTTGCAACCTTGCTAAAGTTATCATTGATCTCAACAGTATATATGTACCTTCCGTAAGGCCCAAGGTGTAGTTCAAGAGTAGCTGGACAACCTTCCGGCTTTACCCAACTCGAGAAACAAGGACGGATTGTCCAGTCTTGTTCTTGGTTCTTGTCTTCTTGACGGCAACATCAAGCAAATACACGACAGGAACAGGCAGAGAACCAAAAGCCTTTGGACCTCGCATGTGCTTTGGCGAATTTGCTGGATCAAGTGGATCTAAAGACATCTCCAACTTCCTTTGAGTTCTCTCATCTTTAGATGATGCCTTATTATCTCCAAACTTACCTTGCCTCTGCTTCAAGTAATCAGGTACTGGTTTTACGGTGACACAGGATTCGATGGATTGGTTCTTGAACCAGGGATCATTCGAATGATTATAAAACGTCCTAGTGGGTGATTTTGCCGGAGAGCTCATACCGAATCAATATTTAAAAACTCTCAGAGCGATCAAGAACAAAGGAATTTTAACCTATTTTTTTGCTCTCTAATGTTTGTATATATAACCTTAGCTCTATTTTCCTAATTCTCTTTCTTTCTTTCTTTCCTTTTCCATCTCCGATCCTTTTGCACCTCTGACCGCATTGACATAGCCTCTTCAGCTCTCTGCTCAGCATCTTTGAGCACTTTTGCAACCTTGCTAAAGTTATCATTGATCTCAACAGTATATAGGTACCTTCCGTAAGGCCCAAGGTGTAGTTCAAGAGTAGCTGGACAACCTTCCGACTTTACCCAACTCGAGAAACAAGGACAGATTGTCCAGTCTTGTTCTTGGTTCTTGTCTTCTTGACGGCAACATCAGGAAAATACACGACAGGAACAGGCAGAGAACCAAAAGCCTTTGGACCTCGCATGTTCTTCGACGAATTTGCTGGATCAAGTGGATCTAAAGACATCTCCAACTTCCTTTGAGTTCTCTCATCTTTAGATGATGGCTTATTATCTCCAAACTTACCTTGCCTCTGCTTCAAGTAATCAGGTACTGGTTTTACGGTGACACAAGATTCGATCGATTGGTTCTTGAACCAGGGATCATTCGAATGATTATAAAACGTCCTAGTGGGTGGTTTTGTCGGAGAGCTCATACCGAATCAATATTTAAAAACTCTCAGAGCGATCAAGAACAAAGGAATTTTAACCTATTTTTTTGCTCTCTAATGTTTGTATATATAACCTTAGCTCTATTTTCCTAATTCTCTTTCTTTCTTTCTTTCCTTTTCCATCTCCGATCCTTTTGCACCTCTGACCGCATTGACATAGCCTCTTCAGCTCTCTGCTCAGCATCTTTGAGCACTTTTGCAACCTTGCTAAAGTTATCATTGATCTCAACAGTATATAGGTACCTTCCGTAAGGCCCAAGGTGTAGTTCAAGAGTAGCTGGACAACCTTCCGGCTTTACGCAACTCGAGAAACAAGGACGGATTGTCCAGTCTTGTTCTTGGTTCTTGTCTTCTTGACGGCAACATCAGGCAAATACACGACAGGAACAGGCAGAGAACCAAAAGCCTTTGGACCTCGCATGTGCTTCGACGAATTTGCTGGATCAAGTGGATCTAAAGACATCTCCAACTTCCTTTGAGTTCTCTCATCTTTAGATGATGGCTTATTATCTCCAAACTTACCTTGCCTCTGCTTCAAGTAATCAGGTACTGGTTTTACGGTGACACAGGATTCGATGGATTGGTTCTTGAACCAGGGATTATTCGAATGATTATAAAACGTCCTAGTGGGTGGTTTTGTCGGAGAGCTCATACCGAATCAATATTTAAAAACTCTCAGAACGATCAAGAACAAAGGAATTTTAACCTATTTTTTTGCTCTCTAATATTTGTATATATAACCTTAGCTCTATTTTCCTAATTCTCTTTCTTTCTTTCTTTCCTTTTCCATCTCCGATCCTTTTGCACCTCTGACTAGGCCTGGGCAAATTATCCGCTATATCCGATTCGATCCGTTATCCGCTTCGATTCGATCCGAAAAATCCGGATAACCGTAACGATACAAATCAAAGCAAATACTAAAATTCAATATCCGTTAAAAACGGAGCAAATAGCAAATATTGTTTCTGAAAAACCGAATATCCGATCCGATCCGTATATTATAAAAATTACATATATATACATATATACTAAGAAATTTGTTCATTTTGTCTTTAGAAACATACAAATCAACAAAAGTATTGTTTTCACAAATATAATCCATTCATTTATATAAAAAGGTTTAATAAAGGTTTAAATAAGTATTGAAATATTAACTTACTTAAAACTTTAAAATTATTTTTGCAGTATGTTTATTGTTAACGATGATGTGTTTAGTGGTACCTTTATGATTAATTAATTTACGTTTTTAGAACTTATTTTTAAAGGCATATTATAAATTATGAAACAATAATATATTTAGGGATGTTTCTATCTAATTTTCAATTATTTATAATTAATATATTTTTTTTTTTTTTTTAAATATATTTTACGGATCGGATCGGATATCCGCGGATATTTTAATTTTTGATGGATATCCGGATCCGGATATCCGGAAATTTTCGGATCGGAGCGGATCGCAAAATCAACTATCCGGATCACACGGAGCGGATCACGGATCACGGATATTTTCCGGATATCCGCTCCGTGCCCAGGCCTACCTCTGACCTCATTGACATAGCCTCCTCAGCTCTCTGCTCAGCATCTTTGAGCACTTTTGCAACCTTGACATAGCCTCTATAGCTCTCTGCTCAGCTTCTTTGAGCATTTTCGTAACCTTGGCAAAAATTCAGATTCTATAGAGGCTACAGAGGCTATGTTATGGAAAACAAATAAAACAAAGAGGCATCATAAACCGGTTATGTGACGACCGACATTGCGCCGGTCTAGACATATAAACGCAAACAAATCACACACAATCTCGTTATATCCTCAAAACGAAGATCTGCTGCATGATTCAGGCTTAGCTTTTTCTCCCCCAAATATCGCTTCGTCGAGATTCTTAGGGTTTCTCCGCGTCGATATTCGCTTGCTATTTGCATCTCGCGGATTCGATTCGATTCTCTGTTAGTTTTCTTCTTCTCTGATTTATCGGCGGTTTCGCCTCGATTCGCTCCATTGGGTCCCATCACTCTCTTTCTGATCGGCTTCGTTTCGGAGAAAGGACGCTTTTTTGGTCATTCCCTAGGTTCGTTATCTGCCCTAATTTCTGAGCTCGATCGTCTTTCTGTACTTTGATCAAGGGATTGAGTATAGTTTTTTCTGCTGTTTCGATCTAGCATTCTGCTTCTTTATTCCGGGAAAGTAATGAGTTTCGCGGGAATATCTGTTAGAGAGTTTCTGAATCATTGAAGCCTGCGCCTTTTCCTTTCTATACCACTCTTCTCTTCTAGATTGTTCCTTGTAAATTGATGTGCTCATCTGCGCATTTGGTAGAGTAAATGTTTCTTTTTTCTCTTTTGTATGTATTGGAAATTGGCTTTTCGATTACATTTGTGCACTATCCTTTCGAGATTGGCTCTATGGCGTTGTCATTTTGCAGTTGCTTTGATTACTGATTGGTTTGTTTCTTATTTTGTAGGAGAAAGTTTCATCATTTCCTTATGTAAGTTGATTCTGATGCCCGTGAGATTGGTTGCTGGCTGATTTGATGAGGAAGAAGCGGAAAGGTAGTGAAACTGAGGGTTCGGAGAGGGAAAACTTGGCAGAGGATTTATCTTGCACGACTGCGTCACGATCATCCAACTTCCGGTCACACTTTTCGCTAGAGGGTTATGCTAGACTGAAGAAGCGGTGCAAGGAGAATGATGATGTCGAGTCTGTTGGTTCCTTTAAGAGACGAATAGCCGGCGTGGCTACTGCACCTCCTTGCGGTGCATCGTCTTTGGTTTCGTCAGGGAGAGGTTTGAAGAGGAAGATTGGGTGCATTGATGTTTCCACACAGACTGGGAGGAAGAATAAGATTCATGATGACTATGTTTTTGGTCCAAATATTGGGAAAGGGAAGTTCGGGTCGGTGAGGATCTGTAGGTCGAAGAATAATGGGATTGACTTTGCGTGTAAAACTCTGAACAAGGGGGAGGAGACGGTTCACAGGGAAGTTGAGATTATGCAACATTTATCTGGTCATCCTCGGGTTGTCACATTGCATGCTGTTTATGAAGAGTCGGATTGTTTCCATCTCGTGATGGAGCTGTGTCCGGGGGGGCGTTTGATTGATCAGATGGTCAAGGAGGGAAAGTATTCTGAGCAGCGAGCAGCTAATATATTCAAGGACCTCATGCTAGTCATCAATTATTGCCACGAGATGGGAGTTGTGCACAGAGATATCAAACCTGAGAACATTCTCCTAACATCTGCTGGGAAGATACAGCTGGCTGATTTTGGCCTCGCCATGAGAATTGCAAAAGGTAATTTGTATACAGGTGCTAAGAATTTCTTGGTAACTTGTGTATGCAGGCTAAATGATATGTAATTTTCAAGTGCAATGACTTTCATGTACACGTTGTTTAGGGAATATAGCGGCTTGATGCTGTCTAGTTAGAAAGTTTGCATCGCATCAGTGTCTAATGATACTGGTGAAAAAGCTTATGAGACCCAAAATCTGATATTTCTGTATGAAATTGGCTGTCGCGTGCTTATCTTCTCCTCTGGATGTTTAACTTGCATTTCCCTGGATAGTGAGTGTTTTTTCTTGATGATTCAAGCTATGTGACTGAAGTTGATAGTTGTTGGACTCGCTTTAGTTGTTGTGATTAAAGAATTGGTTAAAGTGGTATTACTGGAGATGTTATGATTCCTATCCTATTCTATCACGAGAACTAAGCGTTTGACATATTCTACTTGAGATCAGATTTTGACCTTTTCTCTGTAGCCGTTATTGAGCTGTCAAGGTTTCACTTACCTAATGTGTTCATTGGTTTATACAGGTCAAACATTGTCTGGATTAGCAGGAAGTCCTGCTTATGTTGCACCTGAAGTTCTTTCTGAAAACTATTCAGAGAAAGTCGACATTTGGAGTGCAGGAGTGCTCTTATACGCTCTCTTGTCTGGTGTACTCCCGTTTAAGGGAGACTCCTTGGATGCCATTTTCGAAGCAATCAAAAAAGTGAAGCTTGATTTCAACTCGGGAGTGTGGGAGTCCGTGTCCAAACCAGCCCGTGATCTCTTGGCAAGAATGCTAACAAGGGAAGAATCTGCCAGAATCACAGCCGATGAAGTGCTAAGTAAGCCTTATAATATCTTCCAGCTCCCTTAATTGCAGAGCATTGACTTCTATATCCATTTAGCTTGCAGTGTCGCTGGATCTTTTGTTTGTGGTTGTTTAATGCTTACCATAAATCTTCACTTGTGTGTGTATTTCAGGGCATCCATGGATACTCTTTTACACAGACCGGACACTCAAGACGATGTGTATCAAGTCGAAGAAGAGTCAAGCAGGACCTCCTCCTTGCCTCCAGATTCGCAGCAGTCCGATAGAGAAAACTGACATAAAAAGAGCTAACAGAGAGAAGAAGACAACATCTGATTCACCGAATGATTCATTCTCCAACACAGAGGAGGAGGAAGAAGATGAGAGCGGTGTGGTGGATGTGCTTGTGGTTGCAATCACCAACGTGAGGATCTCAGAACTAAAGAGAAGCAGAGTCTGTAGTCCCACGAACAGCCCTATTGAACAGCAACAATCTTCTAACTTGACCACGACTAATACACTCTGTCGAGCCTTCTGACTCTTTATGTGATAACAGCTCTCGACTCTAATAGTTGGAAGTTGATCTGCAACTGGTTGGCTTTTTCTTCGTCTACATTGATGACTAAGTTGTACAGATCATGTAAATATAATATGCTAAAATGTAGTCGAGTTTCGCTTTGGTCATTCCGTAAACTGTGGGGCCAAAAAAACTCTATAGTTACATCAATCATATAACAAAAGGCACATATTCAAGTTCGCTAAACAAATCACTGTTTTTATTGTCCTACCGTTTCTATATTATTATTTATAGCAAATGAATGCATGGAATTTAGGTCAAGTCTAACAGTTATCATATTCACAGTTGCAACAATTTCACATTATAAGGCTTAGTTCTAATTTATACATCGTCTCTCAACTTATAAGTCAAAAATCAACTAAAGATATCATTGGGGATGTTTGAACCGGGGTTAGGGGTTAAATACGAAGATTTTTACCAATCAAGTTGTTGCATTTATATGTTTTATCCTTACAAATCAAAAAAATTATCTTATTTTAGGGATGTCAAATGAATCAATATCATGTATGTAGGTTCGCCTCTGTCAATCCCTTCACTTTCCCGTTCTGAATTTCCCGTCTTGTTCATATTCCATTCAAATAATATTTTGGTTGAGAACATTTATTATAATCAAACGGGTAAGGAAATGTACATGATGGGAATGGGTATCCGAAGTTTCCGTTTTTAAAATTTTTAAGATATGAAAATTATAAATCTTCATGAATTATGTGGAAGTTACCCGAAATATATGTCCCAAAATTAAACAATTACCTAAATTGTTAAGACGGGTTTATTGAGAGTTGAATTTATATGGAGTTAATAGTTGGTTTTGGAGATTAGTGAAATTTGTTAAATTGTAAAGAGTTTAGTTAGATTTGTTGAGAGATATAGTATACTTGGAAAATCTATCAATTTTTTTTAACTATAATGAATATGAGAATCTAAGCGATATATAGATAAAGTATTTGGAAAATTTAGTTTTATGAATTAAATTGTTAAAATCCATGTCTCAATAGCAAATATTTTAATGAAATCATAGAATCATTAAAACCCAAGTTTGTTGAATAACAATGGATTTTGCAGGGAATTTAAAAATTATCAAACCAATAACAATGAATTTAGTACCTTACCAAAAAAAAAAATGAATTTAGTAAGAATGTTATAATTCATATACCAATAACAATAGAATCTGATTTCTTTTTAATAATTCTCAAAAATCTATCTACCAATTAATTGTATTTTAGCTAAATAAATTTCCCCAATTTACCCAAACTTTCCGTCCTTAATTTATTTTTTTTGGATATCCTATAAGAAATTGATTTTCAATTCCTGCTCAATGCCCATAAATTCCCGAATCCCGAAATGCATATACCAAACATGCCGTGCACAAATTTCCCTATAAATAACAATGCACATCCTATTTCGATTCCCACATAATTTTGTAAGTTATACACAATTTTTTTTTATGTAGTTAATAATGGCGTGGCTCAACTTTTCTTTATGTCACTATTGTAGGTTTGAAAGCAAATGTAAAATTTAAATAACATATATGATATAATATACTATTATATTGTATTTACAAGAGATATAATTGATTAACATATGTATAATATTTAATGTTAGCATCATGTAGGAGAAAATAAATAATTTTACTATTTATTTACTTTATCTGTATTTTCTTTACTAATGCTTTAGCTTCTGTATATAATAAATACTAGCTATATTATAAACTTGTTTTGAACTCACGATTTTGATTATAGTATGTGTAGTGAGTTTTTTTTTTGTCCATAATCGTTGGTAACAGTTTTGAAGCTTATTTAATGTAACTGTTTTCATTTTCCTTTTAAAGAACATATACTAAAACCATATGTTTGTTTTCCTTAAATTTATTTTACATCGAAAAGTTTATACAATATGCATGGCTAGCAAACAATGCAGTGTTGGCTAAATGAAAACATATATACAGAAAGGAAGGAAACGAACCAAAAAGAAAAAAAAAAAAAAGGAAGAGAAACGACGACACACCCGCGACGCAAAAGAGATTTTTTCTCTCTGTTTCTTCGGAATCGCGACGACGATGTGGAGGTTGACGACGGCGGCGGGATCGGGGTTTCTTCACCAGCATCGTTCGGTACTGCAACAAAGAGGTATTAACATTCCCTGGAAATCTAGCATCAGCATTTCCCGCTTTTCATCTCGATTTGAGGAATCGTATAGAGAGCAGCTGAGAGTAGGATTCGAGCCTGATAAGCTAGATGAAGCGATGGAGTTGTTCGATCGGATGATACAACTTCGTCCGCTTCCTACGATTGTGGATTTCACACAATTAGTGCATGGCATATGCAAAATTAAGCGGTACGATCATGGAATCCGCATATTCAAGAGGATGGAACTCGCCGGAGTGGATCATGATATGTATTCGCTCAATGTGCTCATAAATTGTTTCTGCCGGTGCTCTCAGCAGCTCTTTGCTTTGTCTACGCTGGGCAGAGTGTTGAAATCTGGCTACGAGCCCGATATGTACACCTTTAGCGCCTTGCTCAGGGGATTTTTTAAGGAAGGAAGACATATTGATGGTGTTCGTTTGATGAAGCAGATGGTAGAGATGGGATATAAACCTAATATGGTGGCGTATAACACTGCAATTCATGGTTCTCTGTTAGATGGAATGTTTACTGTAGCTGGAGATCTGATATAGGCTATGGTGAAAGATGGATTTGAAGTAAGTGCAGCCACTTATGCTGCAATCATAAACGGATATTGCAAGGCAGGGGAGACTGACGACGCCATAAAATCTCTTAGAAGAATGGAGAGTGAGAAAGTGGAGCCAAATGTTGTGATCTACACCACAATAATTGATTCTCTGATGAAAGAGGATAAAGTGGCTGAGGCATTGCGTCTTTTCTGTGAAATGGAATCAAGGGGTATCGAGGCCAATGCTGTTACTTATAACTCTATAATGAGTAGTCTGTGTAGGTTTGGAAGGTGGGATGATGGGAACACTTTCATGACGGCAATGTTGGAAAGGAAGATTGAGCCTACAGCTGCCACTTTCAACTTTATAATTGCAGCTTTCAGAAAAGAGAAGAGGTTTCTGGAAGCCTCAAATTTCCTTACAATGATGACTGATCTAGGTGTAGCTCCTGATGCATTCACCTATACCGCTCTGATCAAACACCATTGTGAAAAGAAACGCATGAAAAAAGCGAAGGATGTCTTCGATATGATGGTTACAAAAGGGTGTCAGCCAAATACCGTCACTTACAATAACCTCATCGAGGGATATTGCCAGAGGAAAAGGATGGAAGATGCCATGATATTATTCAAGGAGATGTCTAAAAGAGGAGTTGCTCATAACAAAATCACATTTACGTGTATGATCCAAGGTTACTGCAATGTGGGAGAAGTCAATAAAGCTGCTAAATTGTTTGATCAGATGGTGTTACATGGGTTGACTATGGATTCTGTTGTCTTCAATGTGTTGATAAACGGCTTGTGCAATGTTGGAGATATAGACAAAGCTCGTTGCTTGTTTGAGGATATGGAAAAGAGGGGAATGTCTCACCCTCATGAGACCCTTTATGTTACAACAACCCTAATCAAAGGCTTGTTTAATGTTGGTAGAAGCGATGAGGCGTGGGACTTGTTCTGCAGCCTTCCGCTCAAAGGAGTGAAGCCTGATGTGCAAGTGTATAACTGCATCATTTCAGGGTTTATGAAGATGGAAGGTGGGTTTTCTGATGTGAAGAAGGTTGCACTGAAAATGAAAGATGATGGGATTTCTCCCAATGCTGACACCTACAATATCACAGTCAGAGGTCTTTTTTATCAAAAGGAGTATGGTTTAGCTGCTCAAATTGTGAAAGAGATGAAAGCTGGTGGCTTTGAAGAAGATGGGATCACCATGTCACGCATTCATAGGCTGGAAGCATGGGAGAAAAGCATCTTTATGAATTTGATTGCTTAAAGAGGACCTTTAAGGTTTGTTTCCTGCTCCTCCTTTATCCATGTTATCATAAGAGTAGAAAGATCTTTTTGCGTCTCTAATCATTCCCTCTCTTTTCTGTTTTTGCATAGTTGTCCCAATTCATTAATTGCTCAAATGTGATATCAAAGTTTCAACTGATTTTAGCTCATGATATTGGCCTTTTCTCATATGATCAGTGTACCACGTCGGTCCTAAAGGATGGACGGAACTATCAGGAGATGATGTTAGGGAGCTACACTATCACTACTACCATGTGGCACCAGCCACCGTGGAACAAGTCATAGGCCGAATAAGAAGCTCCTTTTATGTCTCGGATCATTCACTCTCTTTTCTGTTTTTTTTTTCTTTTGCAATTTGTGATAGTAGATACTGAGTGTTCTCTTTCGTACTCTCTTTTGCTGATCAGAAATGTTATGTTGCTTGAGAGTTAATGCGAATTATTCTCTTTTTCTGCAATCCCAGGTTCTCATGCTTCCCCTTACTCAATGCTTCAAAGTTCAGTTTAGGGAATTGTGATTGTTTTGCACAATTTTAGATTTGTTTAACTCTAGAAAAATGAGAGGAAGCTAAGTTAGCCAGTCAGTTTCTCCTCCCAGTCCAGCATCATCTGTTATCCTCACTGTTCTTTGTGCATATTATCTTTAAGGATTTCGGATCTTTTCCTGTCTTTTAGACTTTGGAGGCTCTGATGTTATAGAACCAATAAGTAAGATGATGAAACCGTAATTTTTTTTTATCATCCCAATGAAGATAGATTTGAACTTTGCACCCACTAGAAGAGTTAAAAAAGAACATATACACACACTCTCAAAGAACAGAGCAAAGGAGCAAAATAAAAACAGAGGAAGCGAAAAATGGCGGTCTTGCCCTGTCTACTCAAGGATGAAAAACCTCCATTGTTTTGCTTCATTTTCGTTAGCAGTTGTTTAGCTGCCACTGATCCAATACCAGAAAATTATTCATCCTCTTTCCAGCATAACAGTTCTGGTGGTTTTCTCAAGTGGAACACTTCATAAGCACAGAGTTCATCTAAAGAGTTCAGAACGTAATTGAGATGAACGGTAGTGGGAACAAGCTCCAGTTGTACCTCAGTGTGCTCTCTCTACTTTGTCCCAACTTAATCTTGAGAGTATGTTGTTATGTACCAGTCTTGTCTCTCTCTTGTCTCTGTATGTGAAGTATGTGAGCCTCCTCGACGTATGGAATCTCTTAATCTTTTGCTTTTGTTGCACTTTAACTGGTAGCAGATGAACGCAACAAAACGTTTACGTCTGTAAGCGATAGATATTCCTGCACTTGAGTTTTCAATTTAAACTATAACATGTCCACATCTTTCCAGTTAAAAAGTAAACCATAGTAAAAAGCGTGACTGCTGAATGCCCCAGACTGAACCCGCTTATGCACATACTGCTTTGCCCCGACCACATACCCCACCTTATAATAGCTGCTAATCCTAATACTAACAAATGTGAATGCCCGGAGAAACGATATCCTCTGCCTCCAATATCTCACTATAAATTCGCTTCAGTTCAGCGATGAACACAAATGTGGCCAATAAACTCAACAGTGAGCTATAACTTAGCTTATAATTTATTACAGAAATCAAGACAAAGAAGAAGACAAGCGTAAATCTTAGAGAACTAGTATAGCTTGCATGAACACCATTATTAGCCACAACGAAGTTTATTGCATAAGTGGCTTGTGACTGGCTAAAACTACACCATACCAAAGCAGAGAGCATATGTGTGACCATCAAGTGATTGGATCAGTCACTGATATCATCAATGATCCCCTGAAGCCCCTGTTTAACCATTAAATATGTTTGAAGACTCAGGTAAGACCCACTTCTTTGCATCTCTTGGAGCAGTTGAGAAAATGCACCATCAGCAAGACCTTTCTTCTTAACCACACCACCAATGAGTATTCTCCAAGCTATCTCATCATCGTAGAGCTCTTCACACTGAAGCAGCTTACGAAAACTTGTCTTGCTCTCTCATTTCTTCCTTGTTCATACAGCCCCCGCAAACCAATTTTCTGCAATACTTCAGCTCCGGTGTAAAACCACAAAGAATCATATCTTCAACAATGTTCGCAGCTTCCCCATACTTGTGCAGCACGCAGCAACACCTAAGCAACTTCTCAAAAACAATCTCACTAGGAGGCAATCCAACAACATCCAAGCTATCCCCAGTTTGTTAGCTTCACAAATCCCACCCATTAGCTGCTCGTAGCATTTCAAGTCAGGAACACACCCATATTGCTGCACCATGTTCCTTTGGAAAACCCTAAGAGCAGCATCTGCATCACCGGTTCTACAGTAACCCATAATCAAAGATGTAAATGTGGTAAGATTAGGAGTCAGTCCAGACTGAATCATCTTACACACATACTGTTGCGACACCACCACATGCCAACGCCTACAATACGCAGTAATGATGATATTAAAGATGCCAACCCCTGGTGACGAGACCACATCCAACATGTCCACATAGACTTCTCTCATTCCAGGGACCATATCAGATCTAGCCAGTGAATCCAACAGATCCTCATAGCAAGAGCGAGTGAGGCAAGTTTGTATTGCTTATACACGTCGATAACAAGCGAACGATCTTTATCTGTCACGCATGCATGCGTCATGAAGGACATGATCAGAGGCACGTCGCACGCGACTCCATGCTTGGTTAAAACATGGAGGAGGGACGCGTAGCAATGTACACTCTTGTGGAATTTGGGATCGAGATCCAGGTGAAGCTCAGATACGTCGGAAAAGGACACCACCGGGAGGAGATCTTTGAGGGCGGGAATGTCGCGCCATCGCGGTACATCAGGGTGATTCGGCATTTCCTTAAGATATGCGATATGTTCAGCAAAGAAGGGATCTGGAATTGGTTTGCTTGCGAGTGGGAGACTCTTCTGCACTTTGCGTTTCAAGGCAGCGACGAGTAAGGTTAAGATAGAGTGACTGTTCGGAGGTAACAGCCTCCTACGCCGCCCCATGTCCGCCGGTAAGACTTTCTTTTAGGGTTCTCCTTTTTGATTTTGTCTGATTTTTTCGGCTCTGACTGTGCTAAGTTAGCTGTGTTCTGTTCCCAGTAGATTCTACATAGATACTTAAAAGGAATCCGGTTGTTTCGGGTCTGTTCAAACCGTTCCGGTTAAGCTTTTTTCTGTGCGGGTTCAGCAGAGATCAGAACAATGATAAAACGGGCCAAGATTTGTAGATCTGGCCCAATCCTAGATTATCATGGAAACCCAAACCCATCTCTTTTACTCTCCATTTTTTTTATTTTTCATTATAAAAAGGTAATAAAATTTGATGAAATAGTTTGTTATTGTAAAAAGAGGATAACTCTGTACGTGACATGTCAATCATTTTAACTTACTGTAAGAGTGATTTGTGACAATGCTTATAAGAGAAAAAGAAGGGTCTCGCTGTCCATTTTAATCGCCGCCTTCACTGTACAGATTTTACAAAACCGTCGAGCACTTGCGCTTCACCTTCCATGATTTTATTCTCCGACGACGCTTCCTTCACATATCTTATGTACAAATATTACTTAAATAAGGGTCTTTTCCAAAACCTCAAATATCTCCAACGCCTTTTCAAGCTTCCCATTGCCACACAACCCATCAAGCAATATACCATACGTCATAACATCAGGAAGAACACCAACCGTAACCATTTCTTGGAAAAGCTCCTCGGCGATCTCGACTCTCCCTGATTCACAAAACCCTTGCACAAGAATGCTATAACCAACCGTATCAGCAACAATTCCTCTCTCGGAAATCTCACGGAAGAGTTTCATCGCATCATCAACCTTCTTCACATTACAATATCCTTTCAAGAGACTGTTATAAGTCACTATATCAGGACTGCAATGACTCCTTACCATAAGATCCAACATCTTGTTAGCCTCATCAAGCCGCTTCTGCATGCAAAACCCACCAATCAAGGAATTATAAGTAACAACATTAGGAGATACACCTCTAGTGATCATCTCGTTGTAATACTCTCTAGCCTCCTTAAGCTTGCCTTCTTTAGCAGAAACATCAATTAATACATTGAAAGTGACAACGTCAGGGATGAGATTCTTACTCATCATGTCTTTCAACAACTCTGCACCATCATTCCATTGACCTGCTCTACAAAACCCTCCTATAAGAGAGTTATAAGTAACAACAGTAGATTTGATCCCTTTCGTCTCCATTTCCTTGAAAAGCTTGGTTGCTTCATCCATTGATCCATCTCTACAAAGACTATCAATGATTGTAGTGTATGTAAACACATCTGCCTTAATATCTCTTTCTTCCATCTCTCTGAGCAAATCCAAGGCAGAAGAAGTATCTCCTGATTTACATATTCCGTTTACAATCGAACCGTAAGTAACCACATCCGGTTGACATCCGTTTTCCACCATTTTATCAGCTAAAACCACAGCTTCAGACATTTTACCTTCAAGACAGAGTCCATTGACGAGAGTGTTGAACGTGGTTGTGTCAGGCTCATACCCAAGTTTCAAGATTTTTCCCAAAACAGAGAAAGCGAGGCAAGTTTTACAACACCGGCTAAAGCAATTGATCATGATGTTCAAAGTGTAGATATTATGCGCAATCCCACTCAGTTCCATCTTCTTGCAGAGACCTAACACGAGATCGTATTGTCTTGTTCTGGCGATACCACTAAACAGTTTGCTGAAATCAATGATTGTAGGTAGAGGACGAGATTCAATCATTTCTTGAAACAGACTAGTAGCATCATCTGCCTTAATATCAGCAATCCCATTTCTCAATCTCTCTCGGAAACAGACTTTCACATCGCTGATACCAGAAAAGTCTCTTCTTTCGCAGCAAGACAAGAAGCTAGAAAGGCTACAGAGGAGATCAGTTCTAAGAGTACCTGTCTCCAAGACACGAGCCTGTCTCCATAACATCATCATTTCTTCAGCAGAGTTGTTTGTGTTTTCTCTGTAACAGGTAAAAACCCTACAAAAGACATCAATGGAGGAGACCCGGTTCGAAATTCCCTTCTCTGAAACCGGTTCAATTTCAGACGGTATAGGTCATACCGGAAGTGTTGTAATCCGAGTTACTGTAACAAAAAATTAATTTTTAGTTTCATAACCTCAAAATAGTATTACAGTTTGCAACTTCAAAGCTCACTTAAGTTAACAAAACAGAATGATAACAGAGAAAGGCTCTCTAACTTACATATCTCTCTATAGAAGAGGCTAAAGAAGTGAATAAAAAATAACCGCTTTAACCTCTGACTAAACCGACAACGATTGAAGCATTAAAACGGCTTCAACCGGTCGTTACACGAGGTCGGGTATACAATCACAGAGTCCAGAGATAAACCGCCTTTAGTGTGTGTGCAATCGATCTGAGTCATCGAGAATTTAATCTTCGTCGACTGCTTTTTCGATTCCTTGACGATAAAATCTCCTGCGTGGTAGTGATTCCAGTTTCCCCGCTCGGTTAACATGCACTGAGACGAGGAATGTTGGCCGTCTTCGGTCCAGAGTTGAAACCGAACCGGTTTAACGTCCCAGCCGTGGACTTTTTCCGTGTCACAGACCCGTCGACCAAACCAGTTGCTCCCGGACTGGCCTAACTGAAGCCTGAAGAAGATGCTGTATGATCCGGCCGGGAATGGGAAATCGATCTCACCATCAACTTGAAACCACCAGATTTGTTGGAGGTAAGCTACAGATGAAAACCTGCAAGAACCAAATCAAAAATGGTTTAGTTTTCAATCTCGCAGAAACAAAGGAATCGTATGAACACAAAGTAGCAAACTTTTACATAACAGAGTGAGAAATCTCACCGAGATTCATCAGTGGGAAGATGACTCCAGTATCGACGATCATCGATTCCGGTGATGGATAATCCTTTAGCTGAAATTGATAGGCAAACACCACCGCTTCGTTTATCTATCCACACCTTCTGCAGAATCAACAAAAAGGAAGTATATTGAGATCGGAATCCAGAATTATCATTTTCCCGGAAAAAAAAAGCTGAGAAACTTTGATTTGAAACCCTCATTTTCTGTGATGGACCATTGATAGAATACAATATTACAAACCCGTTTATGTAAATCCTCGAATTGAACAAGTTTCCAATTCGATAAAAAAAAATCCCCAAATGTGTAATTCTCTGAAAACCCTAAACTTTTTCAATAAACTCGAAATGAAATAGAGAGAGGAGATGTGAAGAGAGAGACGAACCTTGTTGCCTTCATCGAATGAGTTGATTCTGGAGAGGAAAGCGTAAATGTCTCTTTTCTGAAGATTTTCCGGGAATCCACCGAGGATTTTCTCGACGATAATCCGGTAATTCGGAGGAAGCTTCGATTCCCAGATGAAATCAGCCCAGGAAGCGCCGCGAAAAGCCCTGTTGAGCTTCGAGAAGCTGCAGATCTCGACCGGATCTAAATTCCCAACAATCAGAGCCACACAACCCTCCGGCAAATCTCCTAATCCAGGCTTTGAGTTTGACAGATTCCGATCACCGAAACAAGACGAAGGTGACAGATCATTGTGAAGAGCAGAGTTTCCCGCACCCATCAAATCACAAGGATCAAATTTTTTTTTCTACGAGATCCAGAAAATCTCTTTTAAGTAGGTTTAAGAAAATGGGTCTTTCTCAATCGTCAATAAAATACTAAACTTTCGTCGTGGGAGATTCGTCGGAGACGAAAAAATCAAACCTTTACTCAAGAACAAAGCAATAAAGAGAATAAAGAAGAGCGCTTGTTGGTGGTGATGACAGACAATGGTGTATATATGCGATTACACGGTATTGTACTGTGACGCCAAAAAGGCATGTGGGTCGTGTAATAAATAAATCCCTCAATATTTTTGGAGATTCTGTTCAAATCACAAATCACAAATTAACAATTTTTACATTAAAAGCTGTTTGATTGGATGTTACAATTTGTTTTGTTTTTTTCTTTGTCTGTTTTTCCTAATTTAATTTATTTTAATCCAATTCATGAGTTGTACAACAAGGAACCATACGGTATGACGGTATTACAAAACAATTTGATAAATAATTTATCCATATCTTTAGCCATTTGGGTTTTCAGTTTCTAATTCTGTTACACCTAATCCAAAATGTCAACTGCTAACTGTTTTATTTCTATGAACATGTAGATCGCATTGTGAATTTTAATAACGTTTTTCTCTACACGATTTTTTTAAAAATATATATATTTGTAGATTGTAATACATTGCTTTATCAAAAAAATAAAGAAATTGTAATACATTTTCTTTTTTTGGATTAAAGATGATTATCATGATTAAATGTTAACGTAAATAAAATGAAAAACACAAACCATTACAAATGGCTGACTGAAATTTGAACACATCATCCACCTTGGTATACTGTGCTTGTCGAGTCTGAGTTGTCATAACATACTCATAAGTCGACACAAACAAACAAAAATATAGAAGTGTCATAATTTTGCTCAGATATTTTGATTATGCTGAGATACTTTTAGATATTTTGGGTGCGATCATACCAGCACTAATGCACCGGATCCCATTAGAATTCCGCAGTTAAACGTGTTTGGGCGAGAGTAGTACTAGAATGGGTGATCTCCCGGGAAGTCCTCGTGTTGTACCTCATTTAAAGTCGTTCAAAAAAAAAAAAAGATATTTTGATGGATATTTCTTTTTATACAACATGTAAGCTAATATATGTCGACGATAATAATTATTTTGATCAAACACTATAGCTTAAAGTGTTTTATGAGATAAGATAGACTTATCTCATGCATGTACGAGTACCAAAATATCTAACGACTAACATCGTTGTTGTCCTCTTTTGATTTGATAAGAAGAACCTTAGATATTTTTGTTCAAGTAGTTGATTCGAAAAGAATTGTAAAATATCTTAAAATAAAACTGGAAAATCAGATGTTTAATTGATTGGTTAGACAGCCCAATAGTACGAGGCCCATAGTATTACAAGCAGCTCGTTTTTTACAAACTTAACTTTCACCAAAATCTACTAGAAAAGGCTGTTCATTCAGAAACTGCATAATATTAATCCAAAATTGAAAGGTAAAGGGAAAAGAACAACTAAACTTTATGTTCTATGTTCCTATCCATCGAATTTTAAAATTCAGTATTTCACAAACTGAAAATTTTAAAATCAAAAAGTGGACATCTCTATATATTCATCCATATTGCGTTTGTTTTTGATCGAGTTTTCTAGATTAGTAGACTTGTAAGTGTAGAGAAACCAGCACCGATAGTGCTTAGCACTAGCCCAAGACCGTAATACCCGAGAAACCCGAAAGAAACAATAAACCCTCTAAGTATGAAGAGAAATATGGAAGAACACAAGAGAATACTTGAAAGACTTTTAAGAAGAACAAGAGAGAACTTAGCTTTAGAACACTCTTTATTAACTTGTTCAATTTCTTGTGCATTTACAAATGAGGGGGTGAGGAGGTATTTATAGCCTCCCAAATCTACTTACAAAGTTTCTACACTCTTCTATAACCTCCTTAGGTCCTAGATATTTCTTCTTCTTCTTCTACAACTTTCTACAAATTATCTTACAAGTTTATCCTAATCTCTAGAACTCTCTAACATAATATCTAGATTTCTTGTCTTACAAGAACTAGAAAGTTCTACATAAATATCTAGAGAGTTATCTAGTAGAATTCTCTAGAAAATTTGAGGAAGTGATGACCTCTTATGATGTTTCTAGAGAGTTCTAGAACTTGGGCCTAATTTTGGGTTTAATAATAATTTGTTTATGGACCCAAAATTAAACCTTGATCAAAATCAAGTTTAATTTCAATACTCCCCCTTAAACTTGATTTTATCAACCATCCCGAGTTTCGAGCGAAGTAACTCGAACTGACCTTTTGGTAGTGACTTGGTGAAGATATCTGCAACATTATCCTCACTTCGAACCTCCAAAGCTTCAATTGTTCCATCAAGCACCTTCTCCCGTATGAAGTGATGTTCCAACTCAATATGCTTCGTCCTTGCATGGAACACCGGATTGTTAGCCAGCTTGATAGCACTTTGGTTATCTCCATATATGGCAACCGGCTTGTTGATTGGCTCAAACAAATCTTCAAGAAGCCTTCGAAGCCAAATACACTCTTGGGCTGCGAGCGTCGAAGCTTTATACTCCGCTTCAGTGGTAGACAGCGACACCGTTGCTTGTTTCTTGCTGCACCATGAAACGCTTGTGTCTCCACACAAGAACACAAAGCCCGAAGTTGATTTTCGACCATCTAGATCTCCACCAAAGTCAGCATCCGTGAAGCCATAGAGAGAGACCTTGGCATTGTACTTGTACATTAGACCCATGCCAAGAGTTGTCTTCACATACTTCAAGATCTTCTTTGCCGCTTCTAGATGTGGCTTCCTTGGTGACTGCATAAACCGACTTACAAGACCAACCGCGAAGGAAATGTCAGGTCTTGTAATGGTTAAGTATAGAAGACTTCCCACAAGAGAACGATAAGGCCGAGGATCGGGTAGCAAGGATCCTTCATCGCGCTTCAGCTTGATGTTCGCATCCATCGGAGTAGTACGTGTCTTTCCTTCGTGTACCCCGAACTTCTCTACAATCCTTCTTGCGTAGCTATGTTGGCCGATGAATATTCCATCCTTCATCCTTTCAACCTCCAAACCAAGAAAGTTGTTCAGCTCACCCAACATCTTCATCTCAAACCTTATCGACATATCCTCTTGCAGACGAGCAATTTCCGCTTCATCATTCCCGGTAATTATCAAGTCATCCACATAAAGAAGGACTACCACGTGGACTCCTCCATTCTTCTTGAAGAACAGACTCGGATCAGAGTTCGACGGAGAGTAACCGCAAAACTGAAGAAACTGAGCAAGCTTTCCATACCAGGCCCTTGGAGCTTGTTTTAACCCATACAAAGCCTTCTTTAGCTTGCAAACATAATCGGGATGCTCTTGTGATATGTAACCAAGTGGTTGCTCCATATAGATTTCTTTATCAAGTTCTCCGTATAGAAAAGCGTTCTTCACATCTAACTGCCATAACTTCCAGCCAAAGCTTGCAGCTAAAGATAAGAGTGTACGTACCGTAGTCATCTTCGCCACTGGACTGAAAGTCTCATCATAGTCTTCTCCATACTTCTGAGAAAATCCCCGAGCAACCAATCTTGCTTTGTGTCTATCAATGTTTCCATCCCTCTTACGCTTGATCCGGTACACCCATTTGCATGAGACGGGTTGGACATCCTTGGGTTTTGGAACCAAATCCCAAGTTTCATTTTTCTTTAGAGCATCCATCTCCTCCTTCATTGCGGTCTCCCACTCTTTAACTCCTTTTGCTTCATCATAAGATGATGGTTCTTCTTCATCAAAAGGAGATGCAAAGTAGCATGAGTAAGTAGTAACAAACCTTTCATCTCTGTACCGAGCAGGTTTAACGATGTCCCGTTTTGGTCGTTGATTAGCCAAGGAACCATGATCTTCCTCCTCCTCTTCCTCTTGGTTAGTGCTCCCCCTTTCACCTTGCATCTCTGGTTCAGAAATTCCACCATCACTTGGTATCTGAGCAGCTGGTTCATCGTCTTTAAGTGAGCCCGCACCATCTTGCTCAACCAAGACTTGAGGAGATCCGTAATATGAAGACACTTCATCAAAGACAACATCACGAGATACAGTGTATCTGTGTGTCTCTGGATCCATACACCTCCACCCCTTCCTTTGTTCATCATAGCCGACAAAGATGCACTTTTTCGCCTTTGCCTCCAGCTTGGTTCTTTGAGAGTCGAACACATGGACATAGCAGATAGATCCAAATATCCTGAGATGTTTCACTGTTGGCTTCTTCCCATGAACCATCTCATAAGGAGACTTCATATTATTTGGACTAAGCGGCATCCGATTGATGACATAGGCTGCACATCTCATCCCTTCTGCCCATAGAGCCTTAGGCAAATTCTTCGCATGTAGCCAGCTTCTACACGTCTCACTTAGATGCCTTATCTTCCTTTCTGCTACTCCATTTTGTTGAGGTGTGTATGGACATGAAAATTCTCTCTTGATACCATGCTTTCGGCAGAAAGAGAGAAACTCGTTTGACATAAACTCCCCTCCATTATCCGTCCTTAAGGTCTTGATTTTCCGACCCAACTCTCCTTCCACGGTAACCTTGAATTCTTGAAACTTGGAGAATACTTCTGACTTTTCCTTCACAAAGTATACCCAGGTGTACCGTGAGTAATCATCAACGAACAACAGCATGTAGCGGAACCCGGAATAGGAGGATGTTCTCGTCGGACCCATCAAATCACTATGGATCCTCTCCAACGGAGCATTGCATCGTGAAGTAGAATTGTCAAATGGAAGTCTATGTGATTTTCCATATTGACAACCTTCACAAAGCTTTCCTTCATCTTGAATCTTCAACTTTGGGAGCCCATTAACCAGATCTTTATTCACCATAGCCTTCAGCTTAGTCATATTTATATGGCCAAGCCTAGCATGCCAAATAAAAGCATTATCATTCGTACTCATCTTCTCAATGTACGAATTTGAGGCCGATAAGACATAAA